AATCAGGAATCAGGAATCAGGAATCAGGAATCAGGAATCAGGAATCAGGAATCAGGAATCAGGAATCAGGAATCAGGAATCAGGAATCAGGAATCCGTATTATATGTCCATCAAGCCCTGTATTTCAAGGTGGGTACAGAGACCGAGTCTGTCACCTCACAGCTAGCTATCTGATGCACAATCACCCTCCAGACCTATGTCCTTCTCTGTTCTGTTGATCACACCCACTTTCACTCTTTCCCTCCCGACTGCTGTGGCATAATCCTTCTCAGCTTGGAGACAAACTCCTCCACGCTATGCTCTCAAAAACAAAACAAACCCCTAATGAATCATAAGAGGTCGTAGAATTCTGATCCCCATCCGCTTCAAGGATACACTCTGCTTGTACTGCGAGTCTGACTGTGACTGCGACTTCTGACCCTCAGACCCGACTCTGTCCTGTCAGGCCGAATCCAGTCAACCAGCATCCGTCCATCCCTTTTAACACCGTCCACAGAAGAGGGCACATTCACTATTCTTGTCCCATCCGAATATCGATCTTGCGGTCCAATTGAATCGCTTCTACTTGTTCTTCGTGACAGACTCGTTCGTCGAGGAGTCGTCGACGACAGCACGGCGTTGGTGTAATTGGTTTGGGTGGTTCGAGTAGAAACAGTCGATGTCATGGTAGATGTTCTGTCCGTACTGTTATCGAAATTCGATGTCAGAGAGCTGATGTTGTCCATTTCCGGGAAAGTAGATGCACTACTGGCACTCTGTGCCCGGCCTCTCCCCCTGATAATTCTGTCATTCGCATGATGAATTGCAACAGTTGCAGGACCCCAACGTTCGGTATACCCTCGCCAAATCGCCGTTACTTCGAGATCGCGTTGCTTGATCAGGTTTTCTGCCTGTTCTTCCATGTGCAATATCGCCTGGATATTTTCAGGAGTGATGGACGAGGTCGTGGAAGGCTCGGGGCTTGTTGTATTCCGCCTCGAAGACGACGTTGGGAATGGTGTGGCAGTGTTTTTGCGCTCCGGTAAATCGAGGGCAGTGGGCGACTTGACATCCAGATCCTCCTGGAGTAGGCTTAGTTGTAGCAATAGGTTCTCCGACCGTGTGGTGTATCTTGCCAAGATGTCGGATTCGGCTTTTCGTCGATATGCTAGGTCGCAAATTGAACATGCGCCTTCTATGATATATATGCTGGGCGTGACTGTTGGCTGACTTTCCAGAAAGTCGCGGATATGAAACGGTGGGAACGCTAACAGACCATGCTGATAGGGAACAAGTATGGGCTGGGTGTTCAAAGGACGCGACATGGGGGGACTCGTATGTTCACAATTTGTATAGTGAAATGTGTCCGCGTATGCGATCTCGGGAGCGGGTAAATTGTGTTCTTGGGACGGCGGTGCTACAGGATTGCTGCGACGTCGCGAGCGAATGTATCTTGGTCGTGTATTCTGAACTGTCGGTGTAGGCCGAGCCTCAGATACTCCGGTAACAGATGGGAATCGTTGGCTTAGTATCGACTTTCCATCAGCGGGGATGTTCTGGTTTGTCGGTAGCGGCTGTGCTGCTGGCATGGGCTGCTTCGGCAGATGTGATCGTGCTGACAACGTTCTTCTGGGTGGTTGTGGTGACAAGCCAGCTATTTCTGTCCAGACATCTGAAACGGCTGTTGCGGCTGATACTGGCTCAGTATGGCGAGCTCTCCCGAGACTAGGACGTCGAGGTGAAGCTATAGCATGGTCCGTACTGGGACTAATAAGCGGTGTCTCGAATCTCGTCTGCTCAGCCAAATTGAATGTCAATGGTTCAACTCGCTTCCAACTACTAGGAGGATACAACGCCTTTGGTGATTTTGATCTGCTTGACCTGCTGCATGGTGAATCTGTGACGACAACTGGAGTTGGTTTCGGAGATAGGCGAGCTCCATCTGTTATGTCAGGCTGTAATTGCTTCGGCGTTCTGGATAATTGCCGTTCGTGATCATCCTTGAATAGACTCGTGTGCGGAATACTTCGTCGAGATGATGATGTGCGTGAAGTGGTGACTGCAGGCCGAGAGTGGACGATTTCATCCTGTGCCACTTGTTTCTTTTCTATGGCAGGAACAGGGCTGTGAGGAACCGTGCCGGAACGTTGACCGGCACCCCCGATGGTAAACCTCCGTTTATGTCGGAGTTTCTTAGTTGGGTCTTTGAAGCTGGAATCTGGCGTGGCGGCTTTCGCGGTGTTTGCGCTCATGTCAGAGCATGGCGACGCAGTTGATGGAGTGCGGATGATAGGTTGAGTAAATTTGTGGTGACTGTCGACCTTGACAGACAAGAACAAGTCTGTATCTCGGAGGTTTGGAGCCATTGGATCGTGGCGTCGTGATCAGTTCGTCCAGGGGAGCAGCCCGTCAAATAATCCAGTTGGGGGGACAGCATGAGGCAGTGGATTCGTTCATCAAGGCATTCCTCAAAGAAATCCTTTGTTCGCATGAGATTCGAGACATCCATTCTATGTTCTCTTTCTTAGGCCGATAGACGGTGAGCAACAAACGGCCGAGCTGTCGCTGGAGTGTTTGACGCGTAGAAAGACTTTCGCATTTTGACCCAGTCTAATAACAGGTACAGTAGATTCCAGCCACAAGCGATAGGTTCGAGATAGCAGGGATACCAGGGTTTGAAACGTACGAGAGACCCAAGTTTGGGAAAGTCGAAGTGGAAAGAAGAGAATGAGGAAAGGCTCAGCTCATCGCTTGGCCCCTCGAATTGAGATTTTGATGCAGGTTGAGAAGCAAGGGGCTTTCGGGGGCCCGGTGCGTCACGTGCACGTCCCTGGGCGCTGGGGGTTGCAGGGTAACCACTTTAATCGAAGCCTGATGATCCACCAAGCGAGATTAAATCACTGCCACACAGCGCGTAAGTCCCAGCGCGCCGTTGTGGGCATTGTTGCTTCGAGGCTTCATCAGTCCTCTTCAACGCTCCCCGTAAGAATAATCCGAAGGTTCATGCGCCACCGGGCAACCTCATGTTCCAGGGCACTCAGCTTGGCTGCTACACTCATCAAGCTCGGATCACCACTTTCGACGCGGACTTTTTCACGAACAATGACCTCTTGTTTCCCACGCCACTCGAATATCTCGCCCATCTCATCATGATTCGGTGGTCTTGGTCCAAGACCTAATAATTTGGATCTCAGGTTGAAGCCAGACAAAGAAAATGAGCCCTCTGCTGGGGTGCTAGGAGTTCCGCCAGGCGACGTAGGTGCCAGCGTCCTCACAGTGAGCACGAGGTTCGCATCCTGGATTGTGAAGTGTAGACTCAGGTATTCACCCAGAGGGGGTTGAAATATACTCTCGTCGGCACTGCTAGTCCACCATTCTGCTCCAGGGATTGCAGCGGCGTCAGTGCCGGTGACGGGACCCCTCAGATAGGATCGGGCCTCACGTAGGTGATCATGGAGGAGTCTAAGTTGTCCCGAGATGAAAGAAGAATCTGTCGACTGACCTGTCCATCTCGCTATGTCAATGATATCGAGGGAATCGTTGATCCTAGATCGCACCTCCTGCAATTGTGGCAGGAGAATATCAGCAGTGGAAGAAGATGAGTGAAATATCAGTCTGGTGGATGGGGTAGACGTCGTAGTGCCTCTCGGTGTGTTCGGAGGCAGAGTTGTGAGTCGCAAATGTATGTCCTAGGAGGATGTTAGCATGCCCGGCGTGTATACTCTCGCATGGATCAACTGACGCCCTTGACCAGTTTGGTGCCGATCCGCGTGACAAAGCCTTTGACACTTTCAGACCTTAATGATGACAACACGAGAGTCGACCCTGGTTCTCTTGCAGCCAACAATGCCGCACATTCCTCGAGACCCTCTTTCAGCGCCCCCAGCGAGTGTTGTAGGGACTTCAGAAGCCATTGAAGCTCGGCCTTCTATTGTTCAAAGCGTCAATCAAAGAGTCTCTCCCGTGCTATCTGGCTGAGCTTACCAGCGAGTCCTCCTCCGCCTTGCGCAGTTCATCTGGCGGTATGGGGGGATACACCCATGTGGACATGGCGCTAAGTAGCTTGTGTTTGGTGTGAAGACTTGTTATCGATGGAGGCTGGATGGATCTAGGCTTGCTGGAAGTTTGTACTTTGTTCCTCCGCCGGAATACGTGGTAATGGTTTTGGTGTGAATCTGTGATGCTGATCCCGCATCTGGTGATGGTCATGATTTTAGGCGCTAGAAGCTCAAAGTTGGAGCTATCGCTCGCTAGTGGCGGGTACTAGCCTAGAGTAGTGTAGTTTATTAGAGCTTCACGCTTGGCGGTCATTAGCGGGAAATTCCTAGTGATGACGTGTGTTTCTGCCAACTTGGTGGTTTGATCTGGGCTTTTATTGTGTATTGTTGTTTTGAGGTCTCAAAGCGAGAGACGGAGATGGAGAGACGGTGACACGGCCAAAAGCTTGCGATACTCACACTCACTCCCTCTCCCGCCAACATTTGCCTGCGCCCCCAATCGTCCTCCACCCTCAAAAGCGTTGTTGCGAAGAAGCTGGACACGTCAACCCGCAGCAAGCGATCAAGCCTATTATTGGGCATCTCCTCCCTCTCCATCTCTCGCCCATCGCCCGGTGCACCAGGCTCATCCTCCCACTCCACCACCCGTCAACACCCTACCGCTCCCGGCATAGCAGACCGACAGCTCTTCCCTGGCCAGTGACCCCAGGGTGACCTCATCCAAGACACCTCCATCCTGGTCACTAGAAAAACCCAGTCCTACTTGTCAACCCACTATTGCTTCTCTCGTTACTCCTCTCGCAGTTCCGATCGTGCCCTCGACCTCAACCCTCACTCTCGCTCGCCAACTTGCGCCTGCTCGAGCCTCTCCTCAGCGACCGCGGCCGACTCACCATTGTTGACATCCTACCTCATCCGCCTCACACGCCTCATCATGGCAGGCCGTAAGGAACCATGCGCTCCTAAGTTGGCATTCGCACACTGACACTTCTCACGCAGGTTCACTCTTCAGTTTCGTTTCCCTCATACTGGTGGCAGGCGCCCTCCTGTTCATGTTTCTGATCCTCCTCGCCGGCGCAGTTGATGGTGATCCGGTGAACAAATTCTATTTCCTACAAGCTGAGACGGGCAACATCCCCGGTGCCCCTCCTGTTTCTCGATGGTCGTACTGGAACGTGTGCAATGTTGTGAACGGCAAGACAGCTTGCGGTGACGAGCATTATTCCGACGTCCACCCAGCATTCCCTCTCGATCCCTCTTCCCATCGCGAATTCGACACCGACGTCAATGTTCCCAGAAATTTCGTCCGTCACCACGGCTATTACTTCTACATGACTCGGTTCATGTTCGCTTTCATGCTTATTGCACTGTTCTTCGGTGTCTGCGCCTTGTTCACCGGCCTCCTTGCGCTATGCACGAGACTCGGTAGCTACTTGAGCGGATTGCTTACTATGATCGCCATGTTCTTCCAGGCCATCCAGGCATCACTGATGACGTGAGTAGCTTATACTGCTAGCATAGAGATATTTACTGACACGGGGCTTAGTGCTGCTTATGTCAAGGGTCGCGACAACTTCCGTCGAAACGGTCAATCTGCCCATATCGGCAAATATGCCTTTGGCTTCGAATGGGCCGCTCTGGCCTGTTTCTTCCTCGCCACTGTTCTCTTCTGTGTGGGCGGAGGTGCTCGAAGAGATAGCACGCCAAAGACTGCGGGAGGTCGCCGATTTGGTGGACTCCCATTCCGTGGACGAAGAACCAGGAGCACAAGAAGCAGAGGCAGTTTTGTCCATGACAAGGAGTATGGCGCATAGAGTGGTGCCGTCAAAACGGTGACGACTGGAGATAATGCAAGGCGCAAATGTTGCCTTCAATTATCTGTAAAGATATGCTTGGATTTCAGGTTTGACGAGACAAAATCACGACACTCATTTCATGGAGTTTTTGGGGTGGATTGGCTGAGGTCAAGCAAGGTTTCTCACGTCGGCGACATGTTATGCCAGACTCCTTTCCTGTTAGCTAGTGTCTATCTCTAATATCTGGTTGCCAGTGTATGCCAATAATCATATCAACACTACACTTGAACTACCTCCGATCCAAGGGGCTTCGCGGGCTTCCACGTAGCTGGTCGCTTTCAGCAAGTACAACGTCCTCGGCCGCTGGCGGCCATGTGTGGCATTCAAGTGCGTCTTCTCCACGCTTACAAGTCTAAGCCATCATGGACGCGTAGGGCGTGATGATGGTATCGGAAGCAGCAGCCAACGCGTGTGAGTCGTCATCGGTATGAGTAATGGATAGATTTGAGGCCTGCGTCATGTCCATCAGATGTAGCCTGTAGGCATCTCACCTCTCCGCTAGACGTCGCCTGTAGGCGTCTTGTCACCAGGATGCGTGGTTGCACGTGACGATGGGATCATCGGCTTCGTTTTCCTTCTTGCTTCGACCAACACACCGACACTGGTATCATGCTGCGGCCACTACGGCCAACAAAACTGGCCGTTTATGTCTCACAGATGTTGAGCACAGGCATCGGGACTGTGGCACCCTCACGAATTGACGGCTGGCTCTGAAGCATGAGGCTAAGGGTACAGCCTTCTCACCCCAAGGGTCGAGGTCTTCACTTTTGCGCATTCTCTTCTCCATCGTCCAGTCATATCGCACGGGCGCAATCTCTCCTCAGGCACTATTCTGGCTACACTCTCGCGATCGCATCAATAACCACAGAACTTTGACGTTGAGACCTCGAAAACGTCGAAAACGTGAAAGCATGGTTCCTGCGACCTGGCACATCCCTTGGTATCCTCAACCGGCACGGATATCTCAGTAGCTAATCATTTTGATGTCCAATGAGACTGACAGTGCCGCGGACGGCGCTCAACTCCATCTCGCTATCTCAGACATCTCGCCTTCCTAAACAGGAACAATATGCCTTGCAGCAACTTTATAGAAAAATTCGATGCACCTTTAAGGACAAGAACCGGTCATTGCCAGACAGTTTCAACGCTTTTCAATCGATCCTCATCTTACCAGCAGAATGCAACTCCCAGCTAAACCTGGTCGTCGAGTTCGACGTATAGCGATCCTCGACTGTGAACGCAACGTCCCAATTATAGCAAAGACATACGGTCCATATTTCAGCGGAATATTTTCATCAGTCCTCGCTGATACCGCGAAACGACTGGACCTATCCTTTCCACCTGACTTCTGTGGTTTCGATGTTGTCAGGGGCCAGTTTCCCGATCCAAGCACGATAGACGCCATACTTGTCACGGGTTCAATGGCAGGAGCATATGATCCTTACCCCTGGATCAAGCCACTGGCGGACTTCATCAAACTCGTCTATACCAGATATCCCGAGGTTCGAATAGCAGGCGTGTGTTTTGGTCATCAAATCATCAGCCAGACTCTGCTCGGCTCCCACGGAGTCATTGTGGAAAAGCACCCGGGCGGATTTGAAGCTGGCTTGCAGACGGTCATGGTGAATCCCGAATTGACGCAATATTTCCCTGGACTTGAAGACTATATCAAAGCGAACACAACGTCCGAAGGCTCTGAAGCAACGCCGCAGCTACGCTTACAGTTAGGACATGGTGATCATGTCGTTCTCCCGAAGGCACCACAGTCTCTGCCGGGGGGGTGGATGTCACTCGGAAGCACCAAACATTGCCACGTGCAGGGACTTTTTGAACCTGGTAGAGTTCTCACATCCCAGCCTCACTGGGAGTGCGATTCGTGGATAATGTCAGAGTCATTTAGCTACCTCTTTACTCCCCAAAAAGGTTACCGTCCAGAAGAAGTCGAGGGCTGGGTGGAGGGCACCAAAGGCGGGCATGATTCACTGGCTATGCAGGAATGGGTTTTGCAATTTCTGCTGGATATGCTCCCAAGTGAAGACGACACCATGAAGCAGGTACCTTGAAACACCAATCTCCTAAAGCTTCGCCAAGTCCCAAGGTGATGGCTCGCCAACATCGCTTTGGGGGTTCATGCTTCTTTTCGACAATATTCTGCTCATGACAAGACTACATGATTCATTTCCTGAGCGACACATAGCAATCCAAGTTCTTTTGTTTCACAAACCACACGTTCTCAGTCTCAAGTTGACGTTCCGGGTGCTCCAGTGTGAAGTCGAACTTTCTCACCAATGCAGGGATCAAGATTGATATTTCGAGCAACGAGATGTTCTTGCCGATACAGGTACGCGAGCCCGCACCAAACTAAGACAACCAGTTAGTACATGTCTTGCCCCAGCGCTTGGGGCTACTTGCTGTCATGATGTATCTGTTCATATCTGATGTCCTTTCCGCGGACTCAAGCCATCTCTCTGGTCTGAACTTGTCCGCATCTGGACCGAATATGCGCTGGTTGGCGTGAGCCACCCAACTGTTCACACCGACCTCGGTCTGATTCTGACTTAGAATACAATCAATGTTTGCGGGATCATGCGGTCACGTACCTTTGCTGGAAAATATCGTCCTGCAATAGTGGACCCACCTTTGGGTACAACACGCACCATGGGTAGGCCAGTAGCGGGATGCACACGCAGACCTTCCTTGATACATGCCTGGAGATAAGGCAGCTTCTGAGTTTCTTGGAAACTAAGCATTTCATCCGGCCCACAGCCTTCCATTGCTTCGTCAATCTCCTTTCTGACCTGCGCTGCGTTAGCAAGCTACGATGTCAAAGTGGCCTCGCACGCACCTTATCCAGTGCCTCTGGGTTCTTCATGAGGCAGTAGAGGATACCAGCAAGACTGACAGAAGTGGTGTCAGACCCAGCTCCGATATTGGTCATGCAAATGGAGTAGACATCTTCCATTGAGAACTTTTCTGGTTGGAGAGCGTTCATGCGTAACAGTTTCGTCAGAAAGTCGTCTGTGGGCTTTGACTCATCCTTCTCGAGACTTCCTTTGGGCCGTTGTCGTTGTCCTTCGGCGACTTGGTCTATCATGAAGCTTCCCAAGTAATGCATGCCTTGCTTCGGCATGAACGACAGGATCCAGTTCAAGGTCGAATGCCACTCGTGGATCACACCGACCTTGGAAAGGTACAGCAGATACTTGTGTAAGGCGTCGATCATGCCGCCATTGTCTTCACCGGTGTCGAGGAAGCCGAATCGTTTGCTCAGCTGCATCACCAGACATTAATAATCTGCAGACTCTTGAGACAGGTAGCAAACGTACTGTAATCAGGGCAATGGTGTCAAATGCGAAGTATTGCAGCCACACTTGCAGGTTGAACGGCTTGCGCGACTCAGCCAAAGCGGTGAATTTCTCAGCCAACAACCGAGCACATTCCACGGCATTGGGCTCCATGGCTACCAGGCTTGTCATCGAGTACAAGGAAGCCACCTTTCGTCGAACGGCCGAGTGGACGTCGGGGTCGAGTTCAGTGAAGAGATTGGGCACTTTACTGGTCGGTGTCGCCGACGCGATGTACCATTTACCCTGCGTTCAAGTCAACGCTGCCCGGAATCGTTGCGAATCTGTCTGTCTACAAAGGGTGTTTTTAACCCACCTTGACAAAATGTGTGCCATGACCGTAAATGGTCGAGATCGCATTCATATCGTCGATGGAATAGTAGTGTGGAGCGATCCTGACAATCGGTCCATACTTTCTGTGCAGGGCGATATTGGTCTGCTCAAAACGACCGCAGGCGACTTCTTTCAGATACCATAGCCTGGTGAATCGTGCCGCCAATGGGCCGGGTATGTCTCTCAAAGGATCTCGAAGGTAGGAAAACAGCTGAAACAGCACCCATATCCCGAGGAGCCCGCATCCTGCCAGGAGCGGGGATACGGTCTTTACGTTAGCGACCAGACTCTGCAGTTGTGCCATTGTTTACAATATGATATATGTTGATATGGTCTCAGGCAGCACGAGGGTTCGACGACCCGTCGTAGCGGAAGTGCAGGACAGATATATCCAATACCTTCACACGTTTACTAAACCCACGCTACCACCCCGGGGGCTGGACAGTCCAGGCCTTTCAAAGACAGGACGAGGGTCAAGTTGCCCCTCATATTCGTCTGGTGCAGCAGCCGTGTGCGACGATAGCCGATACCCTTCAAGCTCCCCGTGGGGTCACCAGGCTTGTAACTTCGGGGCGCCGGGGCCAGCTATGCATTCTCACTTGGAGCGACTGAACGCCTCCAGCACTGATTCACCCAACGTGCCCAGTAGTCACTGGCGCACGGGGCCGATGGGTGAATCGCGCACAATGGATTTTTCCCGCAAAGTGTGCAAAGATGTAGCCGGACATATGCACGCAGTCTCTATCCACCCCCAGATCGCGGCACACTGCGCAGGATTTCGCTCTGGACATGGGTCTGGAAAGGATGCAGCCCTATGAACCATGAGGGTTGGAAATTGACCTGATCTGAATTGTCGGGGGCATTTGCTAACATCTCCCATGACCATCGTATCCCGTACTTGGCAATCTAAATCCCGCCTTTTGACTGTTCGCGAGGACTCGCCGACTCAGGATACTTAAGGCTTTCGTCCGACACGAATTCTCTGGGGAAAGGCTAGTGAGGCCCCGCAAGATCCCACCTTGATCGAGCCCCAGAGGAGCCCCAGAGGTTGGAATCTCAGCGCTGGCATCAAAAGAACCGCCGATGCTCATAGAAAGAAATGGCCGAGGGTAAAGCTATAAACTTCTTCCAGACTCAGTATCTTTGCAGCACCCTTGGATGCCGTAGGTCATACACGAAAGGGTGACATCGCTCCTAGAATTGTGTCTATTTGTATTCAAGACTTCAACTCTTCAGAGCCTCGACCGATCAAAGGGCCATATGGGTGTCCTTCAGACGCTCAACGCCAATGGGGGCGCGATTCTACCCTTGACTACCGTCGACATCCTCAAGTACTCACTCATTGGCGCCGTCGCTATCCCGATTCTCTGGGTTCTCGTCGACTATGTCAGAGTCCTCCGTCTCCGTCGAAAGATGCCTCCGGGCCCGCTGCCCCTGCCACTCTTTGGCAACTACTTCACCATTGAAAAGTACAAGCCATGGGCACAGTTCGAGCGATGGTCCAAGGAATACAATGATCCGATGATTACCATCTGGCAGGGTCATCGACCTACCATCATGTGCAACGACATCTGGTCGATATCGGACCTGCTCGACAAGAAAGCTAGCATTTACTCGAGTCGTCCTCGAATGATTGCCATGGGTTCGTGAAAAACCCTTTCACCCTTTTAATTGCCCCGTTGATTTTGCCAACCTCTGTCCCGGTTCCAAAAGAACACCTATCTATCGCCTCCGCCGCCCTTTTGATTGACACTGCGCCGTCCCATTTTCCCCCACTGGAAACCGCTCATCTAACTAGAATACAGGTGACATGATCAACGCCACGACTTCCAACCAAGTCAACCTCGAATACGGCGACCGATGGCGATTACATAGACGACTGATGGTATGTGACGCGCTCCTGGCCCCCTGGGGAAGCAAGACCGTCTTCTGACCGTCTACTTTGTCAAGCACACGGCTGTTGGCAGCCAAGCCGTTCGGCCCTTCCGCGACGTCCAGGCAAATGAGTCCAAGATTCTTGTTCGAGATCTCTTGGAAAGACCTGACGACTTCGTCATGGCGATTGAGCGCTACTCAACATCTGTGGTCTCGATCATTGGCTGGGGTCGTCGCATCGACAAGATCAACGACTACGTCGGTCAGCTAGCGTTGCAGGTCATGGAAGGAGTCGACTTCATCATCCCCGGCTTGTACATTGTCGAGTCTATCCCGTTCCTCGCCAACCTCCCTAGAATGCTCAACTGGGTGTACCCGTGGCCGAAGCAGATGCTCAACCTCTCGAAACACATGCAAAGATACTTCGCCGCTCTTTCAAAGGAAGGCGCGCAAATGCGAGAAGACAATTTTGCGAAACGCTTGTACAAGGAGCAAGCTCAGAGCGGTCTGAGCGTGGAAGAAATTGCCAGTCTTACCTCGAACCTCATTGGTGGAGGCGTCGATACGACCAGCGGCACCACCTTAGCATTTATTCTCGCCATGTGCGCCTTCCCGGACGTCCAGAAGAAGGCCCACGACGAACTCGACAAGGTGGTCGGGAAGGAGAGAGTGCCCAATTGGAACGACGAAAGCTCACTGCCGTACGTCAAAGCGATCCTGAGCGAAACCCTCCGGTGGAGGACCGTCACGATTCTCGGAGGCATTCCTCACGCCCCGATTCAGGATGACGTGTACCGTGGCTATTTCATACCCAAGGGCACTCCCATCACCGGCAATGTGTGGGCTATCCATCGCAATCCGCGAGAGTACCCGGATCCCGACAGTTTTAGGCCAGAGCGATTTGTGGGCGGCCTCGAGAGACCATACCCCAACAAGCAGGGTCACAACGCGTTTGGCTGGGGTCGTCGACAATGCAGCGGTCAGCCCTTGGCCGAGCAGGGTCTGTTCATGACCATCGCTACGCTCCTGTGGGCGTTTGACATGAAGCCCGGTCTGGATGAGAATGTAAGTCTTGCATCGTCGGAGAACGTTTGTTGCAGCGAGAAACCTCCACAGTGCTAATGGTTACGGACAGGGAAACGAGGTCAAGCTTGATACCAGCCTCGACGGATTTACAAAGAGTGAGAACATGCGACCGGAGCCGTTCAAGGCGAGATTCGTCCCGAGATCCAAGGGGATTGAGCAGATTATCCGAGCCGAGGCTGCCCGTGCCCGGAAGGAGCTGACTGTGTTTGACGGCGAGACGAGATTGACCATGGAGAATGTTCCGTGATGGTGTGTGTGCATTGCCATTAGCCACGAGGATTGATCATGAGGAATGAAGAAGCGAAAGGCAGACGCTCACCCACAAGAGTCGGGGGGGTTGCGGGGGGGGGGGGGGGGGGGGGCTGTGTGCCCGAGACGTGCTGACTTGCGAAGTCAGATGCTGCATGCGAGAGAGTGATGACCAGGTCATGTGCGTATAAGAATGAGTTGTTCATGATGAACACAGTATCAGATCACTATTGCCGGCATCAGCGTTGCGCGCTCAGTAAGATATTCTCCACCAAGTAACTCAGCCAAATCTGTAATACTCAGGTTTGGCACTTGTGGAAGCATGGACCGGGACCATCTCGTCGTCCCCGGCAGACGAACAAAGTAAAGTATATCAGGCGTTTGTCTATATCAAATTAATGTATCCAAGGACAGCTATATGGGTAAGGATTCTAGCATCCAGCTCACGTCACAACTTCACATCTCTGCCGTTCTTCATCGTCAGCACCTTTGTCTTATCGTCAACACTCATCTTCCCCTGGACGTGCGGGACCCACTCGCTCAACACCTCGCCACACCCTTGACCCTTCTCGAGCTCCGGGAAATCTTCCTGCACACTGACGTCCCGACTCGGACTCCCACTCAGCTCGACGAGCGGCCGGTACGGGGCCTCGACCTCGTCCCACGCGAGCACGGGGCTCACGCACGCGTCTGTCCCGTCGAACACGGCGCGCCACTCAGCCATGGACTTTGTTCTGAAGATGGCCTCGAACCTGCGCTTCATGGCCGGCCAGTGCGTCCTGTCCCACTGGTCCGGCAACTTTCCCCGTCCGAGGCCTCCGCCGAGCCCGAGCCCACGCAGCAGCTGGGCGTAGAACTGCGGCTCCTGGGCGCCGACGGCGACGAACCGCGCGTCCTTGGTCTCGTAGACTTCGTAGAACGGCGCCGCGCCGTCCAAGAGGTTCTCGCCGCGCGGGCGGTCCATGTTCTGGTGCCCGTGCTGCTGCCGCGGGAACGTCGCGAGGTACGAGGTCCCGTCGACCATGTTGGCCGTCACCACCTGCCCTCTGCCGGTCGAGTGTCGGTGCAGCAACGCGAACAGGATCCCCGCGACGCAGACCAGGCCGCCGCCCGCAAAGTCGCCCAGCACGTTCGACGGCGGCGACGGCTTTTCGCCCTTGCGGCCCACGATGTTCAAGATGCCGCTGACGGCGAGGTAGTTGAGGTCGTGTCCCGCAGCCTGCCCGTACGTGCCGTCCGGGCGGAAGCCGTGCAGGTGTGCGTAGATGAGGCGCGGGTTGAGATTCGTGAGCGTCTCCGGGCCGAGTCCGAGGCGGGACATGACCCCCGGCCGGTACGGGTCGATGAGCACGTCTGCGGCGCGTACCAGGGCGAGGAAGGCGTCTCGTGAAGCCGCCGATTTGAGGTCGATCACGATGGACCGTTTGTGTCGGCAGAGGGTGTCTCGCGGTGGGCCGAACACCCTGGTCGGTCGGTCGATGCGCACGACGTCGGCGCCATAGTCGGCCAGGACGAGCCTGGATGAAGGAGCAATCGATTAGTTACGTGTGCTGGGTCCCTCTTGAGTGATAGAACAAGTTCAGACAATACCGTCTGCCATGGGCGGTGTTGCCAGCGGAACAGCAACTTACCCGGCGAAAGGAGACGGGGCGAGGCCACCGAGTTCGAGGACTGTATGTAAGGGAGCAGATGGTGTTAGTTGGTCTCTCTCTTCTCTTGTGGTTGAGTCTTGAAGCCACCATCGCGTCTGAGTTCAGGTACCATATGATTCTTCGCCGTGAGGTTGACCCGACACTCTCTTTCCTTCTTTTCTCTTCATTCGCCACAGAGTTCCAAACAAGAAAGATAGAAGTACGTACCTCTGATCCCTTTCAACGGAGGATTCGCCCCCATTATGTGTCCCTCTGGCCCAAAGGAGCCCGTCAATCACTCGTGAACACAAGTAGATGTTCGTACACCTTTGCACTGTTTCAGGAGCACGTCGCTGCCCTCGAGGCGTGCACCCTCCCGGTCACCAGCGTTACATACCAACACAGGTGTGAGCTTAGGTAAATGTCTTTCCTTTCGCGTTTGTACATGTGTTCGTTTGTGAGTCGGGGTCTTTATGTGTGTGGCCCTGGCTTTGGCCCCAGTTGTTCAGACGCCTGGAGCCCCACGTCCTTGGTTTGAGACTCTGTCTCCACGGGGTAAAGGAGTCCAAGAATATTGCCGGATAACCAAGTTCCGACCTCCTCCACTGATTTTGGCGTTCCCCAAGTTTGCAGAGACGTGGAGGCTCGGAGGTGTTTCTGGCATGGAGTAATTGTCCTTACCCTTTCAGATTGGTTGGAGAGTCTCATTCGTAAACTGCACGTCGAAAGAGCCGAAACAAATGGATTATCGCTCCAAGGGTGACCGACCTTGTCCAGGTAAACAAGGGAGGGTAAAAGAGTTTTCCTGTTCTCCTCATTTCCAACTAATAAGATAGAAGACAGAAGCGAAAAGCAGGCGACGGCAAGATCACATACGCGGCGAGGCTCAGGCGCGGTGCAGCCTGGTGTGAACTGTGCACCTTTGGTATACTGTGCAGACCGCGTTGTGAGCATCATCTTTGCGTCGTGAGGGCAGCCATCTGGGGTTGTTGATCGAGATTCCCTTGATTGAGAGGCCCACATTCGGGCCTACAAGGTGTATTGGATAGCCTCCAGCGGTACAGAACCGCAGGGAACTTCCAGGATCACCATGATCTTCACCTCGGATTATCAAATTGACATTCCTAACCAAGATATCTTGACATTCCTCTTTGAACGGACAAGGTTCAAAGACAACGACCCAATATGGCTCGACGCTCTCAATCCAAATCTCAATGTCACTCTCGGACAAGCCAGGGATCTCACGCACCGAATCGGTCGAGGTCTCCGGGATCTGGGTATCGGCACACGGCATGGCGGTGAGGATATCGTCTTGTCGTTCGTCGAGAACCAAGTCATGGTCGCTCCGACGCTGTTGGGAGTTCTGTGTGCAGCTGGTATCCATGCTACCTGCCCGATGACGGCGACGCCCTTCGAACTCACTCGGCAGCTGAAGCTGAGTAGCCCAAAGATACTGATCTGCTCGCCGCAGACGAGACAAGTCGCTGAAGAAGCTGCTGCTCAGTCTGGGATCCGGGGTATTCGGCTCTTGGTCATGAAGTCTGAGTTGCTGGACATCGTCGACGAAAATGGAAAGTCTATTGTCAGCAGATCTTATCTTCAATGGCGGAAGATCACAGACAAGGCTGAACTCGAGAGTACAACTGCTTGTCTGGTCTACTCGAGTGGGACCACAGGAGTGCCCAAGGGTAAGTGTCACCACGACCACCAGCAGTAGTCCGCAGCCTCAACATCTAAGCGCGTATGCTGACCTCGAGTTGTGACCCAGGCGTAAAGATCACACATTACAACATTGTAGCCAACCTGTTACAAATGGCGTTTCACTTCGACCATTTTGCCAACAAGGCCATCAGCGAAGGCGAATACCTCCGCATGCCGGGCATAATGCAAAATGCCGTCGTGCTCGGGATCACTGTGCAGACAATGATGGCCATGCAATGCGGAATGCAAGTATACATGTTCAAGAAGTTCGACTTCCCCTACTTGATCGAATGTATCCGCAAGTACCGTCTTTCGACATTCTTCATGGTCCCTGCGATTTGGAATCGGATCTCAAACGAATGCACCAGAGAAGACCTTGTCGGGTTCAGGTTCGTCATGAGCGGAGCCTCACCTCTGCCTCGGGAGTTACAAGAGAAGATGCAAAAGATGTTACCCGAGGGCGTCATCATGCGAGTAAATTGGGGCATGACCGAGACAACGACCGGTGCTGCACAACCTGCGCCCATGGAAACCGGCACCGAAGGCAGCTCCGGACGACTCTTGCCCAACATGCAGGCAATCATCATAGACACGGAAGGCAACAGACTTGGTCCAGGTCGGTCCGGGGAGTTATGTGTCAAAGGTTCGTCTTGCACGGTGGCAGATAGAGTGGCACAACGATCATGATCATCGGCTAACCCTTGTATGTACGTATCTTTCTAGGACCAAACATGATTCGCGAATATTTCAAGAATCCTGAAGCTACGAAGGGAGCCTTCACTCAAGACGGATGGTTTCGAAGTGGCGATATCGGGTATTTCTCAGAAGACGGCAAATTGTTCATTGTGGGCCGGTCAAAGGTGAGTCTCACATCAATCGAGAAAACCCATAACAGCTCTTGAGTGAGTACGGGCACACAGCTAACAGAGTTTTGAATTGCAGGAACTGCTCAAGTACAAATCTCATCAAATATCCCCAACTGAGATCGAAGCCATACTAGGCCAATGTCCTGGCGTCGCAGATATCGGCGTCATCGGCGTACCCGACGGCAACGGAAATGATCTTCCACGAGCATATATCGTAGCTTCAAAGTCATCAGTGTCTGAAAAGGACATTCATGACTTCCTGCATGTCAAAGTTAGCACGTACAAACGGCTCCGAGGAGGGGTGAGATTCGTCGACGAGATTCCTCGGAACGTCAATGCAAAGATCATGAGAAATGTGTTGAAGGAGTGGGTCGAGAACGAGATGATTCCCAAGGCAAAGCTGTAGCCACTGAGTTCTCAGATACTTGGGCAAATACTGCAATAGCATTGAATAGATCTCTCTGGAATTGACAAAACGAAACATAATCGAGAGGCAAACCAGATCCGGTTGGAGAAGGCAAGGCTGTGCTGGGACATGCCTCCCTACCCCACAGCCCCATCCCATCCCCACGAACAGAGCTTCCCCCATATTGCGCTGTAAGGCCAGTGATGAGTACACGTAGGTGAACGGAGAACCAGCAGTCTGCAGGTGCGAGTACAGCAGGGGGGCGGATGTGGGGTTCACCACGACAACTAAACCTACAGTACTTGTGTTTACCTCAAATCGGCCAAGTCAATCAATGTCAAGATCCTGGCTGGGGTGAGCAGAGTTTGATTTACCCCGTGATTAATTTGGACGAAAGTCGATACCGAACAGTGTCTGACTCTCGTACTCGTCGATCTTGGTTTTGATATTGCATACTGCCAGGCCCTAGAAAAAGCCTCAGCTAATTGCTAGCAACATCGATCGAGCATCAGCACTACAGAATCAAGCACAAAGGAAACTCTCCCTCTCGAGTCTTTGACAATATACCCATGGACGCCTCGAAATTCGGGATTTCTTCAATCCCACTCAACCACGAACCATATGGCCCAATCAGGCCCGAGGCTCTGAAAGGCGCAAACAAGGGCAAAGTGGCTGTGGTCACAGGCGCCGGGAGAGGCATCGGTCGCGCCATCTCAGAGAACCTCGCCAACTCCGGAGCGACTCTGGCGATTATAGACCTCTTGGCCGAACCTCTGGACGAGACGAAAGTGATATGCGAAAAGTACGGGGTCAGAGTCAAGACGAATACGTGCGACGTTACGGACATTCCACGTCTGAGATCAGTCTTGGACGAGATCGTAAACGACCTGGGACCCATCGAGTAAGTGATATTCGCACCGTCGACACTGTATTAATTATCTCTTCCTTTCCTTTCCCAAAGTCTCGAGGATACAGCTACAAAACGCCATCGAGAACTCGCTCTTTTCTCATCTGATTTGTGTTCACAAACAGTGTCCTCGTCAACAACGCTGGCGTTTCACCTGGTCAACCACAATGGAACGAGAGCTTCGAGCAGTTTTGGAAAACCGTCGAAGTCAACTTTAAGAGTGTGAGTTAGCCAGTGACGCGTTATTCGGTGACTACGACCCCCCTTCAAATCCTTTGGCCATGACAATACAGTCTGTCTGTCGGCCAGACCCAGATTCGTACAAGTTGTCAACCACCCCACCACATTCACCCGACTACCAGTCTACCACCCTCGCCCTGTCCTGAAACACATGGTACCATATTGATTGCCGCTAACGAGAGCCCATGGTGACAACGATATACAGCATATGGCAACAATCTGGCACGTCCTTCCGAGCATGAGAGAACGCAACTCTGGAATCATAATCGACATTGCATCCCGCGCCGCGACCGTCGACTTCCCTTTCGCCATAGGCTACAATTCGAGCAAGTGTGCGGACGCCCGTGCCATCTCGACGCTACAGGAGGAACTCGATCTCGACAACCTCGACATTCAAGCCTACGCTCTTCATCCCGGTGGAGTGTATACTGCCATGGCTGCAAGTGAGTTTGAGTTTGTTTGGTACCCTTTGACTTCTTCTTGAGCTGGCTGGATGGGCCAGCAGAGCAGAAGAGAGCTGAGAGATCAGCTAGTTAAGCCATTCCTTTTGAGTGGACTTACCTCTAAGCTCTTTTATTTTGTTTTTTCTCCTGTTTCTTTTTCTTCCCGGTGAATCCGTTATGAAGTATCTAACGCGAAGGAAAATTGAAACCATCCAGAGGAGGTGCGACCTGAAATGCTCAAAAAGTATCCTCACTTGACGCAACACGGAACCGATTTCAGAAATTTGTTCAAGGATGGACCAGAGCTCTGTGGGTAAGTTTTGACACCTAGATATATCCCTACACTCTGCACGTACCCACACCTGCACCCACACCTTTGCGTACGTCCGCACGTCTTCATGCGGACTCTCACTTGCCTTTACTGTTGCTGACACGTCACGTCCTTTGTTTTTCCTTTTGTCAATATAGTGCCACCTGCGCATACCTCGCGACTGGCAACGCCAAAGAACTTCGAGGTCTCTACTTGGATTGCCGACAGGACGTGGAAAGGCTCAAGGCCACAGGGAGGGAAACGATCGAACGAGAAACCCTGAACAGATTGACCGTCAAGTTCTTGGAAGGGTACAAAAACGAACCGTGATCACGATTTCCATTCGCCCCTGGCTGGGTTTTAGGACTTAGTTTTATCCTCTCTGGTCTGTAGTTCAAGAGAGATGACAATTGTCAAAATTTTCACGAAAGTAAAAAGGCCAACGCCACTCCACCCCCTGAGGGCTAGAATATGCTCCCCTGTCACGACTCGCTAAGATCCTCTCACCCCGAATCGGATAAGATATCCAACGACTCGGCGAGTAAAGGACGAGCGAGGGAAAGAAAGGCGTACCACCTGGCATTCGCAGGAAGTACGCTTCCGAGGAGAGGACCAGCTTACGAGAAGCCCCCCCCCCCCCCCCCCCCCCCCTCCTGGCGCTCCGGATTCAGGTTAGAGACAACCATCTTCGCTCTTCAAGCGATGGAGTCGTTGTTTTATGGAGGACTGTCCGATAGTCTACATTCCATCATCAAGAGCTACTTGTAAGGCATATTCCCAAGTGACGGTCCTGACAGCTACCTTGCCTAGGTAGGCACGTCTTTTCTTGTTCCGGAGTCTGGCATCAAACTAGATTCTACCCACCGTGTTGTACAGGTGAGGTCGATACAATACGACAAAACCATTGATTTACAGATTCACCACGCCGTCACAGCCGGAAGTAGAAATGAAAAGACAAGAAAAGAAAGGAAAATGGAAAACCATGATATAGAAACTCACGATCTGAATCATCTTCAGGCCCATTTTTTTTACCATCCCTCCATCATGATCCATGGAACGATACAAAAGTCGTTTGATCGACTTTTACAAGAAAACAGCAACACTGTGCGAGACATTGTGGAAGGCTTGCGCGTAGATAATGTGAATAGCACAAATCTTTTTCTTGTTCTTCGAGTTAGGTAGCTAAGGGGATGCAAAGTTTCAAGATTTCCCCAACCAACTACTCTGCCAATCACCATCACCCACGACGGATCCTAATGACCACCTTCGCCAAAGGTCTGATCCGTCTCAAGATGCAACTTCTTGAGAAGGTTGTGGTGGTGCCAGTAGAGGCGATATTTCTTGCCGAACATGTACATTGGAATAGCCAAGAGGCAGAGACCGGCACAAATACCTGCCATTGTGGCAGCCATGTCTAGAGCGCCATGCGTTGCTATACAGTACAATCCCGTCAGTAATCAGCTTTACTTTCATCAAAAGCAGATGAATGATACGGGAACCACTTACCCCACCAGTCGATCACATAGTTTGTCAGGCCGTAGAAGAACTAGCAGTAGTGTTAGTGACAGATTCTCTTCGATGCGTACAACACAGATCGGCCTCGCCGGGCATGTCGGGTTCGACTCACGAAATTCTTGAACACCATGTTCATGATGAACAGCTCGGTGCTGTGTTGTCTGAATGCATCCAACGACCAGGAAGTACACCAAGAGGCAATGGATGTCATTCCAAAGAGCATGAGACCCCACAGAAAGCAGACAAGGTAGATTGAGTCCCCGTTCTCTACAACTCGACCCCACGCGGCAAGACCAGTAACTGAGAAATCATCAGTAAAGATGTCCGCTAAACGGAACCGAAAAAGAAGAACATACCTGCGCAAGCACAGCCAATGGTGAAGACTGGAATCAGATGGAACTCTGGCTCATAGACACCCTTATTCTTGCGCGTCAGATATTTGGCAAATGGTTCGGCACACAGAAATGGGAATGCTGCGCCAAAAAATCCTCCGATGAGAGGACCGGCCGACATGTAGCCAATGGTTGCTGAACCGAGTAGATACGGTGGCGAGGCAAAGATAACACCAGAGGTAATGGCGACCACGACGTAGAATGCAATGATGATGCCGGTCATGATGATTTGATAGAAGCCTGAGGTTGTCAGAAAATACCGCAGAAGGACCTCCAGAGAGCAACTTACAAGCAATATTCAAGAGGATAGCGACCGATGCGAGAACCATCTTCCAGAGAGGGTCGGTTGTGTAGACTCCCGAGTAAAGATTCATCTCCTGCAGGAATGATTTCTTCGGAGGTACTGACTCCACCGAGGTGAGAGTCGTAGTTCTCTCGATATCACTTGCAGCTACGTCCGCTGACTTGTGCACGTTTTCCATGTGGCGTGTTGCTGCACGGTTCTCGACCGATGCGAGCTTTTCAAGGTTCTCCTCTGAGCCTGCGGTGTCGATCTCATAGATGGCTCTGCGCTTGTATTGTGTCTCGGGGCAGAAAATGATGATGAGAATGGTTTGGAGAGCTGCGAACGGCAGACAAACATAGAAGTTGTATCGCCAGCCTGTGATCTAGGTGAGCCAAAGTGCAAAGCCTGGATGTGCCCAATAAACTAACCCAAGTTTGCAGTGATCACACCGGCAATAATAGACACACCATTGGAGATGGCGGCGAGGAGGAACATGCACACAGCAACTCTAGGTCCTCTCTCGTGCACGAAGAACAAATCTCCGATCGAGGCGATTGCAATTGCTTCATAGGCGGCGAGCCCAACACCTTGGAGGATACGACCAGCAAGAAGTGTGTTGTATCCAGAAGCTGATTCCGAAACTAGAATTCCGATGGTGCCGAAGATAGACGAGAGGACATAGACTGGGCGCTTGCCATACTTGCGACCGAGTGCCGAAACAAATGGTCCGCAAGCGCCAGTGCAAAGGAGCATGTAACCAGAGACTTGTGCGACTGCGGTTGGACTTCTCTTGAGATCCAGGGCGACTTCAACAACACCAGCGTTCAGGAGAGGAGATGGAACCTGCACAAGATCGTGTCAGTAAATTCTAACTGCGAAAAGGATAACACGCGGTGCCTTACACATCCGTGAATAATAACACCGAAGAAGATGATGGCTAGTATGAGGTGTTTCCTGACTGAGGACCAATTCAAGGGGTCGTTAGGATCCTCAGATGGTTGAGGAGCAAGCACAATGTGCGAGTTCTTTCCGGTTCCGTGCTTCAGTCGGCCCGTTTGTTGTTCGGAGTGAGCAGCATTCTGGTCTAGCAAGACAGTGCCAGGCACATGGCCTGTAGAGACAGGTTCATTGATTCCGAGGCCCATCGTGAAGTATGGTTTGTATGCAACACGGCCTGATCAGACTGCGACGCGAAGCGAGATGAGGAACAAGAGGCAAGCGACGTTGCTTTTGTATTGTAGCGAGATCAAGCTGAAGCCGGTGGAGAACGTGGTCTAGTCGTCCTACAATAGACCCAAGTACTCCTTACGAGTAGGAAAAGTGGAGCTTCCCCAGACAAAGGAGGAGTTGGGGAGCGCCAGGTGACAACTCTTCGACTCCGGTCTAGTTGCATGCATGGGGTACCCCATATTGCCTGGTTTGGAAGATACGCCGCGGCCTCAGACAAGTCCAGCCTCCATGGGCATTAAACATCGTTGCTTCGGCCAGCCTGGAGGTAGAAATATCCCCGCGCTGGCTCAAGCTGTCTTGGAGAAGAGGGAGCAGGGAAGACGTGTAAGAGAATCCGAGCGATTTCCAACGTCTTTCTTGTTCCGTCGTCCTCCATTGCATTGGGGAGGAACATAGACCCCCCATACGGAGTACATGCATGATCATAACATAACCTTGGAATGCCAGCATTGGAGTTCACATTCCGGTCGGTCATAGACAAGAGAGACTTCATAGCGATCGATCCCACAGAATCTGTCGACCCTGGAAGATATACGATGTCGAGGACTCGTCATGTCGACAATTCTACACCAAGTTTAATTTTCGGATTTGGTCATCGTAGAAGTCGTGCTAGTGCTGCTGTGCGCTAACATGGAGAAATCGAATGCTGGATATCCCTAAGCACCGAGGTCGTTTTCATCTATTTATGTATACTGTACAAGCGACTCGCTTACAAACGATGGCATCTTTTCCACATTCCACATGGGAGGCGGTATGCGCGAATCCGAACACCATGGGTTTGAGCCCGGTGAGCCTTGCTCATTCAATAGATCCCAGGAATGATTCTCCATCTGACCCGCTTACAGTAGCGTTCGTAGTCCTTACCGTACTTTTTCTGGCATTTTTCCTCGTCCCTCAACTCCCGGTGGACGAGTAGAACACCGAAGTAAACGATGTAGAAGTACGTGAAAATCATGCCCCAACCACGTGCTGGCCCTTGTGTGAGCTCCCTTGTCACAGCTCCGGTGACCGGATTCGTGTACTTGTGGATGACATAACCAGCGATACCAGTTGGTGTACAGTACGAGAATCCCATGATCCAGTCTCCGAAATAGTTGATGTGGCGAGCACGACCCCACCATCCAGAAACAATCAACTTCGAACCTGTCTCGGTCGTGATTGTCTCTAGGTGTGAAACCCGGGGGTCGTTCGGATCCGTGCGGAAACGGTTCTTCTGGTTGTTGGACGAGCGGAAAATGTAGTATCCGACACCCTGTATCGCTAGCACAGTAGCGATACCAGTAAGTCCCAGAGAAAGTGGATAGACGGCCAAATAGCGTGCTGGCAAACTGTAGATAAACGGTAGCCAGACAATGTCTCCAAATGCAAGCATGAAGCCAAATCCATCCGCAATGACATCGATGGTTGTGAGAAGAGCTGGCTCCATGTAGAGTCCATCAAACACATAGAAGGCTTGGAACAACGTGATTAGCAGGATGGAGTCGGTCACGTAGCCGTGCTCCTTGTACTGGTGGGCGATAAATGCTAAGTCGAGTATTATGTAGCCCAGCAACCCGGGCCTGATTTCCATAAAGACTTTGACATCCAGGACTTGGCCACCTGCAATGGGAATCCAGCGAGGCAGTCTGAATCGCGGATTGAGTTCTCGACCGATGAAAAAGTCGTACAAAATGTTTCCTGTACAACCACCAGGGGCCAATTCGCGATTGTCCGGGTTTGGCTCTCCTGGATGTGGGATGCTGAACGAAGCCAGGTAGACGGCAGCGGACAAGGCATACGCGATGACGAGGTTTGCAGTAAGCAGCTGGGGGAAATTATCCCAGATGAACGTCCAAACGACGAAGTCGGCACCCTGAATGGCCGTTCCAACAGCCAGGCCAGCCATGGTCAACCAGGCAGAGCTCCAGGCATTGAACTTGTAGTGGTGTCTTCCTCCATTGTTCAGAACAACTCCATCAACCTCCTCTCCAGGCAGGATAAAGTGCAAAAGGAGGCTTATGCCATAGTATGACAATGTCCAAGCAAATACTCCTGCGTCAAACAGACCGAGGAGCCCGTCCTCCGGCCATGGGATTTGTGATTTGAGCTTGTCAAGGGTGAGGGTGCTGGGACTCAGCAAGCCAGGAGCTGGACAACCTGAGACATCGTTGCAGAGAAAGACGGTCGCGTAGGTAAGGAGGGGAAGTACAAAGACAATAAAAGCTGCGCCTGGACTGGGTAACACATGAGCATGTTTCTCTTCAGGGATCTTGGTGGGATTCGGTCAACATACGGTCCTAAGAATTCGTAATGCGGCTTGCTAGCCGGTGTAACGCCCATGTTCTCTTTTCGCTAGGAGCTTTCTGGTGTAAAGAAAGTATACAGACAAGGTAAAGACTGGTACTTGAACGAGAGTGTGTGCAGAGAGCGCGATGGACGGTTCCTTTAAAGCATCCTGTCGCGTTGTGTACCCCGTACTCCGTACAGACTGCGGAACCAAATAAAATTGTTCGGGAGGCTCAGCATCCGTGTGAGATCATCAGTGGCGCCACAGATGCGAGGCTTGCGAGCGTATTGTCGCGTCTGGCCATGCAACCACTGAGCATACACAAAGGGCCACCACCTACAGTCTCAAAAAAAGCTGAGAATGGCAAGTATTGTGTACCTCTCAATGCAGCGTACAGTGCGCGAGTCTTAGGTTGAGCAATACGGCCTGCCTCGAGACGAGATCAGCACCACGTGATTTGTTCTCGATCACGTGATTTGTTGTATTATGAGCCAATGGATAGAGTTGATAAGACCTCACAGATTACGCTGAAAAAACCAACTTGAATTCGCTTTGATCCATACTTGTCCTCGAAATCATCGTGCGATTGAGGGCATAATATCCATATAGGGTCCTGGGTTCTTTACTCATGGCGAGAATACCGCAGAAGTGCGGGTAGCCCGTCTCTGCATACACTGCAACCACGCTGCATCTTGAGTGGCAATGGCTGCTCCGTGCATGCTTCTCTCCGGAACATAGAGCGCGAATACGTCCAAGCTGTAAACCTTCCGCCCGCATACTATTGCGTTCTCAGTATCTCTCTTTAGTGGTTGGATACTCGGAGGGACGAAAGCATTGATGTCCAGGTTTACTACTCAGTTGGGATACCGGAACGTGGTCAGGCTAGACCTTTGTCCTGCACGTCCGGTCCGAGGGGGTTGCTCTGCCGGGGCGGCTGAGGCGCATTTCGGGGGTCCATAGGCGGTGATTACCGTCCCTTATAGGGCGTAGGAGCCCTTATGAGGGCCCAGGCACGCCCGGAAGAGAAGACTGCGCCAGCCACCAGATCGCCATTCCAATAAATTCGAATTTCTCCCATTATTCCCCTGCAGGGAATCTATCTCCAAGGACAGTACGACGTACGTACGGAGACAGCAAGCTAAGATAACGTGGTGACAGCTGAAACTGCGACACCCTCCAGCAAGCCATTGTTCATGGACGACTTGATAATCCGTGCTCCGTAACCTTGTCTGGTCGATTGTCCATTATCTGGTCTCTCCCATCACTTCCCTCTGCACCGACACAGAGCACACATCCTCACACAAGCAGCACTTCTTCCGGACTCCCGACCTGGTCGCTGTGTTTCTCGCCGTTACGAATACGCAGAGATCTCTACTTCAGCTCCAGTTTTCCCAGACCTCGATTCCACCATCCTTCGCAGCATTCCGCAGCATTCCACTCGCTGTGGAAACGGAAAGTCTGCAGTCATGCGCCTTGCGGCCACGGTTTCACTCCTTCTCCTCTCTTCTATACCCGCGGCTTTCGCTTCAACAGAAGTAAAGCCCAAGCCGCTGCCAAAGCCACCATGTACAATCCACTCCACGTCCACAGGCTCCTTCTTTGACCTGCGACCCCTGCAGCTGACGGTCGACGGAACAAAATATCAGAGTGCGACCAACGAGTCCTTCCACACACGAGGCTATGACTATCCCGCCAACTTCACCTTGAACTTTTGCGGGCCGGTGGTGGAACCCCTGGTTGATGTTGAGGGCATACTTCCGTCAAGAGTCAAGAATATATCGGCATTTTACAAGGACCAAAAGGGGCGTATTCACAGTATCGGACAGCAGAATGACGAGCTTATCTTCCGGGGCAAGAAACTGCTTCTGAATTACACCATGGGCTCGCCTTGTCCCTCTCTGAGCGAGGATGGGATCCCACTCGACTCTGATAGAGCGGCGAGCAAAGCCACCCACAGGCGCAAGTCGACTCTCCTGTCCTTTATCTGCGATACCTCGCCGATTCTCTCAAACAGACCGGCCATCTCGTTCCTCGGCTCTCCCGACCACTGCACCTACGTCTTCGAGGTGCGCTCGAGAGATGCCTGCGGTGGTACCACACAGTCGGAAGAGAAGGGCACGCTGGGGCCGGGTGCAGTCTTCGGTGTCATACTCGGCATCGCATTGCTCGTCTACCTGATTGGAGGTATTGTGTACCAGCGCAATGTGATGCACCAAAGAGGATGGAAACAAGTGCCCAACTATAGTGTCTGGGCTGGATTGTTGAGCTTCATTTCGGTAAGTGGTAAACCCCCTTTCCACTGTATTTTCGTTACACGTCGTCTGTTGGGCCATGTTCCCTTACACACAGTGCTACTCTCTAGAGGCCTCATCTCTTGCGTCACTATACTCGACCAGCGTCCATCTCGGGGAACTTCAACTTCAAATCCAACTTACCGTGAATACGCTGACACCATCTTTACTTGGTCGATCTAGGACATGTTTGTCATCCTCTTTTCCTCTTGCACGCAGCGCCTGCCAGGTGGAATCACTCAACTCTTTGCCGGTCGAAGAGGCTACCATCGTGTCGGGACCGACGAAAGGCCCGGTCAAGGTCGGTCTCCTGAAGATGAGAACAGATTGATTGACCAGCTCGACGAAGAGTGGCAAGGCTAAACAACATTGAAGCCATGGCCATCTTTGGAGCAAGGGACATCTGATCATAATACCTGAGCCAGTTTTTGCAATTGCGTATTGCTACAACTATACCATCAACCGTCACAGTGTGAAGCGAACAGCATCTAACGCAAACATGAGGCTTTGTGTCACAATTTTGGCGATCGGCACCATCTTCTTGTGCTTGAATCCAAAGGATTCCAGTGCTCATGCACACTCAACACTTAAGCTCCTCAAGCCCCAGGTTTTTGGTCCGGGTACTGGGAACCACTATCACTCCCGATGCCTCCTGCAGCAGCAGTCATGTCGCCAAAGTCCATGCCATCAAGAGCGGTGTTTCCAAAATCCTCCATGCCTCCACTACCGTAATTGGGTGGCTCGATGTTGAAAGGCAACAACCAAGCCGAAGATCCGGTGTCCATCATATTGTTTCCACCCACAAGTGGATCATTGTATCCGTACCCGTTCAGATCAAGCTGCTCCCACGGGTTCGCATTGCCTCCGTACGTGTCCATAGTCGTGGAGTTATCGTCCAGACGGTCGAGACCTGCCGATTGCTGGTGGGTCGTCTCAGAGGACGGGTCCACACCCGAGTATGCACCAAAGACCATTTGTCTATCGATTGCCGGAAGAGTATTGATCCAGTTGAAGCTGATGTGTGGGAGATTGTCGAAACCAAATGGATCAACATGGCCTTGTTGTGTTGTTGGTTGGGATTGTCCTCCAATCTGGGGAGTTTGATATAGAGACGGGGACGCGATGTCGAAATCGGCCGGATTAAATGGCTGGCTGATGTTGACTTCTGTGGCATTGCTCGATAGTCGTGGCCTGACCTGTTGTTGCTGTTGTGCCTGTGCAGCGAGCCCAGCATTAGATGTTGATGAAATAGGCGCTCCAGCAGCAGCAGAAGCAGTGGCAGCACTATTTGTAGGAGTGGCAATCGAAGATGATCCAGCAGCAGTAGCATTCTTCCCAGCTCCTTTGGCGTCCTTTTTGTTCTCGGCCACACTCTTCCCCCGCCGTCGCGCAATCTTCTTGCCCCTTTGCCCGCCGGGCCCGTCGTCGGCTTTGCTCGGCGGGCTCAGACTCGCAAAGAACTCCTCGACGCTCTGCAGCTCGCTGCGCTGCGACATGACGGCTTCAGCGGTACCTGCTTCACGCCTGTATTCGAGGTGGCTGTTTTCCCACTCACTCTCACTGACGCCATGCGGGTACTTGTCGAACCAGTCGCCGTACTGGAACATTGCCTTGCCACCAACGCCACCACCACTACCGTTAGCCGAGCCTTGTTGCGCTGCGGCAGGTCCTCCTCCTCCTCCTGCTGCTGCTGCTGCCCTTCTAGCCTCAGCACCTGGTGTTTCGGCGCGCGAAGGTGGCCCACTCGTTGCCAGGTCCAGGTCCATGGGTATTCCAGCGTCATGGCCGTTGGTTGTGTTGGACGGTTGATTGCGAAGCAATACTCCCCCGGCGCTGCGCGGACCGCCGGTGCTTCTGATAGCGGCGTCGGCAAAGGCGCGGTAATTGTCCTTGATGCTCTCGGCCATGTAGTGGAACATCCCCCAGTAGCGCTTCATGCGCGTGAGGTACTTGTAGTTGTGGCGTAGGTTCTCCTTGGAAGAGGCCTCGAGCGCGGCGTTCTTGCTGAAGATGCCCCACACGTGAACCGTCGCGGCGGCGTAGGCGCAGTAGCCCGCAAATGGGACGGTGAGCGTATGGCCCGCCGAGTCGGCGATGAGTTTCGAGATCGTGCTCGCCGACTCGACGACCGCGTTGGCGCTGTTGGACAGAAAGGACCGCGGCATCCCCGCGGCAATATACGCGGCGTGATGCGGCCGACGCGACGGCGAAGGCACCGTCGGGATGGCGAAGCGGTGGAGAAACAGACTCGTCTGCGCGAGAATAATATGCAGAAACAGGAACTGGTTCGCGAGCCGTTCCGACGCGTGTGCCGCGAGGTTGTCCGGCGTGTAAGTCAGGTCCGGCGGGAGGCTGGATTTTAGCTGCGTGATTTGTCGCTGCAGCACGGCGAACTGTGACAGTGTGTCCCAGATCGGGTGCGGGTCTTTCTCTTTGCCGCCCAGGTTGAGGTATTTGACGATGCGCTTCCACAGAACCACCCCGCGGACAATGTATGCCGACACGCCCATGTTGGCTCTGGCTTCGGCCGCAATGTCGGCGGCCGCATTAGCTGCCGTGGTGTCGAGGGGAGGAGCCGTCGAGCCTGTTTTGGAGTCGGATGAGGCGGGTGGTTGTTGGGACTGCGGATGGGTTGCGTTGGCCAGGTAGGCTGAGGAGGAAGAGGAGGAGAATGTAGACGCCATGGGTACATTGCCGTACAGATCTTCTGTCGGCCCAGGGACTTCCATTTGGAAATGAGACTCTTTGATGGGGAGTTGGATCTGGTAGTACTCCTCGTTCAGGAATGACGGCCGTTCGGAGCCCGACGAGTTGAACGTGTCCATGAGATAGCATGCCCACATTGTGCGACGTCGAATCTCGCGATCTGTGAATGACAAGTCTAGAGGACCTTTCTTGCTGGGGTCGTTTGCGATTTGGTTCCTGCCCTGAGGGTCGTGGTCTAGTTCTCGGTGGAGCTGAAGAGCGTAACCCATCCGCATGGCTTGACCACCGAAGGACCATGACAGGCCGCCCTCACACGTCCCGAAGTAGTGTAGGCCGAGCATGAGCATGGCAGTCAGGATGGTGATGTTAGGTTCGTAATGGCGTTTCTCCACAATACGGCGCGCCGGTGTGGCCCACTGTTCGCCGCGCAGAAACGCTGGTTCGGTGCTGACCTGGGGATGGGTTGAAAAGCGGGCCGAGATGGCGCATACAGCGAGGATCAGTACGGGAGGTATCGTGCCTGCTTTCAATTTACGCATGAAGCTGGGTTTGTGGAGGAGAAGGTACGATTGGCCGTATACACAGTCGAAAAAGACCTCGGCGAGATGTTCTTGGATGTGCTGTGGTGGCAGGGAATCGGAACCTTCGATGAACAGTTTGTTTTCTCCCTCCCTCTGTTTTCTCAGGCCGGCCGTAGGATCGAAGAGCGTAGTCTTCTCCTTTGGATTTCTCCAGTCATTCAACTCCTGGGTGAATGCTTCGTCGGCAGAGCGTTTCTTGGGCTGGTCCTTGTCTTTCTTTGGGCCTTGTCCAGGAAGCGGAGGACGCACAGATGCACGACCTGTAGCATTGAAGTCTGGTAATTCATCCTTGGGAAGAACGCGAATAACTCGATCCTCCATGCGCTTCAGCCGCTTATCCAGCATAGCCATATAGTCCGTCCGTGGTGCAGCTTTCCTCGTAGTCACTTTGTACACGCAAGGGATTCTGGCTCTCAGACAATGCTTGCAAGCGGGCTTTTCGCCTGAGCATTTGATCTTCTTGCGTCGACACGCTATACAGGCCAGGGGAAGTCGTTTCCTCTCCTTTCCGGCCTTGGTCTTCAACTCGCTCCATGCTGGTGGCTTTTCGTCATCCTTTTCCGTTTTCCCGTCCAGGTCCACGATGCTGGCGGCCTTGGCAGGCGAATCATCAACATTGTCCACAGCTTGATTGTGTGGGCCAGTTGAGGTCCATTGATTTAACGCCGCGGTACCAAAAAGATCATGGTCGAAAGCAGAGTCGATACTCGCCAGACTGGCACGATGCTGCGGACTCGACACCCTGCCTGGAGCGTACTGGAGCGTACCTCGGTTGGCGAATCCGTGAGTGGTGGTTGTGCGAAAATCCGGCGGAACGTCTATGCCACTGTTGCTGCTGCCATGTGGACTTCCAGCAAAGGGAAAGTTGAGCTCGAGGGAACCAGGCGATGATGTATCGAAAGCCGACGGATTTACAGAGCTCGGCTGGGCTTGAGAATTCATCAAGGTGTCGGTGCGGGGGTTGTGCACGTCTGGCACGATATACCCAGAGCTCGAGATCGAGTGCTTCCGATTGTTGGCGAATCGAGAATCAGACTGATGCGATGCACTGGTCATGTTGCAAACTTGATCACTGTGGGGAGGCATGCGAAGACCTCATTGCCTCGTGCTTCTGACAAGGAACCGGACCGACGCCTGCTTCGCCTTCAGCCACGACGCGTTCTGAGGGACGGAGGGCCAGTGACAACGACGTGCCCCCGTAAAGGAGCGGAATTCGATATCGCAGGGGCTAGACGAGTAGTTGCTTCCTGGATATAATCATTCTCGTCTTATGACGAGGCTGTAAGTGATGACGGGGAGCTGCGGCCGGCGTGGCAATTGACGCTCGTGCTGTAGTCTGTCGGTTCAGTGCCAAGCGGCGACAAATGTGGGCAAGAAACGGATGACGCTGAGAGGCGGAAAGAGACCGGGGTTCACTGGGCACCGCTGTCGGAGAGTGTGGAAGGTCTAGAAGGCGTGGAATTTTATTCCTTGAAGAAGAAGACACTTGCGGTGGTGGAGGGTGGAGGAGATTTACGGGGGCCTCGAGAGGCGGGCGACGGGCACTGGCCAGCAAATGGTGCGTGGCGCGATGTCAGCCACCTGCTCCTCCATCCACCGTCCATACAATCTGCCTACGAGCCCTTCCTGACGGGAATGAAGCATAGGAAGCACCAGCTTGGAACGTTTTCCCGGGGGAAGATCAAGGTCCTTGTTTTCCGTATCGCATGGCTTCATTGGCCTCCCCAGGCCCTCAAACAGGCTAATAAAGTATGCAGGGAGATGAGGCATAGTGCCACGGACTCGAGCAGACAACTCCACACATTTGACCACGCAAGATCCGTGCATTATTGACTTCTGACATTGCTGCACGCAGTATCACGACTGTCTTCTTCCTGGCCTACGAGTCTGCAAAATAAAACAAGAAAACCAGCGAGCTGCCTACTTGGGGTTATTAGGAGCGAAGGGTTCTAGGCGAACTGGAGCCCATAATTGACGGTCCCTCCAGGCTCCTATAGGCTATAAAAGCCTCTTGCTCCGGCTTAAGCGAGCCTAAACTCGACATAGCGCTGCCCTAAACCCAGCTACCGTTGGAGCCTCCGGGGCTTCTTAAATTATGCTCCACGCATATCTACCTCATAACGCTGACCTAACAATTGGTATGTACTCGTAGCATGCATGACTTGAACGCTCTTGTTGACTGCAATATGTATGCGTCTCTCCTCCATAGAGCCTTGTCGCCAGCAGTGTCACTACAGTCTTAATCTTCAAGCTTCAAATGAATGGGGTTGCTCCTCGTTAAGCCAAAGTGATAATGAGAAGGACTGGAAGGTCATGTGATCACGATCCCTCCTTCGGCCAACCTTCCGCCTCAATCTACACACCATTGCCCGTCCTTTTTACTTGCGGTCTTACATTGATACTGTATCCTTGCCGCCAGTGTCTAATGTTTCGAAACTGTCTCGCTGTCCGGTTTGAGTCAGAGGCCTGGATAGCAGCACGCTGGACAGCTATCGATAGCATTCACGCTCTCCTGGCTGGTTTGCTCGACTTCAGTCGATTCTTTCATGCGTCCATCGCCTGAGAATATAGCCAGTCTTGTTCTGTCCAAGTTTGACACGCTTCCTCAAAAATGCAAACCCAGATCTCAACCAGATGGCAGAAGAGAATGGACACCATTGTCAGCCATTGTTCTCGCCAGATCTGGCCGTGATCCTGAGTTAACGTGCGTGTCCCTGGCCACCGGTACCAAATGTTTGCCATCATCTGCTATGGTCAAATGCCAGGGGATGGTTCTTCATGATTCTCACGCCGAAATCCTTGCATTGCGTGGCCTGAACTGTTGGTTGCTGTCTGAGGCGAAAGAAGTCTTGTCTGACCCAAGCTACCGTTCGCCTTTTCTGGAGTTCGACTTGTCGGGGCCTTCCAATGCGGCTCGAGATCAGCCCTCCTCCCCGATGCCACCATTGAAATTACAGCAAGATATATCCATCCACTTCTTCACCACCGAGGCACCGTGTGGTGATGCATCTATGGAGATTTTGATCAAGTCAATGGGGCCGGGCGAAACAGAGCCTTGGCCGGTGGAGGATACCGCTCTGAAGACCCTTCAGGGACGAGGCCACTTTTCTCTACTAGGCTATGTGAGACGAAAACCTGCACGAGCAGATGCAGATCAAAGCCACTCTAAGTCTTGCACTGATAAATTGACCGTGAAGCAATTCACCAGCGTCCTCTCGTTCCCTACAGACCTCTTCATCCAACGGACTGAAAACGCCTACATTCGGACTCTGATAGTATATCGTGATCAATATGACTCCACAGGCTATGAGCGCGCATTCGGACGAAGTGGAAGACTCTCCAACGTTTGCAGCCTAGATCACCCATTTCGTATCGATCCCCTGCCTGAAGACTTTCCTCGGTTCATGTATGATCGGGCCAACACAGACTCCGACCATGAATGCAAAGCGAAGGTGACGAACATTTCCGCGTTGTGGATAAGGTGTGCTGGCACAGCAGCAGCAACAGCAGCCGACGTTGTCGAAGTTCTCATGAACGGCGTCAAGTCGGGCTTCAAGCAGTGGGATCAGAGGCCGACGAAAGCTAGCATTGTATCTCGATACAAGCTATGGCAACTCGCGCACAGCATGCTCCCCTTCATTCGAGATGAAGAGGAACTCCATCGCCCACACCATCAAGCTTGGGCTGATGGCCTATCTCAATCATTATCAGCTGAAACCTATGCGGCAGCAAAGTCCACGATTTTGCGAGCCGATCGGATCACACTCAAGAACGGCACCACTGATGCATTAGGCAATTGGGAGAATAACGATGGCGACTACAGCTGGAACTGCACGGATGTATAGACGTCTGTCTTGAACCGTGGACCTGAACGAAAGAATGATTTCTGTTGACCGAAAGCGGAACTCCAAATGTTTGGAGAGAACAAAAAAAAATGAAAGTTGAAGTTTTCCAATTTCCACCGCCCACAGTCAAGACGCCTTCCAGACAAGCCCATCTGGTTTGATCTAACCTTGACCTGGTTCTGATGTTGTATCCCCAGATCTGTTCCATCTCTCACAATCAGGACGCCTTGCAGACACGCCTGTCTGGTTTGATCTAACCCTGACTGCGGTTCGACAATTGATGAAAATTTATTCTCGATTATCGGGTTGTCGTCGGGATTCGAACGCGGGCCCTTTTTTTTGCTTTCCCTCCTCGCCTGAGTGAATGGCCATCCACCACACCGCCCATGTGGTTTTAACTTGAGCCATCACTTTAGGGGTCTTGGTGATTGTTGGGGAAAATTTCACTTGTTAAATTGATAGCAATTGAATAACGAGTGAATGGTGTTTTGGTGGGTCCAGACATGTGCAAGGCTGAGGGTGGCACCGGCAACGATTCATTGTTCTGGTACAGAAACGAGCCGAGAATTGAGCCAGCTACGTTTACGAGCATATTGGCCTTGACCTGGGAAGTGCTGATGACGGCGAGAAGCTTGAGACGTCGTTATCGCAGCATGGCTCAAACATCCCTTCGTCAAGCCAGGACAACAAAGATCATCACAACCACAATGACGCGAGTCTTGCCGTGGCAATGGTTCAAAGCGTATGACGTGCCTGGGCGAATGGATCGGCATCGTCTCCAGTGATGCACTTCTCCTTTGTCTTATGTATAGGTAGGCATCGATCTCGATATGGGCCTTGTACCCTCATTTCAAACAATTCAAAAGCACAGGACAAGCAACGCGAACCAGTAAGTAGATTTATTAGATAGACGTGTGAGGTCAAACGAAACCGTGGATCTATATCTTCTACTCCGAGGTACTTTTCACTCAGTACCGGACGGGCCCAGCATCTATGTGCACGAGATATCCAGAACGCATATATCTACTTGGATGTAGTAGCTTTGCCAAAATTCGTGGCTTCATCTGCCCTGCCCATACAGTATTCCAGCACATGCCAAAACTTATCAGCATCGAGGGACCTGGGTATCCGCACGCCCTGGCCTGAAGGTGCTTTCGTGATGGTGGTACGGCCAACCTGTTCACCTTCCAGGATGACATCCACGTCCCATCTCTCACCACCTTTGTCGTCAAATGCTATCCTCGCGTCCTCGTCCGGGTGCTGGTCCAGCAAGACGGCCACGGCGAGAGGGTCGTGCAGGGGTGGTCCCTCGGTCAAGCCGAATACTTGAGCGTAGGTTTGAGCGAAGAACATCAGAAGCTCATTGAACATTACGCGTAACCGCGATGGGTTTCCGTGGTTGAGAAGCATTTTTTGGACCTCCGGAGTGGCATAGGCTTGGTGTGTGAGGTCCAGCGGGATCAATATGGTCTTAGGCTGCAGCACTGGGTTCTGAAGTATTGACCGAGCCGCTTCTGGGTCTACCCAGATGTTGAACTCGGCGAAAGGTGTCATGTTGCCACTCCGGTCGTGAGAGACGCCTTGTGGATCGAGATATGCTGGGCCCATGGAGACGTTTGTGAAGTTGGACCCGATGGCACCGCCCATGGCTGAGAAGCCGGCAATGTGTTCCGCGACCTCGGGAAACGTTGCAAACAGGAGAGCGGCATTGGTGAGCGGGCCGCAAGTGACCAGATACGAGGTGCCCTTGGGTTTTGCGAGAAGAGCGTCTCGCATCTCTTTGACTGCATTGCAATGCGACAGGGCCACTCGTGACGGTTGGGGCAGTAGCGACGTGCCGGCCAGGCCGCTTTCTCCATGAATGTCAGGTGCCGTATTGACTGTGCGGCAGAAGGGCCGGGAAGCGCCTGGGACGACGGGTATCTCGGGTTTGCCTATGGCCTCGAGGACGCTGAGGGCATTGTTCGTGCACTTTTGCAGTGATGCGTTGCCGTGCACTGTCGAGATGCCCAGGAGCTCGAAACATGGGTGGTATGCTGCCATCAAGATGGCACATGCATCCTGAGAATGTGAGTAGCCTAGTATGCATTCTTCGGCGAGAACAAACTCACATCATGACCTGTCGCCAGGACATGAGTACGGTAACCAAAGCGGGCGGGATTGTGTGGGTGATCGAGAATGAGGCCTACCTGGATCGCAGTCTAGCCATAATGGTATCTTGTCAAATGGCATGGTTCGCCTTGTATCCTGATGGCACTTCAGGAGTATCCCAAGACACTCAGCGTCGTTACAAGTGGCTCCTGTTGAAGCCTCTACTGGGCTTTAATTTATATTGCGCTGGTCTGGAAGAGTAAGCAAGCACATGAACGCGCCTTATCGATACGGGAGGTAATACGACACAAAGGGAAGGTCTAGCGATGGAGGTCCAACGTCTCTCCAACTCCGACTCGTCGGCATCTTTCGCTGCGCGCAGCCTCGATGAATTTCACGATAGGCCAATCACACGCTGACACACCGCTCGACTCGTCTTGTGCTTGACCAAACCGGTGAGAATCTTTCGCGGGCCCCTGCATTGCCAGCGTGGCAGAGGGAGACGTCGAGCGACAACTACAAATACCTGTCGAAATGCTCCTCCACCTCGTCGTCCTGAAATGACTGCTACCTCGCCGTCGAGGCCGCCGCTCCCGCCGAACATAACCACAAAGTCGTCCTCTACAGCCTCATTGTCGCAACTGAGCGTTGTAGCAGGCAACAAGACCCCTTCAGAGCCCCGAGCGTCCTCTCGCATCCCCCCTGCTGGCCGTCGAGATGCTCAGATCCTGGACCCTACCTCGGAGAGTGCAACATTGTCCCTGATCAGGAGAACCTTGGTGACGGATGGAAACCACGGAGCAGATCCAAGAGCATCCCCTAGGCCGATTGAAGGGATCTTACCGCCACTCACCAGCTCAAACGAGGTCGATGTCCAGCTGTATGCCATCGTCGCAATCATCATCAAGGACTTTGTCAACTCATGGTACTCGAAGATCACTCCGGATCGAACTTTCATAGATGAGGTCATCCAGATCATTGCACACTGCAGCCGAGCGCTCGAACAAAGGTTCCGGCAGATTGACGTGACGGAGCTGTTCCTGGATGAGCTGCCGGTGCTAGTTGAACGACATATACATGGTACGTGCAACATGAAGGAGAGAGTGTGATTATGAGTTTTATATGTTGACGGTTCAAAAAATCAAGCATACAGAACGGCAACAACGGCTCAGGCCGCGCTGCAGTATGGAGAACACCCTCGCCGAATCTACCACTCTCTCAATCCGCATCCAGCTCTTGACCCTTGGCTCACCGACGAGGAACAACGCCGCCGCGAGTCAGCCTACCGTCAGTTGCTGGTCCAAGGGGCCCTCGCCGTGCTTCTGCCTACGGAGGACCTGGCAAACGCTTGTCTCAGAACTCTGGTGACGGACATTATTGCGGATCTCATCCTTGGACAAGCACTGGCAGAGAAAGTCTGTCAGCCATGGTTTCTACATGGAGCTGTCTCCAAGCTTGTGGAGATCGTGACATCGGCCCCTTCAAAGGCCGCTACCAACAAGGCAATCGTTCGACAACAAGAACGCCAAAGCCGTCTTGAGAAATTTGGCCTATTGACTGACAACACAGCGGATCAAGAGGATTATTCGTCGACACGACACCAATCATCGCTTAGCGCCTGGTTTTGGACACTGCTGCAGTACACCTTTGTCGCATATCAGTCCATGCGATTCATTCTCGTCGGCATGTCACATGCGCAGACGCTGCCTCCAAGGGTCCGCTCTCGGTGCGTTGACACGCGTGGCCCATCGTCGCCGTCGAAAGGAAACTCTCTCTCATCAGCGCACGGCAAATCGGACCCCGACGTCTTGTCCACCCGCGCCATCCTTGATTACAGGATATTCTCGTGCATTTCTACCATTCTGGATTTGTCGATTCGCATGCCGTGGCTTGCGGCTTCGTTGAGCTTCTGGCAGCACATCCTGGTTGATGGTCCTGGTGGCCTCGGTTCTGCAAGCTCAACCCTGGACAAGTAAGTGATATGCCTTTTATTGTTGATATTTTGCCAGCACAATTTTGCCCGCCGTACACAACCCCCATCCCCATCTTCTCGAGAATATGACCGAAAGACGGCAGTCTTTTTATCAACGGAGTCGCATTGACCTATGGTCATCTGATGGATCTTCCACCCAATGACGCCTACAATCAGCCATGTTTCAGGCGCGTGCTACTTCGCTACTTGGGCATGTCAGGCTATCTTTGAATCAGGAGGGTGTGCATGGTGGACCTGAAATACCATGATACCGTCGTCCGCCAATGACTCTGTTACGTGTCATGACAGCGTAAGAGCTTGTATCGTCAGGCTGGCTGTTGCGACTTGTGATTGGGCCAACTACTTTCAACACCATGCCTCTTCCGACTGGGTTGTACTCACAGCCCCGAATATTGTGGTCACGCCCCCAATGCTTCTCGCCTACATGAACTTGCCGAAAGAGATGTTACTGGCTTCTGGCGTCGATTCGCCGTGGGATGTCCAATATCTGAGATCCATTATCACGGTGATCGGCTATAGGACATGGACTTCGTCAGCCGGAGAGATGAGTAAGGGTCTAAATGTGGCCAATCAGGAATTTATCTTCGAGGTCTTTTCCAAGCTTTCTCGCGCCGCTGTCAAAAGCGCTCCTACCCGGAGATAGACGGTGGCCCGGCCCTGGTCTCGTCGTCTCCATCAAGACATGGAGTCTTGAATTTATTGTGTCCAGGTATCATGGGATCAGCCTTCAGCCAATGGTCGGTGGACAATGCTGCTGTTATTCAGTGACATGGATCCTCTCCACGTCCATATCCACCAGGAAAAAGACCCAAACCGGCCAAAAAGCCTCAGCAGGAAGCGACCATCCTTCGGTGCGAGCCAATGTAAGTCACTGTCGATGGCTTTTCTTGGAAATTCGACCAAGTATATCGCACTATTGGCTGGTGGTTTCGTTTGAAGACTCAACCCTTGCTCCCTTGTTGCAGAAGTTTCCCCCGCCGTACGAACACTCATTATTGGGAGCTTCGGCACCCACCGATAACGGAAAGGAAAGTCGTGAGACCTCCAGATAATGACCACGAAGACATTATCTTTACGTCACAATTATGAGGTGGTCAAAGACGACATTGTTATCCCTTACCTGACCTGCAATGTTATCTTTTGGGTCACTTGACGCGCCATCATGTCTCAGGAAGTCGCCGATGGGTCTTTGTACTACCCCAACATACTCTGTCGGCTTTGTTCAGACGCCAATCCCGACGGCCTAACAAGACCTGCCTACTTCAGTTTGGGCATCAGCTCCTGCATGCTGCTGCAACCATCTTTAACTCCAACCCTCTGTTCTCGCGAGTGGCGCTTCGAGAGATGAATTTACTCGCTGATTCTCCTCAAAGTGGACATTTCACACCACATCCCTGATTTTCTGTGGAAATTTTGGCTTTTCTTAGGTTCTCATAAACCTTGATCCTGGAACGATGATTATCTGAATTCTTCAATTCTGCTGGGAAAGGGTGCATTTGCGAACCGAGCAAGGGTGAGACGTGGGACCCTGGGCTCCGGACTGCAACTCGACACCTTAGGGCCGTCTCGGAGGGCTTTTCCTGCTGTGGCCTTCTCCATTTGACATCTGCACGAAGAATCACTCCATCACCAGTCGAATGAACACATGCTCGTGGAAGTGCGGCATGCTGTCTCCTTGCGCTCCTTTGAGTTCCAAACCACCTCCTGAACCCCATTGCCTCGTTAGGCCTTTCAAATCCTTGACTTTGGTCACGTGCGATCTTCTTGCTCCTGGCTCGTGGCCATTCATGAGCAGCAAGGCTCGCGAGCGAGATCAGGACAATGAGGATGAGGTTTTGCGGTGCAATTTGTTGTGTGTTGACTCGAAGGCGACGCAGAACTAAGTTTGGTCGTCTCGCATTACAGCCGACCAGGGCAGCGATTTTGATACTCTGCACGTTGGAGTGTTTCCGAGAACCTTTGAAACCTCAACCGCGATCAACATAACCCGTTCATTCAGCTCTTGTCAACTGGTTTCGAAGTAATCTGGCTAACATATGACATTACTCATAGGTTTCTGTACCATATCTTAACCAGGCGTGTTTTCTCGCCATCCCTTCTTCCACCTTTACTGCTCCAAGTGCGGGCAACTCTTTTCCCGAACAACTCGATGGGACCGCCAGCTCCTCCGCCGCCATCGATCGAAGAGGCAGCATCCATTCGGTCAAAGGCTGCCAGAGACATTCTTTCCCTTTTCCCCAAACCTGTGGCCAGCAAGCTCTTTGCTGTCACTGTCGAAGACGAAAAGGAGACCCAAGATGTAATGAGTACAGAGATCGAGGACAGTATCTTGTGCTGGACGAATGACTTAGACCTGAACAAGTACCTGGTTTACTCAATCTTGGAGCATATTCTACTCAGACTGGTGCCGGAAATGGAAGGGAAGACTCCTAGTGAGATATTAGCCGATAGAGGCATTGCACTTGACGACGCGAAAGAAGGTGAGGATATGGTGCTTGTTGATATTGGGCATAATGGAAAAATGTAACTTTATATGGGATTTCTTTACGGCTATTCAATCAATCATAAAGGTTGATCCTTGAGGGTGTTTCATCGTGTTGTACTGGTTTATTTCAATCGATTACGATGGGAACACTAGTCACCGTTATCGGTTTGGTATTTACCAGTTCTCTCTGTTCGTCATCTCAAGATATCGACCGTGGTGAGGCAGGCAGGCGGGCACTCGATTCTCCTGCACTCAGGGAATGTGAAGGAGGCATTTATGATTGGTGTCTACAACCCTATACTTCTTCCGTGGAGGTGGCATCGTGGGGGATAGATCTAAGTTCTAACTCTAGCCCATTGCTTTCGGTTTCGGTGAGGATCGAATCCAGATCCTGAGCAGGGTATCATGTCTTCAGAGACGTCTGCTTCGCTCGACACTGTACGTGTATATTGTGCATGTATAGCTTGACTCGACCTCTACGATCGAGGTACCTCCTGGATATCTGTGGCCTTGAAATCGCATGCAAAAGGGCGACAGACATGTCTGAGACTGTACCGGCGGGGATGCAGTATCCACCGGTTTAGTTGGTTAGTTGGACGCGGATGAGCTCCATAAATACATACAGTTCAACCTCCAAAAGTCAAAAAAGACCTTTCTAGACTGACTGACGGACTGACTGACTGCACGCACACCTCGGTCGCACTTGGGACACACACGGACACAAAGCTGAAGATGTGGTACACTTTGGGCAGCATATAACCCCAAGCTTTGACGAAGGGAAGAAGGATCATTTACGGAGTATTTGGTACATGCCAATAATAACATATTATACTTTTCGGCAATGCCGCACGCATTCATTATCAGTCAACGCAGACGCGCACGGCTCAAGTCTGACCTCAGACGACTTTCCCTCCTCCCCCCCGGGGCCCACGGGCGTCGGAGGGGAGGGAGGGGGAAGGAAAAACCAAAACGAAAAAAATTTCCTTGATCCGCCCAACGGGGAATCAAATCGACGTTACACACACACACACACAAGACACGAGTCCCGTCGGCTGGAACGAGGGCAACAGTCGCCTGACGAAACTCTCAGCGAGACTCCGTTTCGAAAGCCACACTGTGCCCGCTGCCCACGGCAGCTCGGCAGCACGGCAGCACGGCTCATGGGCGCCCCTGATCCAGGCTCTTCTCGGTGGGAATTGGATGTCTTCAGATATCCATCGGACCATCCTTGCCCGTAACACGAGAGGACGCCCAAGGGGGAGAAACGAGTAAATGTCTGTTCGTGATCTTCTTTTTCATGGTCGTCGATGACTCGGCTCCGAGAAAAACAACGATAACGTGGCGGCGTCGTGTGTCTCACGTGTAACGTCGCGTAGGCACCGATCGAGAGTTTCAGGGGGCAGCAGAAGAAGAAGAAAAAGAAAGCTAATTAAAGAACGCTACTCTTGAGCCTGCTTGGGAACAGGCAGGGGTGTAAGAGCCCTCGTGGTGTCTGGTGTGCGTGTGGCTTCCAGAACACATCATCCTTTGTGAGACCAGAGAAAGGTAAACAGAACGGGTGGATAGATAGTTGGATAGTCACTAACTTACTGACTGAGTGACTGCCTCACTCACTCACTAGGAACAAGTAGAGTGATCGTTGATTCGGAAGGATAGACAGACCCCAGCGGGTGCTTTATAGAAGGCCATCGACAGATACCTTAGTGACCGAGTTCTCTGTGCAATGGGCCTGACAAGATACCATTTCAATGGTCGACCATCCACCGTAAACTCTCTCTCTCTCCCTCTCCCTCTAGAGCCTCGTTCCCGCGGTGTACCGCCCTGAGGAGAGGCTTTGATTAGACGCTACCTGAAATTAGCGAGAAGCTTTTCGATGATCGTCAGTGAGGACTAGGACTCTTTCCTGGAACACATGTCTGAGTCTCTGTGGAACCGTTATCGGCTGCGATGGAGGTACTCCCGCCGTGGGATATGCACCGATGGAAAAAACAAAAGGCTTTCCACACCAAATTGTACGCCGAGACCTTCCAGTGTATGAAGTGGATGGGGTCCGTCCGCGTATGAAAGGGGTTTACGGAGGTCTGGACTCAGTGTCGATGACAGCAAGACCAACGACTCCAAGTTTCTTCCTGCATATCTTGACACCCTAGTCGGCTCTTGAGAGTAATCCATACGGGGAAAGCCAATGTTGTCTGCTAGTGATGCAGCAGGAGCGGCTGCATTGATCCCCAGAGAAATGTTACGATTTTCTTCCCGCAGCTTGAGAAAGGTTGGTTTCGCTTCTGTGTTGAGGAACCCCCAGTTCAGTGAGATGATAACAGATAGTCGACGCATTCGTTTACTCAGAATCAGGATTGTGTGACAGGCGCCCGCGAAACGCACTTGCATAGCGCATAGACCGGATACTCGTGCCGTCTCGCCTCGTAGAGACCCTGGAGAAGGCGTACAGACGCTCATCGACTTCTCTCCACTAGGCAGGTATGTCCATATCTTTCAGTTTCCCGGCTTCTTGACCCTTGATGCCCCGTAGAGAGGCCGATACCTGACCCCAGGACAGACATGTGAATGTAGACTCCCATGATCGTATCAGTTGTTGTTCTCCGTACTCAACCCAGGGTTGACTTCAGGAAAGGATTTGTCAGGTTGAATTTTCTGTATTGCCGATCTGGATTCGCGGCCTTCACGGGCACTTGGGATGGTGCAGCGCACTCCCTGCCCTAGGCGAATGTGTCATGCGGCCCAAAAAGAAAGATCGTCATTCACGGCGACTCCGGACGAGACTCGAACCTGGAATCTTTGTGAGTATTGCACAGCGGTCATGGGGGAGACTCATGAGAGTCCTCCACTCCTCGCCGGGAATGTCCTGGACATCAGCGCAGCACTCTAACGCTTGTCTCCCGCCCATCCCCTGCTCTTCTAAATCCTCTAGAGGGTCAGCGGAAGTCAGCTGCCGGTGTCCCATCGAGTATGGTAAAGGTCCACAAACGGTGAATGGCTTGGAAATGGCTTGGAAAGACCGTCCGAGTGGTAGATCTGCTGGGGCCTGGCCAAGGGTGCAATCATGCACAGGAGTCATGAGAAGCAGGGACTAGAAACGAGGTCTTTCACTTGCTGAAAGACAATGAGAGGCTTGACTGAGCGTCGTTTCAGCGGACCACACCATTGACGACGGGCGTTCATAGTCCGACCATCTCAGGGCGCTGCAATAGTGCCTTCGTTCGGAGTGCGTGCAGGGACAAGGGAGGAGAAAGGACCGCCCCCGATCCCAAAAGAATCTCACACGCTCTGTGGCAGTCCTATTGGACTCGTCGTTCTCATGGAGGCCCCAAACCCAAGCCAGTGCCGTGGATCCTCTCGGTTAGGGAAGCCAGGAAGTGACGGAGAGGTGGACCAGGGGCGGAAAACAAAGCAGCCTTGAGTGAGTTAGAGCATGGGGGAATAAAGGGCGTGATGGGCAGAGTGAAGAAAGTACTTCGAGGGAAACCTTTACCCGTTGTCGGTGTTGCTGGAGCGTCTTTCTGATGATCAGCAGGGACAGCAATTATACGCACGTTTCATCCAATGGCCATGCATGATGCCGCTCTCGCCGTGAAGCCTCACTTTAGCCTCATGGCCATGTTCTAGGTTAGGACGGTCTGTGATCGACAGGATCGACGCCTCGGTCTCACTTCGTCAATGAGACCTGTCTGCAGAGTCCTTTTGATCGAGACCTTCCATCCACCGTGAGCAAGAGATCCAAGACACTGTTCACCATCATGCCCCCTCGGTCGACTGCGCTGGAACAGCTCGAGTTCAGCAGAGAAACCGGAGGAGTCTGAGTATGCGTCTCTGATGCCATTGTTTCCAAGTATCCTGCAGTACTACTGGTACCAAATGGCTATGCAGTTCACCAAGATATCTTTGCTAAAGAGAGAGAGAGACATAGAAGCGAAGCTATATACTCGTGTTCCCTCCACCTACAATATTTCATCGATTCTGTTCCTGTCCGTCGACTGTACTTCCCTCAGCATACCCATGTCTCGTCCCCCATGCAGTCCGTACAAATAAAGAGAAGGAAATCCATCTTATCCTACACAACAGCACGGCTCCCGACCGCGCTGAAAGAAAAGCCGAAATAGAACAATTTCACCAGTGGAAACGTTCGCTTGCTCGCTTGCGCTCGTCATCTCTTTCTTCCTATGCAAACATGCCCTCATGAGATGAAAATGGGAGATTCGCGGTGAGGCTTGGGGTATGTCTAAGGTTATCATCATCTGCACGCCCATATTGTTTCTGTGGATAGAGAACTTCGTAAAGCCGGCCTTTCTCGTCCTCCTGTCAAGGTTGCTTTCGAGATAAGTCGGAAAAAGAAAAATAAAACATACTACTCCCGGCCCCTGTCATGCAGCCTATGGCCCGATGCGTTTGCTGGATCCTCGGTCTTGTCGAAGCACCTTGCTCGATTGTGTGTCTGTGTTCCCAATCCACCCTGAGCTCCTCGCTCGTGCCGAAAAGATTGTTAAAGTGTAGTTGTGCCAAAAAACTGGAATTCCATGCAAGATGCTCCTGGATGCTTGAAGGAACGTCACAAGGAAATAGACCAAAAGATAGCCAGGCATCACAATTTTTAGCCCCGAATCAAGTTGAAATCCCAAGAATGGTCCTTTTCTTCGAGATGCGCGGACTATCCATCATGCCCCCCGGAAGTAATGTGTTGGCTGGAGACCGCAGCAGCTTTAGCTTCTGCATCAGTTTGCCAATTGCCAGGTAGTCATCTGGCTCCGCGAGATTAGGATGCTGCTCCAAAAGCGCTTTGATTGTGTGGAGAGCCCTGATGTTGTCGTCTTCAGCAGGAGATGCAGGATGACTCACAGGGGACGTATCGGCAGATTTGGGGAGTGGTGGTGGAGGCATTGGCGAGAATCGTGCTTGTTCAGGGTAATGGATATCAGGCACGCTTTTATGTCTTTTCATCGTTTGCCGTGGGTCGATACCAGATAGTTCACCGTCGCCTGGAGAGGTCAATGATCGCACAGGCAAAGAAGAAGCCTCGTTTGAAGACGGCGAGGGACGAGAGTCAGAGCCGATACCCGGGACGTGAGAAAAGGTCTGGCTCCGTTGGCGACTGGAATTTCCTCTGATGTCTGGTATCGCTTCCATCATGGTAATTCCATCTGGGTCTTCCTGCACAAGTTCTGGTGTGATTGGAGACAGAACATCTCCCAGGGCGGGTTCTTCGAGGTTGTGCTCCAAAGAGGGCGAATGCCCATACGAGCCTTTTCCTGTGTCGAAGTCGAAGAACTCGTGTGTCTCTTCCCTCTTGAGGCGCAACTCCTCAAGAGTGGACATTGCAGGCGAAACCAAACCGTGTGATGAGGGTGGGGATTCATCCGCAGGTGTATGCGACAAAGATGTGGTACTAGAGTCGATGAGGGTGGGCTCCCCATCGGCGCTCTGACTGGTGATCAGGTTGTTCTTCCGTTTGAATGCTTCCAGCCACGCAGCACCTGACACTACAGCCTGATCGCTTCTGCTGAAGGAAAACACCTGGACTTGCTTGCGAAGGTCTTCATCCTTGATGGGGAGCCCTTTGACTTGCTGCTTTTTGACCCAATTGGTCAGAGTCTTTTCGAAGTCTGGCAGCTTTGCCTTGGACTTCTTCACAATTGGGCTCGTGCTTTCTTCCTTGAATTGTGGGTTCATGTACCTATCCCGCTGCCGCAGGATTTTTGACACGGTGCTATGGCAGATTAGCAGATGCTTTCGGCAATTGTGACTCCACAAGCGTACCTCCTCTCGACGTTGAATTTGGCTATTGAAGATTAGACAGTGCTTCTGATATATCGAGAGCCACATACCTCCGATTTGCGTTTGTTTCATGGTTGGATTCTGCTCAGCTTCAATGCACATTTGACGACGTTCTTCGTCAGTCAGTTTGCGCCGCGTTGGGTTGGTTTTGGCACTGGTTGGAGTGACGTCCGATGCCGTGCTTGCAGATAAAGGCGTCTGTAGGGACCCAGGCGTTTGAACAGGTGTATGGTAAGACGACGGCGGTTGCTGGCTCGCCAACATGCTCGGCCACAATCCAGTATGTGCTGTCATCAAAGGCGGCAACATTTGAGGGTGCGACGCAGCGAATGGCGAAGGACGATGCATATTGTACGCCGGCTCCAAAGGCATGGGATTTGGTGTATGATAGTCAAACGATGATAGCTCATGCAATGGTGACACTGAGGCCTGAGGGCTGGGAGAGTAAGAGCTATGGACGCTCATCCACCCATTCTGGTCGTACCCTGGGGGCTGAGACTCCTGTTGCTCTGGCGGCATGGTCATCAAGACCTGCATTGGTACTTAAGGTTTCGAAGCTTGCTCTGGTGGTTAAGCTGAGATACTGCTGTGACGATGCATACCAGTGGAAATGCACCATGCAGGTATCCGCGGAATCCACCACAGCAATTGACAGCCAGGCGTATTCGAGCTTCGTAGAGAACTTAGCAGCAGGAATGTGAAGGATAAAGAGGAGGCAAATGAGTAGGACTATCCCAACACTAGCTTGCCTGGAGAGAAGACAGAAGCATATGAAGAGGGAGACGGTCTTGATGGTGGGCGTTGTGCAGGTGCTATGATATGCGGGATGAAGGACCAGCCGTTGTGATCGAACCACAGGCACCCGGCGGGGGGTGAGATCAATTAGTCGATTTGAGGGCGAGAACGTCGGACCAGGGTTAGTAAGGTGTCTGCTGAATTAGGGCCTGAGCGATAGTCAAGAGGGACAGCGGCAGGGCTCGCTTCATGTGAGGGGTCTCTCCTTAGGCTGCAGACAGTCGGCAGGGTTCTTTACAGGGTAGGCAAGCAGGTGTGGTGTTGGTAAAGCCCGACAAGCTCGAACGGGATCGTGGTTGCGAAGAGCGCGCTCGTGTTTTCTTCCTTCTCTCGTAGGTTATCACTCACGCCAACAGTATGTCATTCACACTCGAAGGCGTGCTTGTTGGGATGCTTCCAATTTGTACAATAGACAAGGAGAGTTTTCTCAGTCGTGAGGTGTGGGTGCTAACAGGTCGGGCGGCTCCACGGCCTATAAAGCGGGAGGCTTAGGGAAGGCTAGCGGCCGGCACCTTGAAGGAACGGGCCTAAGGAGATCAGTTAGTTCAATTAGATGATGTTCGTGGGTTAGGTAGACCGTCTAGGCCGACGGTCAAGTCGCCATACTTTGTACTTTTTTATTCCTCTCCGAGAGCGGTACCGGCTGACAATTGATCCCTGAGCAGCCACCAAGTGTCGGGCCTCGAACGCTTGCAGTAGAAATTGCGAACAAGAACGTTCGGTCCGGCGTCATGCAGTGGCCCGGGTATTGGTCCTCAGGTATAGAATATTCCTCAATATAGGTCGTGAATCCGAATACTCGTGGTGAGGCAATTTGAAACAGAAATGGAAGGTAAAATGGTAACGAGGACTGAAGCGAGGGCGTCTATTCAAATGTTAAAGAACTACCCTTTTGTGTAAACCCCTGTCCGCTTCCTCCGGGCCTTCATCACTGTGCGTTAGGGCGATTGTGCACTCGTACTTGCGGTTTCGAGATGGTGCCCCACGCCACTTACAGAGATGCAATGCCAGAACGACCTTGCAAGTATTTCTCCTGGAGAGTCAATAAAAGACAGCTATAGCCTTTGCAGGCCTCGGGCGGGTGTCTAGCCTTTCGACGGACCGCCCGCAGCCGAAGCAATGACGCGGGCGATCACCCGGCCCACAGATCGTCCCAAGTACTCAATCGCACGGGCAGGCTCTACTGGAGACGTCTTACGTTGGAGAAAGCGGCCTTGGTGTCGTCAAGCTGAGGACCCGGGGGAAGTGATGCTTTACTGGACCCAACGTCAAGATTGATGTATTGTACAGTACGAGTACCGCTTGACTGACATGGCGGTACGGTTCGTGGCGAAGGCCGGTATTATTGAACTCGTGGGGGGACCATTACCAGGCCGTAGGCCAGTCCTGAACAATGGAAATCCATCATGCTTGTGTAGCCGAAGCGTGGGTCGCCAACAGAAAGTCGAGACTGGCCGGCTCGGCATCAGTGAGGAGGTGGGCAGGTAAGAAGATGATGCGATGCTCCAGACGATGCGCTTCCAGTTGTGCTCTAGTCGCCATGGCTTGTTCGCCAGGCGCCCTCTTAGGGAAGCCACCTGGTCGAAAGCTGAAAGGCATTTCGTCCGAATCTGGCGGTATCAAAGAACCTGGTGGAGAGCAGAGGAGGGCCAACAGGCAGCTTGAAACGCATTCTCTGGGCATGAATGGTCGGATGGAAGCCCTCGGCGCCAAAGCCATGGGCGAGGGGCAAATCAGCATCGCAAGAGGGCAGACGGTGGCCAGCCCGGGGCCCAAGTGGCCCAGTGCCTCTTGTCGAGAGTCCAGTCCGACGGCCCGCGGGGTCGGCAACCTCGAAGCTAGAGAAGCCACTGCAGGAGGTACTGGAGCAGGGCGTAACAATTCGTCGCTCGCAAAGGGCAGGGAGCAAAAAGCCTCAATGATTAATTAATGCCTGGTGCTTTCTTGTTGACGAGAAACAGTAGTTAGAAGTGAGAGCGAAGATTGATTATTGCAAGTGCGGGCGAGGGACCTTGCATTGTTCTCCACCAACCCTCGCAGCCGGCCACTTGGCACTCAACGTCGTCAACCATTGTGTATCCTCAACAGCAATATTCGCTCGCCTACGAAAGCCTCCCTGCACTGCTCGCCCTTTAGTCTGGGTGACTCCTCGTCCATTGCCCAACGTGTGGGCGCCAGAGTGACGTGAGTGGATATCTCCCCATCCTTGCCCGACACAGGCACCAAACACGCGCCCTCGCCCCCTCTCCTGACACCATCTGAACGAGGTCCAAAGCGGCCACGAAGAATCAGCTCATCTCAATATGCCAGCATTGGACCACTACCGGACACAATGGGGCTGGCATACTGCCATCAGCATGTCTCCGGAGACTGGAGCGCGGCCCGGAGCGTGACACCGTCGAGACTATCGTCCGGGCGGCTGCCGGAAAGGTGTCTTGCGAACGAAGCAGCGGGGCATTGGGCGAACAGCCAGGACCAGGATGATGTTGGGTCCCGTGTCGCCCGAAAGTGCATTTCAAGTGTGGCTTCTGGGTGTGCCCAAGCCACCTCGCTCCTGATGCAGAGAGAAGCTCAGCATGCAGAAACGAGGAATCATAGTCGGGGGATGGAGATGTCAAGATCCCCGTCTCACCGGCCCACGAGTTTGACACCTGCAAGTGCAAGGAATGCACAGGAGATCCTTGCACCATGGCTGCCCGCATGCAAGCCGCAAAAGGTTGCCAAATCCATGCAGCCTTTGCGGAGGAAACTGAACTGCTCCTCGTGGTAACCAATCACTATTTCACCCTCCGGTAGAAATCCACCCCAAAGGTGGTTGTTGCTCCGGTCAGGGCGGCTGCGGTCTCAGACTTGCAGGAAGTTGAGCTCGTGTATACACAAACTAAGCTTACTAAGGCAATTTTCCTTTGCTTTGGCCAGTTTGAACCGTTCAGAAGTGTATGCAGCTTTTCGTGCACGCTTCCTGGAACTCATAAATCGTGGCCAGCAAGAGTTTCTCCGGCCCATCAAGGCATGTGTATTGGTTTGGTCCTGGGGCCCGTCTCTTGCTCTGCTCATCTCCACACCCAGCTGGAATCAGCCGAGGATGGTCGCCGCCAACCTGCGCTATTCTGTTTGATTTTCGGATCCCGCTACAACTTTGCTCCAACACCTTGTACTTTTGCTACAGTATTACCGCGCTTTCCTTGGCCGTTGCTGCTCTAAATCAAAGCCATTTGCGACCGACGCCGAAGCAATGTGAAGGTGACAAGTCCTATTGCGCAAAGGAGGGTCGTAGCAAGATGGCTCAATGTTGGGCCGGCGGATGACTAGCCAGGAACCTGGCCGTTCTCAGCATCCATCTTTGGAGTCTGAATGCCTTAGTTGGTACTCTGGAAGTTATATCCGTACCATGGGGGCGGTCACTAGTGACGGCTGGAAAGTCGGGATCCGGTCGACGGGGATGTCGGAAGGCGAGGTAGCTAGCCTTGTCGAGGTGTACACGGGGTCCGACCCTGGATACATACCTCAAAACTGGTCCAGGGTGAAGGATCAAAAACACGATTAGGTGATAGGTAGGTTCCCTGAATGATCGAACGTCTCACTTTTTGACAATAGTGACTGGGGATCTGATGAGCAACTGGGGCACAAAGGAGAAGGGGGAAGAGACGTACCGATATCCTCATCTGCCAATTCATGCTGCAGACCCACCCGTTGAGGTTGGTGCTTCACAGAGCGGCCGTAGACAATGGCATGCTTGAATTGCTCAAGGATGGATCTATGGATTTGATTACACTGGCGCACGTTAGTCGAAGCAACATTCTCGCAGAAGGAGATTACTGACAAAATCTTCCACTGTGGAAGCATTCTTCCTAAGAACTACCGGCGTAGAATAATCTGGCTGCTTGCCTTTTGGCTTGGTATAAACTCGTTTCAGTTGAAGCTTTTCCCACATCAGCTCCAGTAACTCGTCAATATTCCAGCCATGTTCGGAGCTGATGGGACAAGCATTGGGGATGCGGTATAAGAGATCCAACTCTTCAATCGAAATCGAGTCAATCTTGTTGAGGGCGTAGATGACTGGTATGTAACTCCTGCTTTTGGCTTCCAACACATCGATCAAGTCGTCGATGGTGGCATCACAGCGAATTGCAATATCTGCTGAATTGATGCGGTACTCGTTCATAACCGCCTTGATCTCGTCGTGGTCGATGTGTGTCAGAGGAACTGTGCTGGTGATGTTCAGACCGCCCTTGTCCTTCTTCTTGAACACAATATTGGGTGGCTCCTTGTTAATACGAATGCCAAAACCTTCCAGCTCGTTCTCAATGACACGCTTATCAGTCAGAGGCTTGTTTACATCAAGGACAATGAAGATCAAATGGCAAGTTTTCGCCACAGCAATGACCTGACGACCTCGACCCTTGCCGTCTTTTGCGCCTTGGATGATGCCGGGTAAATCCAGCATTTGAATAGCTGCACCATTGTACATGACTTGACCAGGGACGGTGGTCAAGGTCGTGAATTCATAGGCGGCTGCTTCAGAATGCTGCCCGGTTAAGCGACTCATGAGGGTCGACTTACCCACTGAAGGGAAGCCAATGAAGCCGACTGAAGCGACGCCGGTTCTTGCAACGTCGAAGCCGCTGCCACCACCTCCTCCTGATGACGAAGGGGTCAATAGCTCCCTCTTCAGCTTTGCCAATTTTGCCTTGAGTTGGCCCAGATGAAAAGAAGTGGCTTTGTTCTTCTGCGTCTTGGCCATCTCGGCCTCAATGTCCTTGATCTTGTCTACTGTGGTCGCCATCTTGTCCGAAAGGGGCTAATTACCACTCAGGGAGAAAGGCCAGGGAGAGATGCCGAGCAGGGGAGGGAAGGCAGGTGAGGATCTTCGGTTTTTCTGGGAGGAAGCCAGAAAAGGCCCACTACGAATACTTTCCGTTGGAGGATTCGAAGCCAGGTGCAGGAGGGCCTGAGATGTGGGAAGTGTGTAGAATAGCAGCCGCGCTGTGTAACGAGGACTTTTGCGAAATTTTGTGCGACGTGAGTCAAGTGTATCGACTACCGAACAGTTGGTGTTGAGGTGAGTGACGATTGCGATGGAGAATGTGACATGGTGTGTGTGTCCGAAAGCCAACTTTTGCTTAGTGTGTTGGGTTTCGTGGCGCCGGCACGACTGCAAGTATTTGCCCCGCGGGCGCAGGCTGGTGGCACCTCGCATCAGGCACCAAAAGGCGATGGCGATGCCCGAAGGGCCCCTAGACCGGGTATGGTGCATGCCCGTACGTCTCGCTAAACTTGCTCCCTACCAAGTGGCCATTGCCCTAGGTAATAGCGCTGCAAGGCGAGCCAGTGTTTAATCACGTGATCGAGCTCCAGTACGTGTAGCTCCTCGTATTCGTACCTGGATTTTTCTCGGTCTTGTCAATGGCCAGTACTGCTCGTCCTAGAATTTGCTCACCAACACCTTGGTACCTACAGTACATCTTGCCCTGGACTCATAACAACAATGCAACAAATTGACCAGACTCACACTTCAAACCAGAGCCTGCGTCGGTGAGCATGTTTTACGCGGCCCTCTGGGACGGACACCTAAGCCCAAGCCAATCATTCCCCTAGACCTCGAATACCCGTGAAATTCCGTTCGGTGTTCAAGAGTCCATGCTTTGATATTCTGATCCCCGACAACCCGATAACACTGTTCAAAAGAGACCAGATCAGCCTTTATCTTTCGGTCAGCTGCAGTTATCCAGCCTCAACAAGTACGTGGTCAGCAGATCCAATCTACCCAGGAGTCAATGTGTGAGTGAATGACGACGCTCTCTTTGCCCTGATAAGTCCTGGCAACCTCTCTTTCGACGCTGGCAGTACAGAACACCGCCGTTCAGTATCCGTTACTCGCATGCAGGCTTCTGTCTGCTCTGGCTTGTGCTGTAAACATTCGCCTTGCGTAACCTCCTGGTTGGAAGGCGTTCTTGCCTGACAAAGAAGCCGCACACCGCCAGACGCAGAGTTGCTTCACTTGACCTGTTTCGGAGGACCACATATACTTCAATCGCCCATTTCTACATTCTATTTTCCTCAAGATTCCCTTCTCTTCTCTTTTTCCTCATCCTCATACTCAACCCAAAACATCAAACTCCCCAAACAAGATGCTGTCCTATCCAGTAACCGTCATGGGCAACGAACACCACATGGTTGACGCCTTTGGGCCGAAGGCTGGTGCAACACAGTCATCCCGCCGCGATGACAATTCTAATGAATTCCACCGGCTCGTCCGTGCCCTCTCAGACGTCCTGGGCCCGTCGTCGGGTATCAACTCAGAAGATGTCGATGAGAACGACCTTATTCGGCTGATGGAGGAGTACGACTCCCAGGAAGGTGACTGGTGTCGGTACGCCTTTTCCGACCCGAGCCGGAACTATACTCGGAACCTCGTGGACGAGGGCAATGGCAAGTCCAACCTTCTGCTCCTCGTCTGGAATCCTTGCAAAGCTAGTCCAATCCACGACCATGCCGACGCCCACTGCGTCATGAAGGTTCTCAAAGGAACCCTCAAGGAGACCTTGTATTCGGTGCCACCAGGTCAGAGCGAAAGTGACAGCAGTTCTCCTGGTGCAGCCACGCCTCCTCAAATAGTCAAGGAGACTTTGTATCATGAAAATCAAGTCACCTACATTTCAGATAAGATCGGCGTCCACAAAATCTCCAACCCATCACTTACGGAAGTGGCGATATCGCTGCATCTGTACACGCCTCCACACGCTGCACACTATGGCTTCAACATATTTGATGAGAAGACTGGGAAGCCAACACACATCCAACAGGCCGGGTTTTTCTCTGATCGAGGAACGGTGATCGAGAAGTGCAAGTTTGGTTCCTTTTAGGTGTGAATCGCGGCGATGTTATATGTCTATCGTTGAAAATGCACACTTGGTAAGTGCTTTTGTCAAGCCTGGTGTTCACAGGTGTTCAGAGAGGGTTTGAGGGCCACCTGGGCAGGGTAGGGGCGTTTGGGTTGCATGACAGTGAAGATATGGAGGACTATGTTTGCCCCGTGTTTTGGATCTCATCTTTTTGGGATCTGTCCGTCCAATTTTTAACCTGTCAGGGATTTATGTGGGAAGGTACGGCCATATGCGATTCTCTCTTTTCTGATCCCTTTCAACAGATAATCCCGAGGCCCAGTATGGTATCTAATTTTGTTTACCGAGGCGTCGGACGCAAAACAAGGATCTATCGATCCATTATATAGGCGTTCTTTTTTTCTTTCTCAACGCGACAAGAAAATGTTCAAGGTGAAATTTCCGTTTCTCGTACTTCGGACAATTGCGTATGTCGTGCTTACTGCCCTCGGCATGCTGGATACAAAAGAGTGATTACTCGTAGATAGGGCAACGACCCCGTTGCTCCAAGTCCACCAGCTTTTAAGCTATCTGAGGAGAAGCGCTGTAAAGGCACGAGCGGGAATCGAGTTCCACAATGCGTTTTGTCAACTAGCTTGTGGTCCTGCACGCGCGCCCAATGAGAGACAGAAGCGCCGTGCCGCTGATGATGGAGGTGGCAGAAACGGGGATGCGGATGGAGATGTGCGTTTGATGCTGAGAAGTCAAAGTAGGATGCCATGGCACATATATCTGCGCAGTTTCGCCCGGTTCAAGTCAAAACGAGTGTGTCACAACTTATCACGATTTAGGTATCTTTTATTTGTCCAGACAGCCCGAGGAAGTAGGTACCTAGGTACATCTCTTGTTTAGGGGGATACCTGGATAGGACCTTCGGTAGGGAGACGATCAGCAGCGGACGGCGGGTCATATAACAAATTGTACCCGAGACCAGACTTCTACTCTCGAACCCAGAGGCACTCACTCTCACTTGTGTATTCTCCAATCTCCGTACTCTTCGGTACTCGTCATCTCACCATGCCTCCTCTGACGGCGGAGCAAATAGACGCAATCACCAAATCGGTGCACGACAACTTCGCGGCGCAACTGTCGTATACGCAGCAACTCATCAGGTTCGGAGGGCAGCGCGGCGAAGAAGGGGCCGTGCAAGACTTTGTGTTCGACGCCTTCGCCACGCGCGGCTATGCGCCCGTCAAGTTCGATATGGACGAGTCGGCGCTCGGGAAGCACGAGGGAGCGGGAAAGTTTAGCCCGACGCACAGTCGCGCTCCCGTGGTCGTGGGCGTGCACAAGCCCAAGGCTCAGTGCGAGGGCGGGAAGAGCCTGATTCTCAACGGGCACATTGACATTGTCCCCCTTGGGCCCGTGGACATGTGGGCGGACGATCCGTACAGTGGGAAGATCGAAGGCGACAAGCTTTATGGTCGTAAGTTTGTTGTTTTCCTCAGGCTACACTTGACCCTCCTCCTCCTCCTCCTCCTCCTCTTCGCTCCTCCATTAGTCCCTTAACTCTTTGCTACGACGTCCTGCCTAGTTTCATGTCTCGTCGACGTCTTGATGACCATCATCTTTGCTGCTCCGACTCCCAATAACCATGATAACGAGACTGACGATAGAACAACCAAGGTGGTGCCGCCGATATGCGCTCGGGCCATGCGAGTAACATCTTCGCCCTTGATGCTCTTCGAAACATCGGCCTTCAACCGGCATCGGAAGTCATTATCCAGTCTGTCCCCGAGGAGGAATCGACGGGCAATGGCACGATGATGACCCACCTGAAAGGCTACAAGGCCGATGCGGTTCTTATCCCGGAACCCGTACAGGAGCAGCTTGTGCGGGCAAATGTTGGTGTCTTGTGGTTCCAGATCGAGGTCAGAGGCCGACCGGTGCATGTAAGGACCATGGGAACAGGCGTGAACGCAGTCGACGCATGCTGGGGAGTCGTGGGAGCACTGCGCGAGCTCGAAGCCGAGTGGAATCAGCGACATGCGAAGACGAAGTATTTCGAGGAGGAAAATCATCCCTTGAGTAAGTCAATCCTCTCGTTTCCTATGAATATCACATCCAGTAGAGGTTCGCCGCAACCGACAAACGCTTCCACAGTATTCGATGCGCGACGGGATGGCTCCGCCCAGATTCCCATCTGAGGCCCAAGTTGCAATTCCGCTTGGCTGGGTCTTATAGATGACAAAAGGCTCAAAGTTACATGAACCCGGGTTGTTCAGGTCTTATCAGCGAACTAACAGTCACGCTGGATCGGACGTCGCTGACCATTTCCCAAAACAGACTTGAATATTGCAATAGTCAATGCCGGCGACTGGGCAAGCTCGGTGCCTGCTTGGTGCAAGATCGACTGCCGAGTTGCCATCACTCCTGGCACCACGGCCAAATCCGCCGCCGACGAAATCGAAACCAAGGTCGCAACATACGCTGCATCTCACCCATACCTCAGCAACAACCCGCCCAAGGTGATCTGGAATGGCTTCTTTGCAGAAGGATATGCCTTGGAGCCGGGGACCGAAGCGGAAAACATCCTTCGGAAGGCCCACAAACAGGCGACAGGAAGCGAACTCACCACTCAGACGTCCACGGCGTATCTAGACGCAAGGGTGCATAGCTTGTACGACAAGATCCCAGCACTTGTGTATGGGCCAATCGGTGAGGATGTACATGGATTCGACGAGTGGGTGAGTATCGAAAGCGTAAAGAAAGTGACGGTGGCCATGGCCCTGTTCATTGCGGAATGGTGTGGAGTAGAAAAGATATAGAGTGGACTTCTCGTCTACACAGCCTGTGAGGTCGCGGTTTAATACTCGACCGGCAGGTCAATATCAATGATGATAGGTTTGTGGAACTTCTTTCCAGCCTTATGCGGCCAATTCGTTGCCATGTATGCAGCATTCACGATGCAAGTCTCCCGTCTTCCCTCGCGACCCAAAATTGCCTCTTGATCGGATCTTGAGCTGGATGCCGGACCACCTTGGCCCCGAGAAGACAGCATTTTGATGCTGTGCAGATCGGGTACCGATGAAAGTGGGCGCTGAGCTTTGTCAAAGTCTGGAAAGGGCAGTGGATCAGGAGTTGGCAGAGTGAGGCGGACAGTTCCATTCATGTTGTCGTCGGACGATATGTCGTCCCAGGCACCGTCAACTCCAGTGCCACGAAATCGATACAATTGTTGATTGCCCACCAGAGGTCCAGCACTCCCGTCATTGTTCAGCATCAAAGACTTGGCTCTAGACGACAGGTCAACAGTGTATTGCTTCTTACTTTCCGGATGCGCATCTTCCCAGTAGCGGATATCCTGCTCTCTGAACTTGATATTAGGAGACGACAAGTCCCAGCTGACCACCTCTACTCCGTATGCTTCGTGAATATGTCCACAGACGAATAAGCGTGGGCGGACTCTCCACAGTGTCTGGCGGAGTATCTCGCATCCTGCCGTTCCTCGCGTGCTACATTCATCTCGGTGGAATTTTGCCGGAGTGTGCGTTACCACAATGTCCGAGTCCAACGGGATCTGATCCCACAGAGCAGAGGCTTCTTCGGCAGAATAGCCAAAAGCCCAGAATCCTCTTGAGGGGGAGTAAGGCGAACCAAAGATCTTCAACGGAGTGACAGCGCCATCATCGTGCGCGAGCCGTACCAATCTTGACTCATGATTTAGGTATATGATCGAGTGTGATGACAGGAGGGCAATAAACTGCTCGGGGTCTTCCCTTTTCTGGTTATGGAAGTAAGTTCCATATTCTCTATAGAAATCGACGTCGGCAGTAACATCGTGGTTACCACAAACAACGATCTTGAGCTTGAAGTTTGTCTTTGCCAGCCAGGAGACCGTCTTTTCAAGTTCGGACCGACTTCCGTTGTTCGTGAGATCCCCGGCATGTATGAGGATGTCTCCAGAGGGAAGCCTGGGCGTCTGATTGTGAGTATCAGAAATACAGACTATGCGGGTCCGTCTAGTAGACATGTGAGGCGGATGATGTACGATGTTTCTCAGTTAGGTCTGTGGTGCTGTAGCCTGCGAGATTTCATCTTGGTGCTGAAACCAGAATTGATACGTTGCTCCCCTACAGAGAGTATGAGTGTGACGCATGCCTCATATGGACTGAATATTCCTTCACGAGAAACCCCGAGGTGACTTCCTCTGCGTTGTGCGGCTTCCTCTGGCCCATCCGAAGCTCAAATAGACGTCAAGTGCTTCGTAGACTGCAGGGTTCGACTGATCCGATCGTGGGGCTGTGACTTTCGAGAACCGTGCATTGGATGACCTGCACTCGAAGCCTGGCGTGCAGGCGACGCATGCAGGAACCAGGACTAAAAATTAGATGATGATGAAAGTTTGGCTAATGGGACAGGGACCGCAGCGAGCTCGGAGGTGTCGTCGTCCTTTGCAGCGTTCTCTACCTGCCCAGCATCAGCGAGCCTCACTCAAACAATAATGCAACAGTAGCAGCTATCAATTGGGTAGGTGGACAGTCGATCAATGGGTTGCTTCGTGAGATGGAAGAGTCCACGTTGTGGTGGTGGATTTGGGGTGATGCTGGAGTTCGGAACGAGCCTTTGCAGGGGCTCAACGGGCCTACACACTTGCGATAGCGCCTATAAGCACCAATATGGGGTCGCCCAACAGCCACCAAGAATTGAATATTCGTACGGTAAGGTACAGTAGTTTGACGAGCAGATAGGATTTGTTGGTGTCCCTGTAAGCTGTATGATGTACAGTATCTTGTTGACCCCCCTGACCCTCGCCATCCTCCATCAGCGCCATGCTATAAGCGTAGATGGCGTCCACAATCTGTAACCTTAGTGTCTGTCTAGATGGCCTCAGGGCTCCAGAGCAATGCACTCTGTCGTCCGCAGAGCGTCCGCCCGCCAGATCTTTCCCCGTTGAAGCCAAATGTGACAGGTACTCTCGATTCGCGCTTGGTGATGCACCGATGTTGCCAGTGGCGTAGAATTCATGCTCATGCAGCCCGTAGTTGGTGTGACCACGCAAGTCAACAGCTAAGCAACACGGCATAAAGAGGAGAAGACACCTTCGTGGCCAGCGTCCGGATCCCTTCGTGGTCAATCGACCAGAGATCAGAGGGTTTCTGAGAGCAGCCCCAGTGTTGCGAAAAGGGCCGCCCTTGGGAATTTCACCATCGCACAAGCGAAGAAGACTAGCCAGGGGAGGCGATCCATGTATCAAATCAGCACATGGAAAACACGTCGACGACAACAGTTGCTTCACCTCCGCTCTCCTGTCGTGCCTTCACTTCTCCCCCATGTATCAGCAATCACTCTCTCCGCGACGACGCCCATCATGATCTTTGTCTGCGCGTCTCCGATGCGTCTTCCTTCCGACGACACACTCCACATCCTTCCACCGTCTGCATCATCGCTCCCGCTGTCAGCCATGACTTGACATGCATGCGCCCACCACTCCGGAAAAAGCCCAAACTCACTGCGACTCCCACGACCACCGCCAATTCTGGTGACAGCCTACAGAATTCTGACGTGTCGAGGTCTGGGATGCTGAAACCAGTTGGTCTGCAAAAAACCACGAGTGTCCCTTCATTCAACCTCCACCCTCTTGACTACGACGATCCCAACGACTGTCGACCATCCACGTCTAGTGCTGCTCAGCCTGCAATCGCCCTGCACAGAATCCACTCGAGTTCTAATCACCGATCATTGTCCCAGAAAAGACCGCCAGCGTCGCACAGTAGCTATCCTGTCGAAACGATCTGTGGCCCGCCGCCTTCCTACAGCACTCAGCAGACTCGGTCGCAGGATAAGATCCGAGCAGTCGATCGCCAACTCGGGCCTCAACCGACGAGTATTACGACGCGTGACACGCCCTCCCACAACATCAATGAGCAGCCACACGAACCCAAGAAATACCTCGCACAGTCATCGCTGGTAACGCGGGTCCCGATCGCGTCCTCCAGCGCAGAATCTGTTTCCGACGAAATCAACACACAAGACACGTCAGACCGAGACACTCCCATCACGCCAGACGACCTCGGTTCCTTGGTGGGTGCCACGGAGCGATCAACAATGGCTGAGTCCTTTGTGTCCGCGGAACAGGACCTATCAGAGCAGCGACTGAAACCGAGTCCCATTGACGAAGACAGCAAAGGGTCGAGCAGCGACGAGCGGAAAAGCGAGGATTTGTTCTTGAACATTGCAAAGACAGATGCATCTCGAAGTTCTCAAGTTCATTCCAACATTGACAAGAGACGGTCCCGCATTTCGTTACCATTCTTTTCCAACGCCCGGCCAACGACGGGATACAAGTCCTCCCCCATCCAAGATCGCTTTGACACATCAAGCTTGTCAGGTCGGTCAGAGGCTCTGAAGTACTACAGCAAGCGAGCGTCTCTTGGACAACATGTACCCGGTGCGCTTTCACGAGCATACACCGAAGACACGCTCCGGCCTGATTCACTGGCTTCTCCGCAAGACACTCGGGGTATTCAAGACGGTGACTTGTCACGACGAACGCTCTCTCGACGTTACTCAAATGCAAATACAAGCGTTACTGGTGAACCATTTAGCCGTCATCTGCAGCGTCCAAGTACTGCTCGCAACAGCCGCCTGGTTTCTGATTCAGGGTTCTTGGACCGCTCGAAAGTACCTGATCACAACGCCACAGAGTCGACCATCTCTACCACGGCCCCTTCTACCGTCTGGGATGAGCTCGACGATCTCAAATCGAGAATTCGAAAGCTTGAACTCACTGGAAAGCTGCCTCCCTCGTCAGCTGCTGCAATGACCACGTCTGAGAGACCCAAAACTGCAACCACGGCGGCAACAACACTTTCCTCGTCGCCAAAACCAAAACCTGGTGCTGCTCCTTTGCAGTCTGCAATTGAAGGCATACCATCCAATGTTCACCCCACACTTCATGAAGCGCTTGGCAAGGCTAAATCTGCGCTGAGCAGTGAATTGTATCAGAAATTGCAGGCTACCGCCCAGGATGCATTACAACTTTCCATCATGATGACTCCAGAGGGATATACCGGAACTGGTAGCACTATCGGCGCCTCTGCGGTGTCTGAACGTCAAGTACGGCGACGAACCGAAAGCATGTGCAGGAGCCTGACGGAACTGGCCATTGCAATATTGGCAGAGAACAAACAAGCACCAACACCAGGTACCCGGCCTTCCAGCCGAGACACATACGCTCCCTCTTCTCTAGGTCTTCGCAGCCGTCGATATAGCAACGAACCAAATGACCGTCCTCCGGTGTCGGCGAGAGTGCAGTCTCGGCTAGAAAGTAGGCGGACCAGCATCCCCCTGGGTGCCACGTTGAGTCCACAAGGGGCAACGCCCGAACATACCTACCAGACGCCTCCTACAGCGCTACCGCAAGTCCCAGCGACTTCGTCGTCCAGGCTTGGATCTACATCTAACTCGTTGCGAAGCAGGAGGACTCCTGGACAAACAGACGGGATCACTGCCGACGAAGAGGCAAGCCCTTCTGTCCGACCCGTGAGTCGAGCTATGACAGAGGTGAGCACCTATCGTAATTTGGCCCGGGATCGTGCTGCGTACTCTCGGGAGTACACTGCCCAACACCCTATGCCCCAACACGCCAGACCTAGGTCGCGCGAGACGAGCAATCCCATGAGGAGCGCGATGCCGTCGAATGTGAGCTCCAGCTTGATCTCCAGGCGAAAGCATGCCAGTCCAGCAAGCTTGGTTGGAACCCCAGATGGAAATCCTACAACACCAAAAGATCAATGGGGCCGAATCACAATTGTACCCGCGGCCATGTCTAGTCCCATCGAGGTAACACCAGAAAGCCAAGTAACACTCCGTCCATCCAACTCCAGAAGAAGCCTTGGATTCGCGAGCAGAATCAGTAGCGTCAGCAGTCGCCTAAGAGCGGCAAAGGCCGAGCGTAGCGCCAGCATAAGGGAGACCCCGGATTCCGAGGCATTGCGAAATATTGCACCATCAGGTCCGGAATTGGATAATATGGCGTTAGAAAGACACAATTCAGGCCATAGCGTTGGATTGGGATGACGACACTGTTGTCAAGATTGTAACATATCATGTACGAAGACAGCGTCGAGAAGGCAGTCCTTCTCCATGGCCTAGTCCATTGTTTGTCCTCAAAACAAGACTGGTGAGGACCATTGGATCGGTCTGGAAGTATTAGACTTAATTAAGCAAGCCGCGTCCATGGCGCTGCGGTTTTTGAGCGACGTGTGTGGTGTTGCCCTGTCCTCCTTTTCCTCCTGATTCTCCCATGCCTGGTTGATTGGCAGGAGATGGCATTTGGCAGACGTCGGTTCGGATTCGATGCCAACAGATCCAATCAACAAGTCTGACGAGGCTTCACGCCCATCCACGTGCTGGCGAAATTTTCAACGCTGATGAGTCTCTTCCCCACCGGCCTCGTATGGAGTGTGGTGTCATGGCCGATGCCCGAAGCCCGCTGCAGCCGGACGATTCCAATGACTAACAAGCAACAGCACAGCGTTGCGGCGTCTCGCATTGTCTATGGGCAGGCTCAGTCATGGAATGTGCTCGCCCAAGGATGTCTCGCCCACAGTGGGAACGTGCCTGGACACGCCATTGTCGACGAATTTTGGACAATGAGCACCTTAACCCGTTTGAGGACCTTAATTGGCCAGGCGGATGTCGCCATAACCAATGATGATTGCATGTGTGTCCTCTGTGACTTCTGCTGCAGCCATGACACACGAGTATAAGGAACGAGGCATTTCCACCGTCGAGGACAGTCTCCAGCTGCCCACTTCCTTCGAGCAACAGGGAACAACAACAACTACACAGGGAAGACTGGGAAGGGCCAGATCTCTACCTGGTTGGCCTGCCTGCAATTTCGAAACATCAGTGACATCAACTGGCTCGGCATCCCGAACTCCTCCTGCGGGCACAATCCATCACTGCAGGCATTCGACGCGTACGAAAGTTTCGACCGACTGATTCTATTACAGCCAACACCTCTGGTCACGCCATATCTCAGTGACTCACTGTCCATTAAAGAAATCATCTCCCTCCCACCATCCCGTACTCGTACCGTCGCTTCTATATCGAAACATCTTCACTGAACTTGACCAAAGCCATCATCTCCTTGATCGCCATGGCCCCTTACTCATACAACAGCCCCCCTTTGGAGTCGCCTCCCCACAGTCCGCGGTCCCTGGATTCCAATTCCGGTCGATCATCTGAGGAACGGAAATCATCCTGCACATCAGTCCAGTCAATAGCTGCCGTCTCGCCAGGCCTTGTGCCCAAAGTCCAACTGGTGCCCTACACGAGAACCGCGAGTTTTGACGTCGTCTTTTCAGATGCCGAACGAGAAGTGTTGAAAAACACCAACTTTGACTCGATGGACTTGTCCTCCCAGGACTTCGAGTTTGAAGACATCTTCACCTACGACAAGCCCCAGAAGAAGCTAGCCAAGGTGGTCGAAGTATCCAGACCGACCAGAGAACACCGGGACTGGTCGAATTTCTCTTTTTCTCATTACTCTGCGGCGATAAATGCTCGACAAAAAGTCAACCGGCAAAAGTCAGGCATCGGAGAGCTGTACATGAAGAACAAGAGGGATGCTCAGAAGTATTGAAGAGGTTGACTCTCATTTCTTTTGATGTTGAACGCCGGGCTTCATTCGACAACCTATAATTTCCCTTTGACAGATTTTTTCCTTCTTTTCGACGTATGGAGCATGTCAGGGTGAATCGGTTACGATCCTCTCACTCCACTCCATATCGCCGACTCACCATTGATACTACGACATTCGAACGACATTTTGGGGCCAAGGCGCACGGGGTTAATAAATGGATGAGACACGAAGTCACCGGTATGGGTTTTGGGTGTTCTGGAAAAAGGACTGAACTGGGCGGTAGGGATAACTTCTTGGGGACACTGCAGGGCAGGTTGGGAAAACATAACATTGCATACTTATACCCCATAGTTATCCATTTGTTGGAAATACGCGACGATCCCCTCGCATACCACTGGCCTAAGCTGGGCAGGGGCAGTCTGCACTTGCTACTCCGTATACGCGCGAGAGACCGGAGCGTCTGTAGCATTCGGACCGTCGGCGAGGTTCGCTGATGAAAATAGACCATTTCCCCTCCCTAACCTAAGAACTTCGCTTTGGAACAGTACAAAATAGATTTCGAACACGAAAGGTCGCTTACCTCTTATGGCAACAGTAAGCTGACTAGCCTCGATGGACCGAGCATACTTAGTGATTGCCATCGAAGGTCATGGGCCGATGAATCTCAGCATCGATCAACTGGTTAATGCCTGGGCCGTGGGATTCATGGCGCATCTTCAGAAGGGGAACTTGTACGGCCGATTTACCAACAAGGATCAAAATCGCACAAGGAGACGAAAAAAGCCGTTGTTTTGGGGCCAGGTGTTATTTCTGGGGGGGAATCAAAATACTTTAACTCTCCGTAGTGTTGTCCTTTTTTAGACAGCTGGACAGGTGGGCGCATGGACAACTTTGCTTTGTTTGGCTTGTAGCAATCTGAAACGAAGAGCAATCTCCATTCAGTTGAACGGTGTAGAAAATCAAGGGACAACCGGGGAGTAATACAACACAACAGTAGGCGGATGGGTGTCTTTGACTCCGTATCTACATGCTCTCTGTCGAGTTGTTGAGCATCATAGAATCAGCATCTCGCCTGCGCTGTTCGACTTGGACTTCTCACATTGGTGTCTGGACGCATCCGGGAGACAGCGGGTTTATCTGTCGATTTGTTGGCCCATGAGCTGTCTGTGGCACGCCTGGATGCGCGCGGCAAATTTCGCAGGCCAATGAGGCCGGCATGGAGAATCTTTTTATAGAAGCATTGGCACCGTTTCAGGATGGAGGGGCTTTGACCAGCCTCCCAATCGCAGCCTCAGCATGCAAACCCCTTCAGAGGCTGCAGGGAACAGTCGCCTTCACCGTCAAAGCGCTGAACAGACAGCCAGACAGCCAGACAGCCAGAGGCAGACACCACAGGCAGGCTTCAGGTGCGAGATTGCTGATCGACAGATAATTCACCGTGTCGCTGCATTCTCTCCAGCAAGTTGGGATCTTTGTATCGACTCTCGTCCCTGCTTCACCTCCGACTCCCCCATTGCGCCATATCCCGCGCCTGTGTCTCCATTCGATTTGCTATTCTCTCCCTGGCTCGAACTCCACGTTGCTGCTAGTCTTGCTTCTCTCGCTTGTCGCAGAACCCTCACCACTCAGTCGCCAGCCTCAGTCACCCTCACCTGTCCTCCGACTCGTTCACACCTGGCCGCCCTGCCCAGGACCATCGCACCCTCAGATCGTGCACACCGATACACACGCACATTCCTACGAGAAGGGCACCATCGTTCACATCTCCCGAGCCCGTATTACTTCCCAATTCTCCAGCCGCGGGGATTGGACTCGAGCGAGAGCCTCAGGCGAATTGCTGCGCCGCACTTTGGATACGCGCCGAATCTGAAACTGCAAGAGGAGCCCTTGTCGTCAGACTTCTCCCTCAAGTTGCTGCACGCTCTGTGGCATCTCTGTCGTGCTTTGTTTTGATCGTGGTACGTTGACTCAACCTCACTTCCCCAGCATCTCATTGTTCCTCTGCGACTGCGAATGCAAAAGTGATTGTCAATGCGAATTATACAATGCACCTTGGGCCATCCGCAGTCGCAGGCATAGTCACGGTCGCAAGCCACAATGTTACAAGATGCTCCAGGCAGTGCTAATTGCCATCATCGCAAAAGATCCTTCGACTTGATCAACGGTTGCGCCTCAACACGACCCTCTCCTCGTCATGGTTCGACCTCTTCAGTCTCTTCCATAGACTACCTCCCTTCCGACCCCTCCACATCATCTTCGAAGAAACGACGACCACCGTTGCCACGATTTTCTAACATGCCCATCGGAGTTGGCACGATCATGTCCACACCCTTCCCATCGTTCATGACAGTCGTTGGGGAAACCGACACAAGCGTGTCAAAGGATATGGACGAATTGCCTTTACCAGACTCAATACAAAGCGAAACTCAGATACTCATCACCGACGCAAAACCTCATTCCACATCCCTTGAGCCTACACGTTTGCACCGGGGAAGTGTCACCTCCATGACAACGGCATCCACAGACTCCTCACCTACCACTACGAATTCTACCTTTGACTCCCCCTTCCTGACAGACTCATCACCTTCTTCATCGCCAGAGTCGGCAACTTCCATGCCTCCTGTGTCGCCATTTCGAAATATAATTGCAAGGCCTCTGCCAGAACAGCAGTGCGAGCCACAGGCGCCGAATCAACTTCCCAACATAATGTCCACGGCCCCCTCAATACCGCCACCAACATTCACGGACAGCTCGAAGAATGTCAAGAAGTTGTCGCTCAACATGAACGTAGTATCTTTACCCCGACCTGCAACAGCAACTGGACTGGAGACGTCCCACGCCTTTTCCGCGCCAACCTCCCCGTTGAAGGATACCCCGAGGACGGGGCGAAAAAAGCCTACGAATTTGACGATCAGAACCCCTGGTTTTCAGCAGCTTGCCTTCTCACGGACACTGGATGTCCCCCCTACGCCGAGCTCAAGACCTTCTCTACATCATATGCAATCAACCCCTTCGCTAGCCTCGCTTGCATCCCCAACCAAGATCTCTTCCCAAGGGCTCTTTCTGCACTTGCCAGCAGGTGGTTCTGCCTACTCTGGCTCTGGCTCCGATTCAAGCAATTCTGCTCTTTCTGGGACGAACGCTCTTCCTGATTTGAAAGAGGAAGATGAGTTCCACCCTCAGAAGTCACAGGAAACTCAGGAAAAGGGATACCCAAATGGCCCAGTGCGCATCTATGATAGTGGTGTGTACCTGTATCTCGAACCTACGGCGGAAGAAGCAAGCAATTTCGATACAGTCATCAACGTGGCGAAGGAGATCGCTACTCCGTTCGAAGTGGATGCTCCCGTTCAAACGATGTCTGAACCGCAGACTGCTATTTCTGAAATGTCATTCAAATCAGCTTGGGAGTGGCCACAAGTAAGCGAATTGCAAACACCCACCACGCCGAGACCGACTTCGTTCTTACAAAAGAAACAACCCGAATATCTGCATGTGCCCTGGGATCATAATTCTGAAATCTTGGAGGACCTGTATAATTTATGCCGAATCATCGACGAGCGTGTGCAGGCCGGCAAAAAGGTCTTGGTCCATTGTCAATTGGGTGTATCTCGGTCGGCCTCGCTGGTGATTGCTTATGGCCTTTACAAAGGCTACCAGCCGGATTTCCATTCGATGTATATGTCCGTGAAAGAACGAAGTCAATGGGTTGGACCTAATATGAGCTTAATCTATCAATTGGCAGACTTCAGAGCAAATGTGGCCAGGGGTTTTTATGGCGATCACGCTTTCAATCCCAAGTCAACATGGTGGAAACTCCCCGAGTCATCCTCCCCGATCATGGACACGCCTGTTGCGAAGAAGCCAGTCCAGCAGACGTCTACGCAACCATGGGAGAGACCAACAGCAGGCCCACCCACAACCAAGCCGGCTGACCATCCTCCGGCTCCGAGCAGGCCGTCTCTTCGATTGAACAAGGCACTTCCACCGGTCCCTCTCTTTCCCAAGACCGAACCGATGGATAGGATCGAAACGCCCGTAAAGTTGAGTCAGATCCTGGACAAGATAGCCACACCTCCGAAACCGGAAGCTGTAGGCCTAGCAGCCACCGGTCCAGAAATGCGCAGTCTTTCACCAAACGTCTCGCCGAGGCCTCTTCCATTCAGAGAACGTTTCGATGAAACGCAATCGGGTGCGTCGTCACCAGAACCAGCCAAAACTCCAAGATTGGGTTTGATCACGGGCTCGCCGATGATGGATCTTGCTGCGCAGGATGTCCCAGAAACACCGTCTCTCTTTTCACCACGAGCCACTGAATTTATGGCTTCGCCTTTTGGCATTACGACAGCTGGAGATCTGGCCGTGCCCAATAAGACACCCAAGCCGGCGAGGACAAAGGGCCTGCTACTTCCGCACGAAGTGTTTGGATCCTCCGCCGAGTCAGTAGGCGACCAAATTCCTAGTGCATTTGATCCGAGAAGTCCACACCAGCAAGGCGAGGCCCCCGAAATATTGAGAAACATTGATGATTTTTTATAAACAGGCATTTCATGCACGATATGATGTGCGCATGACATTGGAATAATGTCTACCATAGACGGAGACTGCGAGCCACATTTTGTAAACAGCATGGCGTTCATGGTGCATAAGGAGCAAAAGTTACCATGGGATTGGTTATATGCATTGAAGAATCCTGACAAGTCCTTGATGGGACTTCAGGTCTGTACTTGTACAAACAGCGATGATTGGATGCTAGACCCGGCATCAACACTGACCCTGTCCATAATGCATTGGGCCTACAGTGAAGATGGAAGTGAGATCTGCTGGGGTCCGTAATGCGAGAACGAGAATGAGAACGAACAGTCGGACGATTCATCTGCCTATAGGTCATACTTGAAAACTATGAACGAAAACAATGAAATCTTGAAGACACCCTTAGAGTGACAGGAGTGATAGAGTCGAACGTTCGTGATACCAGACAATGGTGTGAACCTGACTCCAGTTCTCCGTACATATTTTCCAACCGCAAAAGTAGTGTGTTTGTATGGCGGTGTGCTGGGGCGACAAGGCTGAATGAGGCTGCGCTAAGGAATTGTCGGCGGGCAACCAGCAAGCCATATCCATCTGACGTCCGTACAGACAACGTTTGTCCCCGCGATCACCAGCAGACGTCGTCGAAGAACTATTCCTGCCCAAGTCGAATCTTTGTCCTCGATTATTTTGCACCGACAAGTGCCGATTGCCCGACGCCTGTATACATCAACCATGCCATAGCCTGAGCCGCAGCCTAGCTTGAGTCAAGGTGGTGGCTATCTAGGAACTCAGCACCATGGCGATGGAACGCACCAGAATTGCAAAGGTTAGTCTCAGCACTTTTGTCGAAGCAGCAAACGACGTCTCAAGGCCGAAGACGACTAACGGTATTGTCGTAGGTTGACAATGTAACCCTTTCAAGACGAGGCGAGCATGTCAATGGAACTCTACACCTCACACCTCACCACCTCATCTTCGTCCACACTCCTCCTGCACCTGCACCTCCAGCATCGGAGGACACGCTTGCCCGAGCCGTTAGACCGAGAGAACTCTGGATTACATACCCTATCATCCAGCAGTGCAACTTTCGGCCCGCGCCACTCGCCTCCCGACAGCCCAGCTCTATCCGCCTCCGATGCCGCGATTTCACGTTTGTATGCTTCCTCTTTCAGGACGCGGCCAAAGAAAAGGCGCGGGATGTATATGATAGCATTAGGGCTTGGACATGCAAACTGAGCGGAATCGAAAAGCTCTACGCCTTCAGCTATGCCCCCACCGGTGCCGAGCGAGATATGAGGCCGAGCGGATGGGCATTGTATGACCCTATGCGGGAGTGGAGGCGGATGGGAGTGGAAAACCCGGCGAAAGAACGCAAGTGGAGGATATCAAAGCTCAACACTGATTACTCGTTCAGCCCTACATATCCTGCCCTGTTGCCTGTCCCAGCCTCGATATCCGACGTGACACTGAATTACGCAAAGTCTTATCGCTCACGTGCGAGAATACCGGTCCTAACATACCTGCATCCGGTTAACGATTGCTCCATCACAAGATGTTCACAGCCACTGGTTGGTGTCCGAGGGAATAGAAGCATCCAGGATGAAAAGTTGCTGGCGGCCATATTCAACACGACGCGAGCAGAACGGCCGTTGAGTGAGTACAACTCACCACCACCAGAGCGCGAGGATTCAGGAGGATCGAACATGTCGAACATGACTCTTTCGAACCCGAGTTCGAATATCGACGATGTGCAACAGCCTGATCCTGAAGCGTTGGAAGACGCAGTGATTTCCAAGTTGCGCGGGGATGGTGATACGGCTTCAGACGCAGATGAGAAAAAGCCCTTGGTGTACGGTGCACAGCAGAGAAATCTGATAGTTGACGCCCGGCCGAGTATCAATGCCATGGTAAATCATGCTACAGGCATGGGATCGGAAGATATGAACAACTACAAATTTGCCACAAAAGTGTACTTGGGCATCGACAATATCCACGTTATGCGAGACAGTTTGAACAAGGTTGTGGATGCTCTCAAGGATTCGGATCTGACTCCCCTCGGCCCAAACCGCGACTTACTGCAGAAGAGCGACTGGCTGAAGCATATTTCCAGTGTTCTGGATGGAGTGGGCCTGATCGCTCGCCAGGTTGGACTTCAGCATAGTCATGTGCTCATTCATTGCAGTGATGGTTGGGATCGCACAAGCCAGCTCTCATCTCTGAGCCAATTGTGTCTAGACCCTTACTATCGCACCCTGGAAGGCTTTATTGTGCTGGTCGAGAAAGACTGGCTGAGTTTCGGACACATGTTCAAGCACCGATCGGGCTTTCTGAGTTCGGACAAGTGGTTCCACATTGAGAACGAGAGGATAGGCCGTGGCAACGAGGACCCCGATGGGAAAGAACAGTCCGGTGCCATGTCAGGGGCGCAGAAGGCTTTCGAGAATGCTTTTCTCAGCGCAAGGGGTTTCTTTTCAAATACGAGGAATAACGACTCGCGCGAGAGTCTCAACATTGATTCGGACATGGACGCAGGTGGTAACGATAGCGAGAGTCAAGCTAACCGCCGAATCGTTTCGCGCAGTGGTGGAAAGGACAAGGAAAAGCCCACCACCAAGGTCAAAGAGACGAGTCCGATTTTCCACCAGTTTCTCGATGCAACATATCAGTTGGTCCATCAGTATCCGACGCGCTTTGAATTCACAGAACGATTCTTGAGGAGATTATTATACCATCTATATTCGTGCCAGTACGGGACTTTTCTTGGTGACAGTGAGAAGGAGAGAAAGGATGCACGACTCGCCGAGCGTACACGAAGTGTATGGGACTACTTTCTGGCGAGGAAAAAGGAGTTTATCAACCCGAAGTACGACCCCGTCGTGGATGATAATGTACGGGGAAAGGAGAGGTTGATTTTCCCAAAGCCTGGAGAAGCGAGATGGTGGAATGAACTCTTCGGACGAACGGACGAGGAGATGAACAGCAAGCCCACGGTCAAGGTGGGCGATGGCGAGACAAGTGATATATGGACATCAGTCGGTGGTTCCCAAAGTCAAAGTCAATCTGGTTCGTCGTCGATACCTGTAAGCCGGGCTAGAACTCCTGTCTTGATCGGAGTGGAGACCGCTGAAGCCAGCGTGGGATTGACTAGACAAAAAAGTCCAGAACCGATGAACAGAGGGATGAGAACGCCTATTTCTGGAACAGCTTCGCCGTCGTCGCAGCATTCGAGTCAAGGCACACAGGCACAGATGACTAGGACGAGAAGTCCTATGGTGACGACGGAGGCGGCCGAACCTATACGAGATGAGCGTGTTGATGTCTTGCAGAGAGAGAGAAATTCAGAAACTATAAAAGACACGAGTGGCGCGAATCGCAATGAGCAGACAAATCCTTACGTTGATCCCCGGGAAGGCAACTTTATGGACGAAACGAATGATGTCGAGGAGTTTCATGATGATCATGATCATAACAAAGGCCATGTTGGTCGTGTCCATGCAGAGGAAGAAGGAGAGAATGGTGACGATGGCTTTGGCGTCGTGCAGAATTTGGCCGAGGACTTGGATCCCTTGGGTATTGGTGATGTCAAGGACATGACGCAACAATCTAAACGTGCGCAAGCTGCCATTGAGAGGAGAAGAGAACAATTGGAATTACTGATGAAGTGATTGTGGTGGTGGTGGTGGTGGTGGTGGTGGTCAAGCCAAAACCTGATGGATGCTGGTATGATATGTATTAGTCGAGAGTATGTATCTACCTTGTGATAGGTACACGAGGTCTGGAATACTAGGTAGGTAGGGTAGATGTGTCATGCAGTACCGGCATGCCTGTGGCACCATGATGATCAGGCATGGAACCGTGGGAAGTGTTTCGGTTTAGTTAATGCATTACCAGGAACCTGGCCAGGTACTCACTCACTCACTCAGGTAGACAGACGGACGCCGCGGGCGCAGCCGTAGATTCCCTGACGTCGCAAATGTTGTCGATCGATATATACTGTAAAATGGGAAGGAAGATGCCTGGGTTCCGTACTGTGACCACAGGAGCTGACGATGTCGATATCGACGGTGTTTGTCGACGATGGTATATTCACAGTTATCAAAATAGTAGTCATGTTGAATGGACGTTTGATACACCGATCGATACTATCTCTCTCTCTCTCCCGTGGTCAATAATAATAATAATAATAATGACCACGGCGGGGGCTTCCCTCCTTTTCCCCCCCCCCCCCCCCCCCCCCCTTTTCCATCTCCAGCCTTGTCGTTTATTCCCGACACGTACCCAAAACTTTGACGGCGACCTACGGCGACGTCGATATCCCACCCAGCCGGGAAAACACAAAAACAAAAAACAAAAACACGTGAAACGATGATCGCTCGTCGCCAGTTCAGTATTTTGTAGGGTACTGCACAATGTACCCTCACGGACTGTAAGTCACGTTCCGTACGTACCTAACTGGCTCTCGGTCGGGTGCCTTGAAGATGACCTACCTACCTACCTACCTACCTACCTACCTACCGAGGTATATACATAGTTACATAGGTACACAGGTACCGTCAACGTCCGTTCATTCATTGTACATAACATCTGCACGGACAGAGTATCATCACCACCACCACCACCACTACCACCTGCAGACTGCACAGGGTGACCGACTAACCTTCGTTGCTACTGACAATCTTCTTGTCTGCCGAGGGAAAATTCCGCTCGTCACTACACCACGACACAACCCAAACAAAAGTGGCAGAACTACTAGGCACTAAATAAACAGAAAAACTTTCATGTCGAATTGATCTCATTTCCATTCTCTGTCCTGGCCGCTATTTCAACTGCGCACACACATGCACACGCGTGCACGACCCCCCGAAAACACACACATGCAAAACGCCAGCCATGATCAATGGATCTACCATTCCAGTGTGCATGCACGTCCTATGCAGAGGCAAGCCAGCAAATAACAAAAGAAAAAACCCATAAGGCACATCAAGGCATGACCATGTCAAATCGACCTCAACAAGTCGAGACACTTTCTCCCGCGGAAAGAAGACTCAGCCAGCATGCTTCTTTGCGTCGGGACTGTCCACATCTTCCACCGCAACTCTCTTTCTGGGTTTGTTCACCGGAACGCGGTAGAAGACGGAAGCCTTTGCCGGGGGTCTGGTTGATCTGGACGCGTGAATGGCTCCCCAGAGCAACTTGGTAGACAAGTCTGGATGAGCAAGTGCCTTTGTGAGTTCCTTTGCACGATCGACGTCGGCGTCGACCGTGCGAGTTGGCTGGGGTTCGGCATTTGGCTCAGTCTTGACCATTGTCGGAGGAGTCGTGTCTTGCTTGTCCCCGTAGTGTTTGCCCTCCTTCTTGAGTTCGTACGCCAATTGCTCGGTGGCCAGACGGTACAAGGGACACTCGGGCATCGCATTGCGTGCAAGCCACAGGACGCGCGCAGGTCGGATGCGGGTCTTGTACGTCCAGAAGTGGCCGAGCTTGTCGATCAAGGCGTTCTGGAGACTAGGCATGCCGTACTTGTCCGCGAGAACGTACGCCCGAAGCATGGATCCTTCCATCGTGACCGTGTCCCACTCGCTCTTGTTGTACACCCAGTCTGCAACAATGTCAAAGCCGCGGCAAGAGTCCTCCGGCAGGACAACTTCGTTCTTTTGCTGTTCGACCATTCCCGACGACAGACAGGCCGCAAAGAACGGACTCTTGTCCATGAGTTGGGCTCGGTGCAATTTGTACAGCTTGCGACGTTTGCCAACAATGACCGTGACAAGAGGTGAAATGGTGAAGCTGTGAGGCGAAAAAAAGGGAACATCAGTATCTACGCAGCATAGGTACAACAGTCGCGACGACCTTACCTTTGAGGTTCTTCGTCGCTGGACATCTCCTGCGCCTCCATCTGATCGTCGGTCTGCCAGTCAGAAATCACACTGTAGACTGGTCAGAATGAGAGTTACTACTCGATCTGGGAGGAGCACGAGAAATACCTAGCAGGCGAGGCTGCTCGCTGAGCGGGTTCTCTCATGACTTGTTCAGCCGGTTCTGCCATGGCTTGTTCAGTTGATTCCGCCATGACTTGCTCAGCAGGTGCTGTCATGACTTCCTCAGTCGGATCTGCCATGGCTGTGTCTGCCGTGATTTGAGATCGAGTTGGATTAGACAAAGAGCAGGACGTAGTGAAAAAGATCGAATATGGCAAGAGGAAGAAGAGTTCGTCGGGAAAACGTGCGAAAGTCGCGACGCTCTCACTACCTTGATTTCGCCAAGCGAGGCATCAGAGGGGAAGTGCCATGGATATGAAGTGAAGTGAAGCCAGTGCTTTGCTCAAGCAGAACTTGAAGGGTTCAGGCGAGTGACTTTTGTCGCGACAGGCGGTCAACGTCGAAAGTAAATCATCCTGTGATCTGAGGAGGTGCATACATTTTGAGCTTGCAAGCCAGTCGCAACTTACAGGAGACAAAGACAACCAACACGATCGCATTATACGCCTTGCTAGGGGGATTGATGGTTGGATCAGTATTGCACTGTGACTGCTTCATTAATATCTAGTCCACGCGCTGCCCGGGTTTACTTGTCTGAATCCACGGTCAAAGGACATTGTCCTTCTTCCAACCCACATCCGATATTTTTATGTCTAGTCTCATCTTTACAAGTCAGGTTTATCATGGCCCATTGTCCCATCCACTTTAGATGGCACCTGCGCTCTTCAAAAGACCGTCAAGCTCTCCCTTCCTTGCCTGGATGTCTGAGTTTCCACCAATGTGCTTTTGTGCGATGAAGATGTTGGGGACGCTGCGCTGGCCAGTGATCTCCTCCAGGGCATCTTGAAGTGCAGCGCCGTCGTCTGTAGCAGCATGTTTGTTAGTTCCTGGCCTCCAAAAGGTGACTGCAGACCGAATTCGACGTACCAACTTGATCCAACTCCATCAGGAAATAGTTTGCATGCTTGTCGTTCAGCAATGACTTGGTGGCTCTGCAGTACGGGCAGTAGCTCTTGCTGAAAACCACAACGCCGTTCTCGTTAATGATCTGCTGGGCCTTGATCTTTGCAGCGGACATGCTGGCGGGAGATGTTGATCGTGCCTGGGCGACAAATGACCGTGCGATGTTGCGCAGAGGGCGTAATGAAGAGGAGAGTGAAGGAGCTATGTTGGCGGTGTTGGATAGAGGGTTCGGTTCGACTGGGTTGGGGGGGTAAGCACGTCAGTGATAGATATACTGTACAGGACGGAGTAAAGAGGGACCAGTATTTGAATTAGACGAGGGCCAGAAGTGTCCAAGTGACAAATCACTGCGATGACCTACAGTATATGCAAGTCAGAGCGATGTGGCGCCGATGATGTGATCAATCCCGCCGCTTCAAGGTTGAGCGATTACTAACCACTCATTCTTTAAACGCGGCCTTCTAGTTTATAATGTGTCCTCCGGAGGCAAGTTGCGCGGGATCTGCTTAAAGTGGCAGCAGCACGTATATCAAGATCTACTAACGGCACTAGTTGAACTTGCATACTGCCACACGTCTGTCTGTACTTCGGACCGTCGTATACAAACGTGTGCACACCAAACCCTCCTCAAGGCAGTCACTTACACAATATATATTCCTCGAATCTGAGCCATTACGACTTCTATACATTATGGACGTGGTTCTTATTTCTCACCTGCCGCGACGATGAGGATCTCGACACACGTATCTTCTCGAACTTCTCGACAAAGATCCGAGGTGCTTTCCAGATATCTCAGAGTATCGGAGAGGTTTGTACACCGCAAAGTCAGAGTGGACATCCCCCATCCCATCGTTGTTGACCAACTGAGCAAGCATCCGTGACAAACTTACTCTCTCCTCACGGTCCATCAGTCTAGCCCGTCGGCTTCTCTCAGTACGCATATCATCAACACTTAGGTTCTCCAACAATGATCCAGTAGTGGTATTGAGAGACAAGAAAGAAAAAGGGCTTATGACTAACTCCCAAGCCGTGCGCTTCCCAGTCTGGTCAATCCCAGGTCACTCCCGCTAAAATTGCGTCAAGAATCAATAGCAAAAAAAGGTATCACCATCCATAAACAAATGAAAATCAAACCGCTTGTGCTGTGAAGAATACCGCCAAACACGCCAAATGTTGACTCTCACATGACAATACAACACCCGCAGCTCTTGTCCTTCACCACCGCATCCTCATCTTGGTGTTCTATCCGCTGGACTTTCGTCACTTGCCCTGGTACCGTCGAAATATTGCCCATCCTCGGGCTGTGCATGATTGCAGGACTGGCCACTCTGGGCATGGTGCTGTATCCGCCATTTGTACTTCCGCTCGTGCCAGGCCGGGGACTTGAGGCATGTCTCAGATTTGGACTGGCGACAGGTTTAAGTGGCCAAGACGCACCGTCCCGTTCGATGTCCCGTTCATCGACAGGAGATGGAGCCGACGGTAACATTGGAGATGCTCCCTTTGAAACTGAAGGGCTGTGGATCGCCAACGGTGAGAAGTTTCGATCATATGTGCTAGGTATTGCTCCGGCATCTTCCCATTGAGCCTGCTGCTGCCTCCGGGCATGAGTAGGAATGATCTGCTGATCTGGCGGTAACATCGGATCTGGTTTATACATGGTAGCCAACCAAGGGGGATCTCCTTCAGGTCTATTTATCGCAGTTCGTGGTCTGTCCAGCTCTCCTGACCTTGTCCCTGGCCTCTGACTAGGTGAAGGCGTTGTGCCGTTCTTTATATTTGTAGACGGCTTTCGTGTCGCCGTTGACACAGACACTTTCTTTCCGGTTGATGATTCCGGAGGGGATGGCTGGCCTGTTTTCGGCTTCGCCTTCGTGGGCGATGATTGTTTGGCCGTAGGTAACTTGGTTCCATTAGCGAATACGGGTGTTGTTGCAAGAGAGTCGGTTTCGCCTTGCCCATCTGCGCTCGCCGCGCTACCTCTTCGCATTCGTGTCTTTAACACAGGTATGCCGTCTTCAGGGCTCATACTATTACTAATAGTACGTTTCCTGTTCAAAGGTGTATCCCGCTCAATTCTTTCGTGCGGGATTGGCAGAGGGCTTGACGTGAGGACGGGGATCTTTGAGCCTGACTTTTTCAAGACTGGGTGGGAATAGACGGGAGAGGGTGTTTGGTCTGCCGCTATCTCCTCCGGGGTGCGGAAATCCCAATCGTTACGTTCGTCCTCTTCATCCAACGGCCAAGGCTTCGTTTCTTCCGACTCGCCTTTGACTGAGACCGTACGCTCCTCACTTCGTCGACCCCGGCTCGTCTCCCTCCTCGTGTTCTTGTTGCCGGTGCGTCGTGCATTTGCCAGGTTGATCCCGGCAGCCTGCAGTTCTTCGCTCTCGATCTTAGCGAGCTTGTCCCGGTGAATCCAACCCTCGGGATCATCATCTCGCGGCCGGTACATGTTTTCGGGGATGTCATTATCGCCCTGATTGTTTTGCCGACTCACATTTTGTCGACTGACGTTTCCACTGCTCTGGTTGTAGAGATCAAGCAAGCTATCCGACTCACTGCCACTCCGTCCCAGTGAGCCAGTCGACTGGCCTAGTTCCTCTACCCTGTTATGAGAAGCGCGGCCCGTGCTATTGCTGTCCTTTCGATTCGGTGCGAGGCTCGAGAGTGGCATCCGCGCGGAGCCATTGGAGTTCTGGCGCAGACCATTTGGACGTGTTTTGGTTGAGGTTGAGTTCTGTAGAATTGCCAGTCAGCGGGGTACGCCCTTGGTACCGAACCGCCTCTTCCAAACTCACTCACCTCTTGACTCACAGAACCAACAGCATCATAACCATTGTTTGTACCGTTCACGACGGCGGGTGACGGTCCCGTAGAAGCAACACCTGCCATTTGTGATACTAATACTATTTGGTCCCTAGAGCGCTCGACGGGCTTCCCCTCAACTCAGGGTGAAAGCGCCATGTACGATCAATCGCACCGGCCATGCAGCAGCGCACTCGGGAGGCTTTTTCGTGCTGGCCTGGGAAAAGAGAAAACGCGGGACTTGTGCCGGACGATTCGCAGGGGATATCGTCGAATCGAGGGGGGCGTGCAGATCGGCGGTCAGCAGCAGAAGGGGCGAACGCTGGAGCTGGGCGTGATATAGACCCGCACCACTTCAAAGCAGCAGAGGCAATGGGTTTCGATCGCTGGATTGTGCTCGTAAGTGGAAGACCGGAACAATGCAGGCTAAAGGGACTTAGCAATATTCTAAGAGCATCAAGAAAGGGTATTATTGCAGTTGAAACACGAAGGGCAAAGATTGCGCGCTGCTGCAGAGTCCCCGACCCGTTTCGCTTAATGCATGATCCATGTCAACAAACCACTTGGCGGGTACGAGTTTTCCAGTATCTCGGTTCATCGACCAATGGACAGCAAACACCACGTTTGGGCAACAAGAAGGACTGCAGCAACATCAACGTAGTAAACATGGAGGAAGCTTTTGCTGGCCTTGACGTGCGCCGAGCTGTCAACGAGCCCGTGCTCAGCCAGATGCTCTCCGTCTTTACGAAATAACTTATGTTTTGATTTCGTTACTCATCAATTCCCAGGGGGAATGGGGAAATGCTATGTAGAAGTGTACAACGCCGAGTCTGAGCAAATGTGACAATTCATACTGATCGTGAGAGACCATATACTCGTGTATTGGCTCTGAAAATGTGTCCTGTCGACCTGGGCTTTGGAATCGAACCAACCTCAGATGCAATATATTACTTCTCCAATGCGAACTTCCACGGCCTCCATGACTCCCGTTACCGTTCCTCCATCCCTGCCAGACCTCGAGCCCACCCACCATGAGCTTACTTCCAAAATGGTAAAACAAAGCAGAAAGGTACGGTGAAATGCCCGCCCAACGTATAGACTTGAAGCAAATTGGCTACCAACTGGTGAGCCAATAAAGGAGTGAGAGGAACTTCGTACGGTCTGGCCAAAGCCAGCCGCCGCCGATTCAACGATTTGTTAATAGCCTCCAACACTGACCGAGGGTCGTCGAGTAGTACGTGGCGATTCGCGGAAGCGTGGGCTGTACTCGTTGTCGCGATACTCGGACGGCTCCCTTGCATAGTTGGTATAAACTGGCTCGCGTCTTGAGGAGGTGTTGATCTTGTCGGAGGCATATGGTCTGCTGTACCGGGGGGTCTCGCGCTCGTCTGGGGACAGTTCTGCAAACAACTTATCACGGGCGCTGTTATGACGCGAGACGGGAGGCGTATCCCGAGGGGACCGAGGAGAAGGTACTTCCTCGAATCGTCCGGAACCACTTTTTCGTACGGGAGGGGGGTTTGTCATCGGAGACATCAATGACGCTCCACGAGACGACTTGGAACGACTTGTGGTATCGACCTTGGGGTGCTCAGCTTTGTCCTTGCGACGCTCGAAATCCCGTGGGAGTGGCTCCCGGATTGTAGACTCTGGACTTCGGTGGTATCCTCGGCCAAAACGCGGTTCAGGCGCTTCGTCATATTCGTCCCAAATCTTATTGACGCGATGATGGCTTCGCATGTTTTCATCGCCATCGATTTCTTGCTTGATCTGATACTTGGTGCGGGTTTTGGCCGACCTAGGCGGGCTTTCATCTCTCATCTCGGGAGTATGCGGACCCGAGCTACTCCCGTAGCCCGAATCGTGCAGCTGCGTCTCACTATGCTTGAGGCCGGACCCTTTGCTAGTGCCTTGCTCTCTCTTGGAGCCGGCTTTGGGTATTGGTGCTGTCTGGGCGCGGTGTAGACCAGGTGGCACCATCTTGCGATGGTCCCGATCTCTCTCGCGATCGCGTTCCCGTTCCCGCTCCCGCTCCCGCTCCCGCTGCCATTCACGATGGCTGTCCTTCTCCCGCTCTCGCTCCCGCTCTCGCTCCCGATCACGACCCCGGTCGCGTGTGATACCAACAGACGACCGTGGCACCCGCTCTTCGACACGGGTTCGGAGATCGGAAGGGGATGAGGTCGACTTCGTGAATTGTGGAGCAAAGTAGTCATCGACATGCGTTCTGCGGCCCTTGGATGAATCCGGTCGTCTTTCACTCTCGCTACTGCGCCTATTGTTGCTTGAGTTCCAATAGTACATGGCATCTGAGCCAGATCTCTCGAGACTTGGACGATTTGTAGCTTTTGCCATGTAAGCCTTGCTGTCTTCATGATGTTTCTCCCACTTGTCATCGCTGTCATCATCATAGTCACGGGCTCGAGCTGTCCGAGCTGATGCTTTGCGTGTAGTCTCTGCCGTTGGTTCGAAATGAGAGGTCGTTTTCGACCGAGAAGTAGTCTTCAACGATGGTCTGATCTCCTGATAGTCAACTTCGCTATCGGAGTCTTCGACATACGCAGTCTTGCGGGTATGCATCTTATCGCTTCTCTCGCGCTTTTTCTCTTTGTCTGTCCTCCGTTCGTCCGCTTTGCTATTCCTTGTTTTTTCTGCTCGGCTCTTCAGTGTCGCAGCAAAGGCCGCAGCCATCATACCCGAGGCTACGCTAGGATTTTTCTTCGTCTTCTCGGCTGCTCGGGCGGGTGGCGGAGCCCTTTTCTCATAGTCGCTGTATTTTCGACCAGTGGGCCGCGGAGCAGGCTCATCGTAAGGATCATAATGATCATAAGGAGCGGCGTTCCTTGGTTGCCGGACTTCTTCGTAGAAATTCCCGTCTTCCCGGTATTCTCTTGTGGACATGGGGGTAGCTTGCGGCGCAGGTCTCATAGGATATGCTCTCGTGGTAGAGGGTGGCGGATCTCTCGTCAAGGCCTCTTTCCTCAACTCTGCCAACCGTACTTTATCGTCGTATCGCTGCCTTTTGACAGGGTCACTCAAGATCTCGTAAGCCTGTTGAATCTTCTGAAACTCGTCTTTGCCCTTTTCCCGGAGCACTTCATCTTGTATTCGGTCTGGGTGGAATTTGAGTGCAAGTTTACGGTGAGCGCTGCGGATTGCCGACAGCTCGGCATCTTTTGTCACGCCCAGAGCGTGGTAAGGATCTGGAGGTATGGGAGACGCCATTAGGAATATCTAATACAATCGAGGAGAAAGAAAGGGTACGCAGGTGGCGGGTCAAGTTGTTGTTTTGTACAGGCGGTCAACAGGCCGTGCCGGTCGTTGCGTGCATACTGGTTGGCCTCTCGGTGGTCGGGGTTTTGTTGGTCGGTGGTTGGTGAGTAACGGTGAACCGCGAATTAGTCGACAATTGTCTAGGAGCTGATACAGAAAGTGAGGCACAAAAAGGAAGTCTCCGATGAAGAACTGGTTGATGAGTGCAGCGTAAAAGCCGCTGACGTCTGGTGTTGTATGGACGAAAAGAGCGATCAGAAGGGATCGGTGATGCTGCTTTGGGGCCCTGGGAAAACAGAGTCCAGCAGCAGCCCGATCGTCGATAGGGCCTGAAAAGCGAGATTATGTAACTTGGGCTAGCACCGTCACTACCGCGAGCAAGTTTGAGGCAATTGTTCGGCCTCGGGTCGTTTGCAGTTGGCACCAGGCCAAGGCAGTGCTGTTTCGATATGATGTGTCGAGACAAACGGAGGATTGAGAATGTTTGAGGAATTGAGGGCCCGTCTGTGGTTATTGAATGGGTGATGCCGGAGCACAAAGCCTGCACTCAGACTTTTGTCCGCCACAGGGACTTCTGCTTCTAGGCCTGAAGGGGGAACCGTCCGTGGGTGCGGGAGGGAGGCTGTAAGCCCTGTGATAGAAACTACGGGCACCCGCCTCGCGCCCATAGGCTCGTCTACAGCTGTCAAGACGTTGCGATTTGCCGCTTGTTCGGGGGGGCTTGCCTGGTATCGTTGAAGCCTAACAATCACTCCAGGCACCCAACGTTAACCAGGCACTGTAGGTAGTTAGTGCCTGCTACGGTAATACCCAGTCCTTCCCGCTCATCCTCGTATTCGACGCCCATCACTCTTCTCTTCGTCCTCCCCCGTCAGAGGCTCCTGAGGTACCTACGGACCACCTACTCCAATCGCAACCCCTGGCTCCTCAGGCTTCTTTCGTCTTCTCTCCTTCTTCTCCCGTCTTTTCCGCTTGCCGCAGACGTGGCGTGGTCCACGGTTCATCCCTAATCTCCAGGCACTCTGGCATCGCACCACCCCGGATGTGTTTCGCAGTGGACGTGTGATCCCTCAGTCAAGGCCCCAGGGACGGCGATATCGAAGTTCCCGTGACATCCTCATCAGACAAAACCCGGTATGGAGTGTCTGAACCACTACCCATGTACCACTCACTGCCAACTGGAAAGGGCCATTGCGGCCAGTGGCGACCTGACCAAGTTCCACAGCTGAGGATAAGCATAGCACATCCACTCGCTCGAAGCTCTCGTGTCGTCACAGCCAGCTGATTCCCCCGTTTCTACCTTTTCCTGTGACTGTGGTCGGCTATCAAGGTGATTCGACAAAAACGACTCCTTTGCATGGCCATCCGCATGAATCGCGTCCACTCATCAAGCTTGTAACTCCCACCCACGTTGAAGCCGCCAGGCACAGCGGGCGTTCAATATGTACGCTATGGTTGTTGATCAGGTCTCGAATCGCCCACCTGCGTCGACGTGTCACGCTTCACCAGGAGTCAAGCCCACTCACGGGTGAAGTTCTCCACAGCGGCCTCGTCTATCACAGCGAAGCGTATGAAGCGCCAGACACCTTGCTGTGACCGTGTTCCATCATGCAGGCCAGCAACGCCGTTCTTACTCGCCCACGTCGTGCCACGGGGCCTACTGTTGGTTAGCGTCCCGGCCAAGTCATGTCGAGTCCTGTGAAGTGTGCATAAGTCTCCAGCATCTGAACGATAGGAGGTTGGGCATTGGACGGAGACTTCAAGCATATAACCCGATTTGTTCTAGCTCTGGAGGCGCAGTCTGCCTTAGCTCTCATCTTCTCACGGGAGGCCAATGCATGAGCAAATGCTCGAAGACCGCTCAGGAAGATCTGAGGGTCTTCACTGGAGGAAATCGCTTGTCCATGGGTGAGTTGTTCTCTGACCTTCGCTGAGCTTGCCGGGGCTTCAGCGCGTAACAAAAGCATGGCCAATCCAGGAAACAAGTCATCATGATACTCACCCATGGAGCTCACTCCACCACAAGCCAACCGAGCCACGGCCCGCCCCCAGACTTCGAATGAAGATCTACCGAGAGCACAAGCCAAACATCGGCAATCCCCCTCATTAACGATTGGTAGGGGAATTTTAGCCAACACAAGCGTTTCACTGTTTGCCAGCGACAGAAGGAACGACAAGAGCAAAAAACTTGTTGAAAGCGGCCACTGATGACTTTTCCGGGTACGAATTGCAGAAACATATCAGCCTACCGAAACTCCTTGTCACGAGTACAACACAACCCTGATGACCTCGGAAGTTGTCCAGCAAGTCAGGGTGATGGCAGTCCGGAACAGTTCTTCCAATCCACGCGAGTTCAATCGGGACGGGGCTGTTTCTTCCTCCCTGCCCTCCTTGCCCCAGCTTGGACTTGTTTCTCGAGGCTCCCCTGCGGCCACTTGCTTCGTAGCCTATCAAGGACCACCAGCACATGCTTCTTGCCGCCTTGTAACGCAAACCCAATACGTTTTCTCCATTTCCGAATCCTGGGGCATGTCATAGGCACGCTTGGCACCCTATCATGATTTTCAAGCAGAGTGATGGGTTCCGGCTGACAAGCTGTTGGCATCAACCGGCCTGTACACATGACGGCAATGAGGTGTGAAAAGCACATGTCTGGCTAGTTTAATTGGTTACCTCCCTTTCCAGGTGCATTTCCCCTCGTCGACTTATACTCCACACGTTGGGAGAGAACGATTAGGCATCAAGCGCACTCACATGTGCTGCTCATTCTTCAATATTATGTGTCCTCTGGCAAGACCACACCATAGCCCTGGTGGTAATATTGGAAATCGCCCAGGAAACGCTGTGTTCCTACCAGCATCTTTCTTGCTGGACTTGGTGGTTGTCTTTGTTGATGAGACTTGACGCCCGAGAAAACCATGACGACCTGATCTTCACAGGCGACTCAGTCTCGCACGACAAGATCAACGGGCCTGACTCGAGGCGAATACGTGTCAACGTGACTAGCTAGATCTAAGCAGTCTTGGAATGATTCACGGGTCCAAGTCCATTTGGCATGCAAAGCTTCGCAAGACTCTAACAAGCCAATCCTGTCAACCGCCGATTTTGTGGCTGAGTTTGTGGTACGCAAAGCTTTTCGCCGCAGGAATACGCAGTGCAAGACCAGATTACGAATGAATGTATAAGCTTCGTCCAGTATGTGTTTTGTTCTGGCGAGTATGTGTCTGCTTATGTATGTATGGCTCCTTGGGGCTCGTGATGGTGGTGGTGATGGTGATGGATCTCACAATAGCCGCCCGTGCTATGAATACTCGCCACTCAACTCCCTTCCCTTGGTCGTATCGGCTCCGTGGGTGGTAGGTAGGTATGGATAATCAAGGGTATCTACCTTGGGCATGTAGGTGTCAACACAGAAGTGTTCATTGCCCTGGCACGTCAAATCATCTCACATGTGGTACTCGTAGCCGCCCAGCCTTATTCGAATAGGGATGGTTTTTCTTTTGTTTTGGTTGTTGCTTTTTTTTGTTCTCCCTGCGATACATGGACCCAGAGTAGATTCTATCACCAGTGGCGCATGACATGGTTAACGATGGCAAAAAAAAGCCCCGTGGCGGTAAACGTGGAGGGGAGGGCTTCGATGCGCAAATCAGCCCCGACCATCTCACTTCCTCACGCCTAGTGACTCGACTCGATGGTCAACTCAACCCAACTCGACAGTCTCCTGGCAAAATCAAATTTGCCCAGACTCCCATTCGTTGATATGACTTTCTCGTTTTGGTTCACATGTCAGCGGACCATCCGTCATGACTCTCATAGAAATCTAATTCGATGAAGGGGCAGTTTTTCTTTCGGCCAGACGGACCGTGTCGAACGCCGGCCCAGCCTATCCTCTATTGCGACATCGAGTCTGAGTGTCTCGAACGGTATCGTCCTGGAGGCTATCACCCCGTCAATGTCGGAGACACCGTGTCAGTCGGGGAGGTATCGTGTCCTCCAGAAGCCCGGATGGGGAGGCTGGCTACTCCACGGTTTGGCTGGTGTATAATACGATTCCATGCAATCTCGACTCGCTGCACTCTCAAGGTCGTGGTCTCGGAGATCAGCGAAACATCTAACTACTGATGCTGATGAAGTTCAAATATTCCAAAGACTTGCTTCGATTCCGGCAAAACAACATGATGGTCAGCGCCATCCGCGCAAGCTTACTGACTCCTTTTTCCACGATGGCCCCAATGGCAGACATCGATGCACGACCAGGTTCCCAGATTACCGAAAGCTTCCCGCGACGTATCGTGGAGCCAGCTACGTTTCCTATTTCAGATGTGGCCGGCCAGGTACACGCGACGCTCATCGATTTTGAGCAAGCATTCCTCCGCACCGATCAGTCTCTGGCACACGTTCCGTACCCCGTTGATTTTCAGAGCTCCAGAGACGCTGCTGGGATCGACATGGGACCTGCGGATTAGATACATGGTCTCTTGCATGTACTATTTTTTGACCTTGTTACGGGACAGCCACCTTTCCGATAACGTCATGCCAACAAAGGCTCCGTTGGTGTTGGAGTGGATTGCAATGTTTGGAGGTGTCCCAGAACAATGGAGGAAGCAGGCGAAAGGAGTGGCGGCGGCTGTCAGGATGATATAGATGGAGGCTCACTCTCCAGTTGGCTTTGTGAAACTTACTTCAGCAGTGAGAGAAAAGCGGAATTTGCAAAGGAGGACATCGGGCGGTTGGGCGATCTGCTGACCAAAATGATGCGCTACCTGCCTAGGGATCGATTGTCAACTCGAGACATCCCGAAGCATGAGTCGTTTCGTAAAGAACCCCTTGGCTGATGATGAGAACGATGGATGATATTCCTAGTGGCGAGCTACTGCAGCTCCAACATGGGTATTTCGATCATGGCCCATAAGTGCCGTCATGACGTGCTGGGACTCTTGAAGGTGAGTAGGAGAGCTACCGCCGGAGACAGTGGCCTATGGATTGTATCTCACCTTGGTAAGTGGACAGTCTTGGTTGACTTGTTATCCTAGCCAGCTCGCAATGCTTCATGCTCCTGGGTTGGGTCCAGGTCATATTGGAAGACATCCCGAACGCTGGGGTGGTTCTCAGCTTGCTGCCCACGAATGATGTCTGAACGAAGTAGTTTGAACCTTTCAATATCGGAATCGTACACAGCGTCCGGCACGTCCCCGTCCAGGTCTGTCTCCCGGTCGCCAGTCCACCATTCACACCACTCTTGGAGAGCTCTTCTCATTTTCCAGATGTTCTCGATGCGCCCAGACTTCATCATCAACGCCTCCAGCTGGGCAGCATAAGATCGGTCAATGCCACAGACTTTGGCGGACTTGAGGTTTCGCAGCAACGACAGAGCTCCGAGCACCGATTCCGGTCGCTCGTAAGTATTCCAAGTAAAAGGCTTTGCGTACCTCAGGGCAACCGTCAGACTGACCTGGCTCAGATCCAGAAAGTCGGTCAGTATCTCGCAGAGTAGATGGAGCATGCGGCAGTCTTCCCACGTGTCGTCCTCGTCCATCTCCCTCGGCCAGCCTCTCAGCGTCACCTTGAGCTTCCGCATCTCAGAGAGCACTGTCGGTGGTTCACAGCAAAGGCCTAGGTCGTGTCCGAGTAAGGATTCTGGGGTCGCTATTCCCGAGGTGGCCATAGAGGACTACATCAAAGGTATTTTCTCTGTAAAACATTGGGAGCCCTTCGAGACGAAGCTGTTTACAGGTAGAGAGGATTGGTAGGGCCGAGCCGTAGTTCCTTGATCTTCGAGGACGGTGGGTTTTGCTGAGAACGACGGAGTGGAGCGGTCGATCGAAGACAACAAGGTACCTCAGAATCTCCAGTCGCTCTTCAGTCGGAAGGTCGAGCAGCGAGATCCCAGTCGTCAGAGGCTCCAAGTGCCGCTCGGGGCCGTCATACCTCGACGAATGAGAGGTGATTCTCCGTGATGAAGCTGGCCGTTCGAAAGGGTGGTGATGATGGCCGTACCGGCTCAACGCAGCCACTTGCTCTGTTCTCGATCTGAGCTTCATTGATCCACTTGTTCTTGCGCTCGGAGACGGCTTCAAGGGAGAATAAGGACTTAGAGAAGCAGACCAGTGGTTCAGGGCGTTGACTTATTTGTGTGAAAGTTGACTCAGTTAATGTCTATTATGTTGGTGGTGTGGAATACTTTTCTTCCATCGGGCGCGCACCGGCGGGTGAAAGACCGCGCATGAGAGACCGAGAGCAACGGTTTTATATATAAGACCTCAGCAAGGTCAACCACGACCAGAGTCACGCCATTTTGTAGGATATTATTAGTCCAGATGCCACTTGTTGAACTCCCTGGCGCTTCCATGTATGTTTCCAGCCAATAGCCGTTCGGGAATCAAGTACGCGCCCGTTCCACAAGGCGGAGGAAGGGCAACAACCCGCCGCCAAATTCGGCGGGGAGCGTTCACCTGCATCTTGCGTGGGCTCATAAGTGAAGCGTCGATTCCTCTGGGACGAGAAGGTTGGGGGAGGGGGCGGAGGAGGATGCATGTCGCCCACGCACTCACAATGCCTTCCTGGAGAGAGAACTCCGTGGAGCGGAAGGTCAAAACGAACAGCCGGCAACGAGACAGAAAGAGGATGGGAGATTCATGTTTGCCTTTTCGTTTTGAGACCATGTAGCCATCCATCATCAGACACCGTGATTCCTCCTCACGTACTAACTAGATTCCCGTGGACGTTGCTGGCCTGATCTCTATCCACAAGGTGTTCGCTCATTTCTTAAAACCCCAAATCCCACACAAAATATGCCATGATGTTGACTCCGTTCTCTCCAAAAAAGGACCCAAAAGTCAAAGAAGAGGTCCTCACGCTGGGGGTGGAGATTCTCTGAACACGGCCCGACCGTCGATTTGGACAGATGGTCTTCTGAGCCTGTTCAACGCTCAAACCTTGACGTACCCTAGCATGCGGTACTTGCAATGCGTAAGGATATGTCACAGCTTTCTGCAACATATCGAAGCCTTGAGCCAGGAGAGGACCTGTGAAGGAACAGGTCAGCCAATGTGATGAAAACTGTCGGAATACTTGGACTCGACAGCCCGTGATGGGAAGCACATTTTTTCGTGTACGGGATTCAGAATCATCGCTGGACACGTGGGCATAGACCGACGCAGCACCATTGGTAGTGTTGGAAATGAACACGGCGCAACTGTCTTGCCTCATCGACTCATGGACGAGAGTAATTTGTCGGAGGGCAATGAAATCGATTGTGATATCTCGGTCGGTGTCGATCGGGACATTGAATCCAAACAATGGCTATCTGCCAGTCATCTGAGCTCTATAGAAGGAAACCATCGTTTCAATCCAACCTTCTCCTTACAATTCGGGTCGCTGCACCCGCAAATATGATCTTTGCGTTCACCAAAAGCCCTTGGAGAGTAGCTGCCAGACTTGGCTGTTTTTCCTGATAGTATATTTGACAATGGCATGCCTTCAGGTATCATTCGCAAGGCCTGGTAGGGCTGAGATCCAGGATCGTAGTACAGACCATCCACCTCGCCTGTGAGTCTGTTGAGGGCAATATAATAAAAGCCCGAAATTGTCAGGCCCCAGGATGTCGTTGCTCCAGAATCGGATGGTTGCAAAGCATGCGGCGAGGATGATGAAGACCCCGATGCCGTGAAGATTGTCCTTGTCTGGTTAGAACTGGATGACGGGCTGCTCGAGTCAACAAAGCAGCGCTCCTTCCATCTCATCAAAATCCATTCTTTGCCCAACTTTTCATCCAGCCATTTAGCACTTCCGAGGCAACGAGCCATGATCTCATCGTTTTCGATTTCAGGGCTTTCTTCCTTTTGGCTAGGAAACAAGCTGGAAGAACTGGTCAACTCTTCGTTTCGGTTCGTTTCTAGCTCTAGAGTCGCTTGTCCAGGAATTGCAGGAGGCTCCTTATAATCGCTATCGTCCCTGGCAGGTTTCCGGAAGGCATTCCACAGGCGACTGTCTTCTTGATACTCCCCTCTGGACTTGCCACGCAGGTTCCTTACTTTCTCTATCTCTTGCCTGAATGGCCCTAATCGAGCCCAATAGCTCGCATCGATATCGAGGCCGCCAACTCGGTAATCTCTGCCCTCAGATTCGGTTTCGAGAGTTTGCTTTCTGAAATCGATGATCTCGCCAGTGAAGTAAGAAGACATACTCGTCGTAGAACCCCGGTGCTCAATTGTTGAGAGGCGGGTAGGCGAAATTCTCTCTGGCATGTGACTCGCGGACATAGTCCCAGACAAGGTCATGTTATCGTAGTCAACGGAGTGGATGGTCACTTTAACCGGCCAATGATCCGACTCAGCGGAATGGGACGACTGAGATGATCGTTGAGATGACGGTGACTCTCGAGCAAATCCCCATCTGCCGGTGCTGTCCTGCAGCAGGTCAGACAGGTAGCGTTCAGCGTCAATCAAAGACCCCGACAATCCTTCAATTTCTTCCTGAAAACTTCCGAGCATCATTTCTCGTCTCCGTGTGATGCTACGGCGGAAAATATCTCGCTGAGGATCACGACGAGCTTGAGAGGCCCAGGTGACTGTACTTTGCGGGGGCTCACGTTCAGTCGACTGGAGACCATGCCAAACCATTCCTGGTACCAACCACGAGCTGTATTGCGGTACGGGTAGATTGTCAGCGAGCATGGGAAGATCGCTCGGGCTGTTTGACTCTTCGAACTGATATAACGAATCAAGGTCAAGCTGTCTAGCCAGCTGAAGTCCACCCTCAGCATCAGTATGCCGAAGTTGCGATAGATATCGGATGGAGTTCTTCACTCGCTCAGCTGCGGCTGACCTCCCTGTTCTGTCTTTCTTTCTTCGAGTGTTGCTAGGGATAGAGTTGGCTTCGTTGTACAGTCGGCGGAGTTCGACACTTCGCCATTGTCGGGCGGACACTCGGTCTTGGTTCTGCAGTACATTGATAGCCGAGGACCTAGCAGTGGACTCCGCCGGTGCGTCTTCTTGCCAATACGCTCTGAGGGCACTGGCAGTTGGCACTGCACCCACTTCTGCTGCTCTCCCTGTCCTGATCAGACCATCCCTGGCTGATCGGTAGCTCTGCAGCGCCCTCTCCAAGCGATGAAGATCCCGTCGCGCGCCGATATCGTTATTCGGAGCGACCGTGCTGACTCGATCCAGATCGTCATCACTATCATCACTAGATGGGGAACTTCGAAACGTCCGACCGTTCGTCCAATCAAGAAGGCTGCCCATCGGGGATGCACGAGCGTTCCCTACGTAGACCCGTCTGGTTGATGTTTGATTTTGCATATTGGTCTGATGTCTGGTCTCGGAAGGTCGATTGAGAAATTCCTGCTCTGTTAAATACCTTGCTCTTTCCCAAATATCTTCGTTGAACAGTCTGGAATCCCGATAAGTCTCGTTCACCTCCTCAGCACGCGATACAATCTGCCATGGACGCTGGACGTCTCGGGCCGATCTAGAGTGAGCAGAGGTGCTAACAGCGGTATAGATGGTCGAACTTGTTGGGACCTGGGCTTCTGTGGTTGACTGTGCAATGTTCAGCGTCGAGGCGAAGTCAGGAACAGTTGTGGAGATGGCTTCGGCGATCTCGCGCAAATAAGGGTCTTGGGTCGTCGCGGGCTCGAGAGGTAAACGAATGGAGCGTCCGGGAGGACCGGACGGAGATCTATCCTAGAATAACAAAATAAGCCGTGTAAGCATTGAGGAACGATTGTAACAATGCTATGAAAGGGCCGATATTCAACGAGGGAATGGAGAATCCGTCGTGCAGAGAAGGGTGGTCCGAAAAAGGTCCTCCAACAGAAAACAGAGAACGATTGACAAATTAACATGGTCTTACAGTAGGAGAATTTGCGGGCGGCATGGATTGACGTAGTGGCCGCCAGTGTATCGGAGTCGATTGTAGTCGAGGTCTGAGCGAGTCCTTCGACAGTGCAAGCGTTCCACAGTGTTGCCAGGGCCTGCGGGAGTATGACCTACGGAGACAAGAGCTTCGCAGCCATCTCAGGCGTTGATTCGAGAAGGCGAAGACTATTAGGGATTATGGTATGAGATGAAGGAGCAGTTGTGATACGAACAAAGTTAGGTTACTATCGACGATGAGGGTTGTCGAGTTACGCCGATGATCGAGTGACATAACCACCGAAAACGGCATCGGTGGACGCCGCTTTTTGCTTCTTCCAAACCCGTTCTGGCACATCATACTGTTTCACACCTGCTTCGTACCAGTCAGTTACTACGAGTATCCCGAAATAGCGCTTGTCGATGCTGGAGAGTGCCAGCTTCTCCATGCTCCATGAACACTATCCAGAAGGAAACAGTCTGGGCTGTCATATCATACGCACCCAGGAATCGCAGCTGCTCTCTGTCTGCAATTGGGTGATCACCAGAAAAAGAGTGCTGCCATGGCCAACTTCGACGATAGCACCGAGGGCCATTCGGGGCTCGCAACTATGTCACAAACATCCAACGGTGGACGATCCTCTGGGAGTTGAGGGCTTGTCTATTCTCATTGAGAGCAACCCCACTAAGCCAGATCACCATCTTAGAGAAAGGAAGCTGTCTCTGATCTGCTCGATTAAGACAGCCGACCACCATCGTCATCAAGGTCCTTCAGTCTTTGCAGAGCGACGGCTCGTTCAACTTCGATATTCCGAGAGGCCTGGCACAGATACGCACCGACGGCGTTGACATAAGGTCCTCACTGCATGGGGTAGTTCGAAGATCATATCGGGGGACGTACATTGACGCAATGGTTTGAATTCGCGCACGCACCAACGTCCAAGCGACGGACCTGGGGCTGGCATTTGACCCAGTGAATGTCAAAAGCAACGCGGTTCACGGTGTCCAACTACTTTTTGTCCCGCTGCTGAGCGAAGACTGGAACGACCTTCGCATCAAAAGTTCCGGACCGAGGACATGACCGCCTTCGACTACGCCATTGTCGCCCGCGCTCTCTAGATCATGTTCCCAACTTGGACTCCAGAAGGTGGGTTTGATAACGCTGTCCAACGCCTCAGTTGGCTTCTGCTGTCAGGTCGGGCACCACAGAATCGCGCCATGTTTTCCTGGCCGAAAATGACGCTGAGTTAGTGGTGTCTCAGTGCCATTCGTAAGGCACCGAATGGAACCGTTTCTTCGATGCAAATCCCAAAAGGAAAAGACTGTTTCTCAATGAAGTCACATCCCAACCATGAGTCTTACCCTCGCTTTGAGAGCATGAGAGGAAATGAGTGAACGTTGCACCATCTGCTGCAGGAATAAATGGATGTGTTCCTCGCTACCCACCGTAGGAAACAACAAACAGGGCTACGTGCGATATAAGTCAGCCGGTTACTGCGCAAGATCTGGATTGCCCACCATAAATGGTCATTAAGAGTGCAAAAGTACCTGGCTAGGCTCTATCTTCTTATTCTTTCTGGCGCTAACATATCATCGCATTAGGAGGATGCCTATTGACCCTGTAGCTGTCTTGCGTCACACAAATGGCTACCTCTTTAGCCCTGGAAATCGTATCAAAGCGTGTTCCACCCATTTGAAGAGAGCGATATAGATAGATAACATATCGGAATTACGACGGCCGCACTGGGCAAGACATAAGACGAGTAAGAGAGGTGAAGTAATATGAGAAATGGCTAGAATGTCTTGCAAAGGAATGCCGTCTGCAACGTGCGGGATCTTGGTGACTTGATACCCAAGACTCAGGTAGTGCAGGCATCTTTATCTCATTATTCTCCCGTCCTCGCCTGTGCTGACGCGTGTCTCCCTTCTTGTGAAGGACCTTTTCAATTTTTTATGTCGAGAAAACCCCTTAGAGTCTTCACTAGTCCGTTCATCACTCTCCTTGTGTTGAGGTTATATCGGCGTTAACATTCTCCACAAGGCGCAGGCGACTTGTTCGCCGAAGTGCACGACTTCCCGCTTCACATCGACCTTTCGACTTGTGAAGCCTCAACGCCGCATCCAACTTCTCCGATCTAGCGTCGCCTATTGTCATTGCAGACAAGTCAGTCCATGCCGATTACATAGAGCCTTGTCTGCGCTTACCACTAACCTCTGAATTCTAGTATGGACGCGCCTGATCCATCCGTGAACTTCTTTGCGCCCGAACTCTTCCAGCAAGACGACGACGCGACTCTTCCTCTCGACTCCCTACATCCTCTATCTCACGATGTCGATATGGCCATGCTAGATCAAGATGAGACCGACTTACACACTTCAGGACTACGTGGCGACCTGGTCGATCCCGGTCTCGTCAAGCAGGAGATGGTCGATAGTAACTACCCTCCGCTCGACGATGAGCCTCTACCTGTTGATACTACTGCAACAGTAGACTTGGTCGACGGGTCTCTTCTCGGAGACGACTCCTCTCTACGCGGCTCGCCCGAACAGAGTTCAAAGAAACCCAAAGTCCCTGGCAAACCTCGAAAACCCGATCCCAACGCGCCACCAAAGTCCCATATACACTCGTCGAAGAACGAAGGTCAACATACCGATCGTAGATATCTTTGCTATCTTTGCAACAAATTATTCACCAGGAGACGGTCTGTACGAGATCACATATCGAAAATTCACAACACAAAGACATGGGAACCACTGCGCAGCTTGGAAGTCATCGTTGAGCCCATCACCGGCGAGCCTGTTGAGCCTCTCGAAGACATCATTGCGCGAGGCCCGCCGCCTCCGCCTCCAAAACTGACCAAGGCACAAAAGGCAGAGAAACAAGCCAAGCGTGAAGAAGAACTGGATGGTGAGGACGAGCCTGGAAATGTCTCTGTCGCTGAAGAACAAGAGAAATCCGAGGAGCGGGACGTTAGACCTGCACCCGAGCCTCAGGTTACCGAAGCATCAACACCTCAGCCAACAAGCTCCGTCGCGACACTGAAGAAAGAGCCGTCCGTCGCGGGATCCCGAGCGTCTTCTACCGAACCTTTCGCAACCCCAGCGCCGATTGCGGGCAAGAAAAGACCCGCGCCAGACGACTCTGCTAAATCTTCGGCTGCATCCAAAAAGAAAGGGACTGCCAAAGTCAAGAGCTCGACTGCCCCAAACAAACGGTCCAAATTGAGCGAGTCCGAGAACAGTCCACCAGCTCGATCGGCGTATCGATCTCCCAGTGCGACGCCTGCTTCCACACACTTGAAACCGATTCCTTCCAAGCTTAAGAAGCAGACATCTGCAGCCAGTGTCAAGTCCTCTCCGACCCCTGCGTCTTCCAGAGGGGCTTCTATCGAGGCCAGATCTCGCTCAACCTCCGTCGCCGATACACCGGGCAGCTCCAACGATGATGGAGAAATATTTTGCATCTGTAGAAAAGGTGACAATCATACCTGGATGATAGCATGCGACGGCGGCTGCGAAGAGTGGTTTCACGGCAATTGTGTTAATATACGGGAGAGAGATGGAGACCTGATCGACAAATACATCTGCCCAAGATGCGCGAAACCAGGGTTACAGACGACATGGAAGCGCATGTGCAGGCGGAAAGATTGTAGGAAGCCAGCAAGAGTCATGCAAGATCCTCCAAGCAAATACTGCTCCGATGCATGCGGACGGATGTTCTTCGTCGAACTTGTCCAGCGTGGCGACCCCAACGTGCAGACTAGCAGGGACGGACAGTATATTGTCGAGTCCCAAAAACCCAAGAAGTTGCGCAAAAAGGCCAAAAAGACCGAAGGCCGAAGTAAGGCGGCGAGGTCACTCAATAACGTCAATGGGGATGTGGGCACTCCAATCAACAACGAAAGTCGACTGGCGACACCTGCATACAGCGACGAGGAGAAGACCGAGTACGAGACCGACAGCAGCATGGACGACGACATGTTGCCCAACCGCGGCTCGACGCTTCGCGCAGGTGAGGTCAAGGCGCTGCTGGAAAAGTGCAAAGACATTGAAGAGTGGCGTGCGCTGGGACGAAAGCCAGAGACGCCTCCACGAGACGTCGACATGCCTGACGCGGAAGCCGTGCGCGTGCGATTGGAATTGGAGTTTGACGAGCTCGAGAGTGCAAAGATGGCCAGTATCCAAGAGGAGAAGCGCAGACTCAAGGAGCGCAACGACATACTCGGCGCGAGGGAATTGTTACTCGAGCTGGTCAAGGTCAGATCGGGTAGCATCACGGACGAAGTCAAGAAGTCCCATCCCAAGATGAAGGACGTGTGCGGTTTCGACCCGCGCATGGCCTGGTCGGACGAGGAATTTGCGAATTGGTACCTGCAGCGCGGAGGCAAGGAGATCTTGGACCAGGGGATCGAAAAGGCCAAGATCGGACCCCCGGAAGACATGAGGGTGGCGAATGGTGTCGGGGAGCACGGAAAACCAACGGGCAATGATGATCGTGCGGTCGAGGATGAAGGTGAAGGTGGCAGCAACGACGGTACCGATGAGGACGACGCGATGCCGAAAAAGGGCGGCGTGTGTGTCAGGAATCGCTGTCCTCGTCACCGCAATTGGGCTAAGAGCCAACTTGCGGAATTGAGGTTCGAGCAAGATCTGGTGAGGCGCCAGCTGGGGGGGTGTGAGGCCCAGGAACACAAAATGAGGGAGAGGGCCACTGTCAGAGCTTGGGAGAAGAGAGCCTTGCCTACGTAGTAGATGTATCGATTAGTAGGTGGTGAGGGTGGTACACAGCTTAGGTACTACCAGGTATGCAAGTGTTGATAAGTGAGCCTTTCTCTTATTCTTCTCTTTGGCTTTCCTTTCCTCTCCTTTCGGTTCGGCGTGTGTGTAGGTAACGAATACACAAGGGTATGTATGTATGTATGTATGTATGTATGTATGTATAGGTGCTCTTGTTTCCAGGACGGAATGGATGGAGTTCGCCGAAGTTCGTGCTGCACTTCCATTTCTTCCACGTTCCACTCGTCCGTCATGTTCATGATCTACGATCTATGATCTATGATTGTGCGGATTTTTTTTTTCTCAATTTTTTTCAATTTTTGTACCACCTGGGGGGTAGTGAGCGACAAAGGGTACTACCACGCACCATGTACGGAGTAGAATAGAATATGTATGTACCGGCAGGTAAGGACTACCTTGCCTGAGGTGGTGGTGGTGGTGACTGGGTGACCTACCTACCTACCTACCTACCTACCTACCTACCACCCTGAAACCTACTGACCACAGCCCGATTCATGCGCCCCGAGAAAACTCATTCATTCATGGAACTTCACACACACACACGCCACTCCGACCAAGGGAAGGGTAAAAGAAAACCTCCCGTCCGACCAAACCCACTCAATCACACCCGAAGGGAAAACAGTTTGGAAGTTTTTAGAACAAAAAAAAACACCTCGACGAAACCACTGACCTTCCCTTCCCATCCGTTCCGATCCCAAGAACCTCAGAATAAGAACACAAACACACACACCCCCCCGGTTCGCAAAACACTATGCTTGAATATACTACAGCTAGGTAGGTATGAGCAGTGAAGACGATCATGTTGACATATTGATAACGATCAAATCAATCACTCAATTCCGAGCTCATTATTCAGTACTCAGTACGGGGTTTACTCGGAGAGACTTGATGAGAAACATAAAAAGCAGAAGGAAGAGTCCACCCAACTCTTTCTCCGCCCTCCCCGAGACAAAAACGACCCTCTCAAGCACTTTCCTCGACGTGCCTGAGAACAGGGTAGAGCTGTTCTTCTTCCGATCGATCTTGAAGTTTATGATCATCTGTGCCCGTCATGTCGTGATCGAGCCCATCTGCTTTTGGAGTGAGAGCTTTATCGTCGTCGTCGTCAAACTGACCCGACTCCAATCGCTTCTTGATCAGCTCGCGCATCCACTCGATGAGGCGCATGTTCTGAACCCAGACCTCGCCCGGTTCGGGATCCTTTGAGTCACTCTTGGGTGATCCAATCTCGGCCGATAGGGCAGGGTCAATGACGCTGTCACCCGGCGATTCGGCCTTCTTCTTGCCCTTGTTGATGGCAGACGCGGGAGGCGTCACAGAGCCATCAGTCACAATGTCCATGTCGTCCCTGTCCTTGTCGGGAGCGGCGCGTTGGAGCATGCCACCGCTGTAGCGGCGTCTCTCGTCATTGTCAAACATACCACTGAGAGTGGCTGCATTGGCCGCGGCATAGGCCATGTCACTGGCATTCGATGGGAGACTCGGGTACAGGGCACTGCTGCTGGGGGCCGCGTGGTTCTGCAAGGGGCTTTGACCGGATGTGTAGCTCTGAGCAGAGGACGGCGGCGTCAAGCCTGGAGTGCTGGCATCAGCTGTGCTGGCAATGCTGCCTTGGTGGGTATGTTGAAGAAGAGAGGCAGGGTTGTTTTGGGCAGCACTGGTCGGGACTTGAGCGGTGCTAGGTGGGCTGTTGCTGGTGCGGTAGGCCACGTAGCCAGAACCTGCCTGTCCGACTCCCGTATTGGCCATTTGAGCGTCGTTCTCGTAGATGGTGGCTTGCATCTGCTCCAGGATCTGGTCGATCGAGGTCAAGTCACCACGCGTCTTTGCATTGCCCATCGGTGGTAGACTGTACGCCTGGATGGGATCTTCGGACTCGTATGCACCGCCGACAGAGACTGGCTGATAGGCCGGAACGGCAACGTTGGCTGGGATGATCTGAGGAAGTTGAAGACCTTGGAGCTCAAAGAGGCGACGGCTGATGTGGTGGAAATTGGCAGGATCGAGCTCTCTCCGTCTGACTTGACCAAAGAAGTGGTCGAGCGCGTCGTACCCGCGCTTCCGAGTCTCATAGTCGTAGGTTGGGGGAGCCGTGCTGTAGTATGTCACAGGGCCGTAGCCTGGGTGTTGTCCAGTCTGTAGCGTTGGATTAGCACGACTGGGCTTTCGGTAACAAAAACATAGCAGCAATCAAAAACTTACCGGGACGGGCGGATGTGGCTGATAGTATTGGTTAGGATGATGCTGGCCGGTGTAGTCGCCTGGCCCAGGAATGGCAGGGGCATAGTAATTTTGGCCGACTTGGCCTGTGAGAGCGTGACCATAGTACGAGGCGTTGTAGTCCGCACCTGAAGGCATGCCATTCTGTGAACGCTGTCCTCCATTTGCATCTAGGTTGGGAGAACGCATGATGACGCTGTCATCTGCGTGAGTCTTGACATGTTTTTTCAAGTCTTGAGGTCGCTTGAAGGCCTTGCCGCAGAACTCGCACTTGTGAGGCTTCAAGGGTACGTGGACTCGGATGTGCGAAGTGATGTGGTCACGCTTAACCGTGGTGGTACGGCACTGGCCCCAGGCGCACGTCAAGTTGAGGTTGTTGGTGGACTTGCGACCGACATGGCGTTCGCAGACGTGCTCCTGGAATGGGAGTTCGTGTCAGTAACGAGGTCAACGAGGCGAATTGATGATGCAGTGTTGATGGGAAGGGATGTCTGGGACTCACATAGAGAGCTTCTGCGGATGTGCAGCGTTCGCCGCATCCCTGCCACTGGCACTGCAGGTTCTCGCCGGCGGCGTTGACACTGGGCGCAGGCTGTTGGGGAGTTTGGAGCAGAGGTTGCTGAGGCAGTTGGCCTTGTTGCTGCTGTGGTTGTGAGACAGCAGGGACGTCCTGAGGCGCAGGAGGGTTTGGGGTGGTGCTGGAGTCGCCTAGTTCAGACATGATCGTTTCGTTGTTCGCGCCAAGCTGCAGCGAGAGCCAAGAGATATTGTTCAAGGCGACCTTGGCGAAGATTCAAGACGAACGTCGACAGAGATGCAACAACCAGACACTATGTGAGTCGAAGCTGACAGTCACTTTCTCCGTGGCGATGGGAGGCGGCGGAAAGAAAAGGTGACGGTCAGCGCAGTGACGGTAGAAAATTCTGCGCGAGGACAGTGGCTGCAGCGCCAAATCGAGTGAAGAACTTCTGCCGGGCGCGCGCGTTGTGGTGAGGCACGACTGGTACTTGGCCGTCGTCGTCGTCGTCGTCTACTTCTTTTCGAGGACTTCAGCACTCGAGGCAGAGGACGGGGATTTACAGAGGAACAGAAGAATATCGTTTTCCTTGTACCGCGAAAAGTACGAGGAGCAAACGAGAACGAGAGGGAAGGAGACGGAGGGTGGCTACAGTGCTCGGGGGGCGGCGATGGGCTGGATTAAGTCGAAAGAGCATGTGGTTAGATTCACGGGAAACGGGGCCAGTCAGGTTATCATCGGCGGGAGAAAAGCCACTCGTGGTCCGTTGCTCTTCGTCGTATGGGCCGGGAGCGAGGGCTTTACGAGGAACAACAGCACCGAGGGATTTCGATCTCTGCGGGAGAAACTCTGGAGGGAGCAGCTTCACCCAGTGTCCAGATTATCCTCAACCCACGGGCGCCCAATTTTCGTCAGCGGCCTTGGCACTCGACGCTGATACGCTCTGCCAAGCCGCTAAGGGCCAGAGGAAATGCAGCTGTCGCGAGCCTGGACCCCACTAGCCCTTTGTAGGCGAGTAGCACCTTCTCGCCCTCCGCTTCTCCCTCCCTTGAGGCGCTGGTCTTACAAGGTGATACGAGGGGGGCAGGCCTCAAAAGGGTTGAATCCTGACCGAGGGGCGAAAACCGATCACGACATTGCAACGGAGAGACGTTTGTTGCCGGGCGAGGGTGGCCTTGATCCCAAGAGATCAGGATGGGGGAGCTTGAGAGAGCGCAAAGAGAAAGTCCCTCCTCCTCTTTCCCAATAATTCGGAAGTCTTGGAAGGTCTTGGACGGTCTTGGATTCTCTTGGACTCTTGGGAGCGGGACAAGAATGAGCCCAAGCCCCCAAGACTTTTTTCTGGGTCGCCGCTGTGCAGCTCACTATTGTCCTGTCCCTAGTACTTACATTAGTAGGTCCCTGTAGGCTTGGAACGGAGGCGCAGCAACAGTGACGGGGAATACAAGCACAACCACTCGTTACCAACCCCAAGTGCCACTCCTCTCTGACGTTTTGTCCAGTCTGGCATCCCTTGCCACCTCGCTAAGATAACGTGTAGAGTGTGCACTTTGCGTCGTTGACGTTTTGCAGCACGGAGAAAAGCCAGCTACTTGTCAATGCCCCCTACAGGGACGTACAAGGACGATTACCAGTCTACCTACTACCTACTAGTACGGTAGTCACTCCCAAAGTCCCACCCACGTACAGTAGTAAGTCGCAATACTCTCGTCCCTAGGCATGTAGATTTTGCGAAGTCGCCCACCTCTGTCCAATACGAGGACTTGCCATTTATTTAACCGCCTATGAGTATGCGAGAGTACCAAGGCAATGATGATTTAGGCAATGAATGCTCGTCTGGCCTTTTTACCCGCAGGATTGTATTGGTACGGCAAATTGCTGCTGAGAGAAAGGCAGAACTGCGTGATAGAATCCATGATAGAATCCAATCTCGTCTTAGTGCAAATCTGGCATGACACGTCAGAATGTTAATCCGTCTCACTCCCCCCGTTGACGCCCCCACCCCCCTCTCCCTTCTCTCTCTCGCGCATCTCTTGGCCCTCTGCTGCCCAGCAATGCCACGACATCCCTCCCGCCAAGTATCCTCAAGACTCTTGGATTCCCAGCGGGATCAGGATTTCTAGGCACTTTCAGCGGAATTGCTTGGGTCCCGTCAATGAGCACGTACGACAACTTGTACCCTAAAGGCCGACGTGTCGTCGATACCGTCACGGATGCCGAAGAAAACCGCGACAAGGGAAACCGAGAAATGGAGAAAGAAAGAAAAAAAGAGAAAAAAGGAAAAAGAATCCCAGCTTGTCGAGTCATAGTGGTTTAAGTTAGTTTCTTGAAATCGTTGTTTTACTGTGCTACCTTTCCTACGCATTAAATTTGTCAAATCATCTTCAAGCTCGCGTGCTCTGCCTCTGACTCCGACAACCTGTATACCCGTGACGCACAAATGAATTCCATGCAATGCCCTTGCCCATGTCATCTTTACCAGGCAATATGAACCAATCCCTTCTTGCATTCTTTCCCTGGATAAAGGTATTCCGCGTATATCACCAAAATCCAAAGCCAAGCACCTTTGGAAAAAGCTCCGCATAACGCCACATGTGTATAAGCGCGTACAGAACGCGAAGCGGAAAAGGTATCCAAGCCCAAGTCAACCTATTGACCTTTTCCATGAAGATTCGCCTCTGGAGAATCTTGCTGGGGGCACACCTGATATGCCCATTCGAGTCGCGAAAATGATTGACATCTTACATCCAAACTCCTCGTGAGGAGATCTCAAAACCTTAAAAATAAAACATTGACTCCTCATGCCGTCCAGACTCGAGACGTACAGATCCACTATCAGGTCGCGTAGTAGTGATGATCGTTCCAGTTGGGATCCCACCCCAATCGGTCGTTGTCGAGGTAGTCTTCCAACCCTGGTGGTGGGACAACAGTCGCACTCGTCGATCCTTTCCAGAAGTCGTCGGGCTGTGTTGACTGTGATGGGTCCGTTGTCGGTGTTGCTGTTATGGAATCACGGAAATTCGGTATCCCACCCAGGTTCATGTGTTCGCCTCCGATCGCATTCTGCATCAGAATGTCCGTGATTGGAGCACCAAAATGTCCGCTTTGGCTTCCAAACGGCTGAGCCGCCTGCGAGGCATCATTGACACCCTGTTGAAAAAAGCTGTGGTCATATTGTGGTGTTGGCAATGACATCGCCGCCGTGCCAGTGGTAGGCGTCCCGGCCATGTTGTGGTCACTGAACCCAAGGCTGTGATCCGTAAAGGAAAATGAGCCGTCGCCAGACTCCAGAGTACTGATTGGCTGGTTAGGATATGCGAATGGATTATCGCTGGGGAACATGACGTTCTTGAGGTCTGGGATTTGGGCAGACCCCATCTGTGGTGTGAAATCAAACTGGCTCGACATCGGTGACGCTGTGACTGGGCTTTGGTAGCCGAGCATTTGCTGATTCTGCATATGTGTAGAGGTACCTTCCGATAGACCCGCGAGTGCATGGGGATCAGGCATGGAATTTCTCTTTGCCAATTTGGCAAGGAAATCCGAAGGCAGGGTTCTCGTGCGGCTAGGAGTCGCTGAGTGCTCCCTTAAGCTGCTGGGCGTCGATACACTGGCGGCGGGTTGTCTCTCTTGGTTTTCGGTCACGACAGGAGGTGGCCGCTTGCGGGATGGTTGGGTGGCAGCATTTAAAGAGCTTCGTCGCTCCTTGAGCTTTTCCGGCAGAACCTCGAAGAGACCCTGAGCACAATGATTAGCAACCTGTCGAAGTTTGGAAGAGACAACTACCTACCGCTAAGCTGGCACTGCACCGGTCGGCTGCCATACTGCGTTTTGCAAGGGAAGCCAGGGTGTCTCTTCCCTCAATCGCATCTTTCAGAATGTCTTGACCTGTAGGGCTGTGCGGGTTTTCGAGGACGAAGAAAACCAGCGAGAGAATCGCAAAGTAAGTCGTATACATGACAAACCAGTACGAGCCGACTAGAAGGCCACGTTTCTTCATTTCAGTGGTGATGTGGACGATGTTCCGAGCGACGCTTATGCATGCCGCTGCACAGGCAAAACTCCTCTTATCCACGTTCCTGGACTGGCAGGCCTGCGATACATAGTGGATGAAGGGTCGATATACCATCATCTGAACGTGAGCATAGGACATTCGTAAAAGCTGTTGCACTCTGCAAAGGGTCAACACCACGTCCTGAAAGGGGATTGGTATGTCTTACCGGGCAAGGTCCCTTCCAGAGTGATCGGAAGGCCTCAGCTCCGCGGGCAGCTGGTCCATCCAGCTCTGCAAATCTCGTTCAAGCTCTCGTATGCGCTTGTGGCTGATGGTATACCTTGAATCGGCATTTCCACTGCCGCTGACCCCCTTGACGGGGTAGATATAGCTCACGACTTTCCTCAATATGTTAGTCAACCTGGTATGTGCATTCGACGCTTTCATGAGAGGAAAAGCATTGGCTGGCATAGGCCGGAGACCATCCGATGTTATATATTCATCATCAACTTCGCTGGGAAGCTCTTGATCAATATCGTCATCACTCAGCATCTGCGGAAGTCCGAGAACGGCGCCAACGTAAGAGTCCATCTTTCGGACGAGCCAGAATATGCGCTTCCTCTCTTCGAGTTCGATCGGGTTAAATCTATTCGGAACGTTGCGGTGAAGACCCAATCGACAACACGCTCGCAGTGCAATACCCAGATACGCATAACATACTGGGAGCTTGGCGCTCGACTGGAGGAACAAGATCATGAACACAATGGCTTGTATTGTCACGAGGTCTCGGCAGTCAGTGATGTCAAGCATCTGCTTTGCCGCGTTGAAGTATTGATATCTAGCGGATAATTAGCAAAAATGCATCAAGTTGGCAGCGGAAGACCATTTAGAACGAACCCCTGTTCAATTGCTTCCTTGTAACCTTTGAGGTCAAGCGTGGTGCCTTTGTCTTCCGATTTGGAGAACAAACCTCCGACGGCCATGACAACGTACAGCAAGGGCAAGAATTGCAAGTGGTTGTTATTCCATTGTTCAGGATCAGTGTCGTAGAGGGAGTGTAGGCGTTGGAGAAAGGTTGGTTTATGGATTGGACGCATAAGAGCACAACAGTCATCCAGGGTGTTGAGTGACAGTTCGATGGCGACTTCTTTCGGGGGCAAGTCGACACCGTGGGGGAGATTGATTTCGTACGGGGAGGATTGGGCAGATCGGGGTGATTCAAAAAGCTGTTGAATGTTCTTGTTTCGGTTGCGAAACGAGTCGAGATACGAGTCGCCGAATTGGGCCCGGAATTTCCTCATGTAAACGTATCCAGACGAGTGGCCATGGAAATCCCAATGTCCTTCGTGGTCCAGATCCAATGCGCCAACTCGATCGACCATGGACTGCAACTGCGCGTCGTCTTCAGGCTTCGACATGTCGGGCACCGATGATGCCTGGGCCTTACCGCTGACGCCGTTTGAGTTGACACCGAGATTGGTACTGGACTTGACTCGTGACGTCTCGATTAATTGTTCCACAGAGCGGGCATCGAACTTCGGATCCTCAAGATCGAGTCCTGGTAGTACAGAACGAAGGATCGCTTCGGTTTTCTGCAGTCGTTGTTCCAGGGCTTCGATATACTGTGGTGCAGGATTCCGCCTCCGGTTGGAAGGCTGGTCATAAGTACATTCTGGAACAGATCGTAAGTAACCTCGTGGCACGCGACACATGATCATTTGCTACTACGAACCATAGCTGTACACAGTGCAGTGGGTACATGGTTGCTTGCCGTCGCACTTGATCTTCTTTCGTCTACATTCATCACAGGCTCTGGTGACTCTTCGCCTTTTTTGCATAGGCGCAGGAGGTTTAGACTCCTCATCGTCATCGTTGTTTTCGGCCACCGGCGAGTTCGGTTGCGAGTCTGGTGCATTAGGATTGTTGTTGCCCAAGGTCGATCCGGCAAGGTGAAGCGAGTTCGTTCCTGGAGCCTCGCCGGCCGGACTCTCCGCGGACAGGGATCGCACCGTCACATCGTCGCCCATGGTTTGCATACAAGTGTGGCAAGAGGTGGACAAGAAGTGAAGGGAAGCGACAGCGTTGCGGCGTGCATCAGTTCAAAAAGTCGAGGTTTGGTCTGAAATGGCCCGAAGTCGGTGACGCATCCAAAACGTAAAAGCGAATGGGAAAAGCTCTGATAAAAACAGAATCGCCAGGGTCAATGGGAATTTAAACCCCGCAGTGGATGGGAAAGCGGCGATAAGGTGGACGCTTGACCGTGTGAAAGCCCGAGTATCGAGAGGGAGAAGCGGACAAGGGCAGGACAGAAGCCTCACAGCACGTGTCGACAGTGCCTCGGACTCGGTATGAATTACGAGGGTGCGACGTGATTGGAACTGCGCCGAGGATTTTGTGCCTTGTGCGTGGAATTAATCGACTGGTACGGAGTAGACAAAAAAGAAGAATAGGATGCTTGAATCCAGATGGACGGAGTCACTGATCTTGCGGCTGCTACGCCGTCCCAGCATCACTATTACTAAGACAGTAGCCGTGGTCCATCGCTACTATACCTACTAGTACTGGGCAACACCCAAGTACCTTTTACTGGAGAAGACACCTACTAGACAGCTGCTAGTCCCTAAAGGCAAATGCTTCGTACTCGTACGTGCCTTCTTTGTACGACCCATGGACTCGGACTTGTGCCTCTTACATCTATATTACACCCTTTGTTCATATGAACCAGGTACGAGTACAGTATGAGCGCATCATTAGCATCATCATCCATCAATGCAAATTTCCATCCCTTTGCTCCCCCACGGCCCAAACCATGTCGCCGTCGTTTTCCGCCTCACTGGCAGGCTCCGTAAGTCCGCCCTGGTATTTTTGTAGGTGGAGCCCTGTATTGGCGAGGGCTTGCTTTCCTGCATGTGGGCGTCCGTTGGTGCTTGAAAACTCATCGTGGCCGTCAAGGCCTCTGAACCAGTGAACAGCGACCATTGCCATCTCCACCTCTCTGCAACTCGCGGGCAAATTCCGATTGCAGCTATGACGCTGAATCACAGAGAAGATGTTGGTGTCAGTGGCTCACGCGCCTGCAGACGATACCCGCTTGGGGCCAGCATTATACAAAGCCTCCTCCCCGTACAGTTCGCCTTTCGACGAATGATCAATCTCGCAACGAACATGGCTCGCTCTAAGGCTTCGTAGCTTCGGCTCTGACAGTCTTAGGCCGAACCCTTCCATTTTCTGGATTCACCAAAGTTCTTGGGTGCTCGCGCAGAGTACAGAACTCGTACCAGCCACGGTTGATACAAAGAGTACTTTTATTGCAGTTTCTTTCGTTAACGCGGTCCCTGTTTGCTGCACGGATATTTGGGCCTAGGATCTAAACCGGGTGGCCGTAAGATCAACGCTGGCTGCTCGTGCGTTGTAGGCTGTGGTTGCCCTCCTCGGTGTTGAGAATCATCGCGTGGCTGTCACCGCTAAAGATCGTGGGGCGGTGACACTGCGCGGAGTACTGTAGGACTACGCAAAGGCAGGTCTGAGGGTTGCTGATGGTCTCTGGGAAATGCAGGGTATTGTAGCAGCAGGGGAGGCCGCACGCCCTAGCACAAGCCCCATCTCAGCTGTATAGAATTTGCTGCGAGGCACCGTTTCACTTGACTTAATCACAGACTCCCCAACGCATTCTACTCGTCCTCACGCGGTATGCATGAGGCTAGCACCCTCAGAGGTCATGACGTCCGCGAAGTGCAAGGCTCGCTATGCTCTAACCCAGGGTCCCCCAGGGAGGTGACATTGGCTTTATTCCCGCTCATCGAAAGAGACCAGGGTTGCAGTAACGCCTATCGCCTAGGTTGGTGAAGCCCCACCCCCAGGCAGTTAGGTGGGCATGCTTCATGAGTGTGGAAGGCACAAAGGGACCGATGAGCTCCCCGTGCACCCATTTGGGCGAAATGACATGACTGTCTGTCTCCATTTGACATACATGATGCCCATCCTGGCCTCTCATGTGGCGAAAACGTGCGTTCCTTCCGCGCGTAGGCGCTGCGAAGGTTCGATGACAAGTGCTTGGGACGAAAGCACACGTTGCGGCCAGCGCCACAATCAAACCATGTGCGATGGGATAAATAGTATAAGCGAGACTTCGCGGACGCTCGACTCATTCTTGGCTTCAGAGTAGTGAGAAGCAAAAGCAGCAGGACCAGTCAACGATATATCCCCTATTTACGACAAACCCAGCGTCGTACTACAACCCCCCAGCAGTTGCTTGATGCCCCGATAATACTGTCCTAAGAAAGGACATATGCAATATGAGTCTCGATGGCCTCGCCTGACTGTGCACAAGGTGCGTTCAGGCTCGCCGTAAGTGCGGTTTGGTCGTATGGGCCAGTAGATCCCCCTTCTTGACTCCCGCGAGGCCTCAAGCGCGAGGTGCGAAGCGCGAATAACAACTGACTAGGGGACTACACTGAATTTCCCGCCGCAAGTCGTTTTGCCAGTTCTCCATTGTCGGCTTCAGGTCGCTTTCCAGTGTCATGAAGGAGAACAGCAACTTTTTAAGCCTATCAAAGCTGGGTCGCGACAAGCGCTTTGCAATTTGCAACATCCTACCAACGAACCACGGTCTCTCCGTATTCTGCAGAGAAGAGTATTTGCTGCCACTCAACAGAGTCTGCACGACTGCTTCGCTAGATACGTGACGAGCCAACCCACCACGTGCTACATTCTCCACAAGTTCGAGGAAGAATTGTTCGCAGAGATCGGGAGAGTGTCGATACTCCCAGATGGCGATGTTGATGGTCATCAGGGCAGCCAATCTGGGAATAGTCTGCTGGTATCGGCATGATTCCGTACATCGAGGCACTTCGGCATGGGCAAGAAGACTGTGCAGAAGCTGATCTGGAAGAAAGACCGAATATCGTAATGGCAGCCTGCTCCTTGATATTGGGTTTCGCTGCATGCCAGCCTGCACCAGGGCCAGCTGCTCCGTACATTTAAGGAAAGTGATAAACTCAGCGCATTGCTCTGATACCTCTGCGCGAGCAATGGCCTGTGCCTCCGTGTTGCCATAGGGAAGCGCTGAGAGTTCGTGGTTGAGTTGGAGGGCCGAGCTATAGGGAGGATAACCCGGGCTAATATAGTCGCACCAATTGATGAACATGGCGCAGTCTTTTGTGTTCCGCTAATGCTGAAGGTCCTCCTCTTTCACGGATCTTTTGCTGCGCTGTGGACCAATGCAACCACCCACATCTCCGTCGATCCGTGGAAGCGTCAAGGAACTCTAGCGCAGCAGTAGAGACCGTCGCTGATATAGTAGCATTCGAAGTATCACCTGGAAACTGCCGATGGTGGGCAAGCAGTCGTTGAGAGGCTCTGATCCTGCGTTGAATTGTTGGCCGTGTATCCTCATTTCGTCTCAATCTATCTTTGGTGGTTGCAGCATGGGTTAATATAATGTTTTCAAAGCATACAGCTCCTGCCATACGGAAAGGAACCAGTTCTGCACGGGAGGTTTTTCTAGCCCGTATGAGTACGCCGGTATGACCGTGGCATAAAAGTCGAAGAGCTGCTCGTCCTCATGACTGAGTGTGATCAGGAGCGAGTCGAAAGGATCTGTTCGCGCTGCACTGAGCATGGATTGTGGCTGCGAAAATTGCCCGGCCTGAAACCAAGGGCTACAAGAGAAATCTGTCGATAAGAGAATGCTGGGTCTGTTGGAAGAGGCTTCAGAGTGGTTTTGCTCCAGGTCAAAGAGTTTGGCAAATGCTGTAGCGTCGAGATAGAAGCGCGATCTCTTCAAACCTTTCACCCTGTGCTCCGAAGCATGATATGGAGCCTCTTGGACAGTTTCGAAGGACAAATTTCGGGGGTCATCGATCCCCTGCGAGTTCGCCAGCGAAGAGAGTGCCTTGGCTGTCCTGGGTAGATCACAATTTCTAGCAGACTCGTTGCTGGGCTTTTGCTGGCGTGTTCGAGACTGCAACGCGAGTTTCTTCTGCCTACTTTGGGCAGTGGATTCGGATTCATCACTACTATTGGCTCGGACTCTGGCTTGCCAACGCTTCTCCCTCATATAATCTTGCATGACATGACGAGGCACCTGTGTTGAATTCTTCCCTGAGGAGGTGAGGTCGTTGTTGTCGATATAAATTGAAATCGCTTTTGGGGCTTCTTTGTGTTTGAAGACATCATGCCGTGCTGATAACAAGGCAAGAAGAAACATACCGTTCCGAAGAGAGTTTTCTTCACCAACCTCGATATCGCATCCATAAGAATGTCATGATAACTACAGAAGTTAAATTGGTCTTTCGAGATTTGCAGATCAAGGTTGAAGAGGAGGCATTTCGCCCCCGACAAGGGCCGCAGCGACCTTGGAAAGAATAGAGCGCGGAATCCTTGCCCCCGAATGAGCGATCCCCATTTAAGATCGCTGGCAGTCATGGCGGTTATTTTAAATTCGAGATCACCTGCTGGAGTATTTCGTCTGCCTCATTGTGAATTTCTTCCTTGATCTCTGCCAGGATACTGCAACTGGAGTAGACTGGTGGACTTGTCTTTCAATAAGTCATCGAATTTCGGCGACTGACCAAATCAATATACCCACAGCAAGACAAGAATCCATGCATCAAATTCAAGTCTGGATCACGAGAGATGGTTGGAAACAGTACAACCACCACACGTTGTGTTTGGGGAAGGCTCAGCGGACATGAAACCTCCGTGCTATACTGGTCACCATGGGAGAGCATCATTCAGGAAACGGAAAGGTGTCGCTGGTGTCCCCAATCTAACGCATTGAAGCTATTCGGGACTCGGATGCTCTGCCAGGTATCCATATGTTAGCTTGGAGTGATGGCCCCTTGATTCGTTATTCTGAGCGCATTCGAGTTCATTAGGCGTTCAGCACTATTCTCGAAGGTTACCATTGACTGTTTAGGCAGTCAAGGATGTTGTATTCGATTAGTTCGCGCCGAGTGTGTTATACCTACTCATGCCTTATGCTTGCGTCCCTCTGTAAAGTCTGTCAATCATCCTGCGATGGCGTTTGCTGGCTTGGCGCTCTCGAAGTTTAGAGTTATCTCTAATGAGTGATTATCGATTCTGCGACTGGGTTTGTACTGTTAAATAAGTCCTTCGTATGACCCTCCAACTCAGACACGCAGAAGAGGCAGCAAGCATTCTCTCGGAGGGGAGTTTTTGTCGAGACCTGTGCAGATTAGTCGATACAAGCGGTACATCTTGCCTAAATAGGAGGCCGCTTCTGGCTGCGTACTTGACGTGTGCTTTGTATTTGTTGAAGCGCCGAGAACAGGTGGACAGTGTGAGATCTGCTGGTAGAGTGATTGGGGAGTGGCTCAACTGGAGGATTCTGATGGCAGTGTTGTCGAGCGATGATATACCTTAAGGAGTATGTGTACCTACCGTAGGCGTTTATATACAGTAGGTGGGAAGAGTGAAAGGTGACGCTCTGAGATCTCGAAGTGGCTCTGCCGTGTATGGGAATGATGCGTGTCCGTAGCTCAAGGTGAGTATCCGTACACACATCTGAAATACCTACTGTAGGTACCTACCTAAGAAGGTACTAATTTAAGGCATGCTCTTCACGTAATGAACGAAACTGAGGTGGAAGAGGGATAAATCGACGTCTAACTGGTGAAAGGTGAAACTGCATGGCTGCAACCGTGCACTGAACCAATTGTCACATATTGCAGTTCGCGTGTCTCAGGAAGTGCATCAGCCATTCATGGGTGAATCCCCATTGCTACCACGCTCCTATCGTGCCTATCGCATTCTCGAGACTGTCGACCTTGGTTGCCGCCACAGTCGAAGCCAACACCACAGGCGACTAGCAGGGAAACCCCTTTGACACCCAAGACCCTGAAAATCTGTGCCGTTCCCTTGTCTCCATCTGGCTTTGGCTTTGTACTCCTGCATTCTGCATTCTGCGCCTCCTGCTGCACCACCCATCACGATTCACCACCACCATCCTCACCTGCGCCCGCTGTTACTTTCCTAGTCCTTGTCCAGTTCGACAATAACCTCTTGGACCTCCATCTTGCTGGTGCAACCTCTTGCCACCCGGGCCATTTCAATCCTTGCCAACGACGCGCCGCCTGCTGGACACGGTTCGCGTCGTAAATCGTCACCACTGACCGCCGGCTTAAAGCTAGAACGATCTACCACCACCCGACATCAACGCGATTCGGCCACGTTGCCTACGTACGTCGCCTCCAGTGAGAAAAGGACCTAATCAGAGAGGAAGGCGATGGCACAGGCAACACAGTCAATAAAATGTGTGGTGACGGGTGACGGTGCAGTCGGGAAGACCTGCTTGCTCATATCCTACACAACCAATGCCTTTCCTGGCGAATATATTCCCACGGTCTTTGACAATTATTCAGCCAGTGTCATGGTCGATGGCAAACCCGTGTCTCTTGGGCTCTGGGATACTGCAGGTCAGGAAGATTACGATAGACTGCGCCCTCTCTCCTATCCTCAAACCGATGTATTCCTGATATGTTTCTCTATTGTTTCTCCTCCTAGCTTCGACAACGTCAAAGCCAAGGTGAGTGACCTACTGGATATGGGCTGCAGCGCCCCAAAACTGACATGACCATGCATAGTGGTATCCGGAGATCGAACATCACGCTCCTGGCGTGCCCATCATTCTCGTTGGTACGAAGCTGGATTTGAGAGAAGACAAGGCCACAGCGGACAACCTAAGATCGAAGAAGATGGAGCCTGTATCCTATGAACAGGCCTTGATGGTTGCCAAAGAGATAAGGGCCGTCAAGTATCTAGAATGCTCGGCGCTGACGCAACGGAATTTGAAGAGTGTTTTTGACGAAGCGATCAGGTTAGGACATACCACTCCTGCTATACTCCTCTGTGGCGAACGCTAACATCATCATCTAACGCAGGGCCGTGCTCAATCCTCGACCGACCGCCACCAAGAAGAAATCCCGATGCACCATCCTCTAGGAGTTTTTTGAGCGAGCTTGTGATCTTTTTCTGTTACTGGAGGGTTTTCAGGTGCATTGCAAAAGATGGACATAGATATGCCGGCTTCACTGCTTGCTCTTTTCGTCGGGATGACATGCCAAGGTTACAGTCGATCCTTGTTTTGCAAAGGCAATTCCTCGATATGAATAATAACGTGCAACAAAGCTGGGCTGCAGGCGTTGATATACGGAGCAGTGGTCCATGGACTGGTGCGAATGAGACATCTTCTCTGAAAAGTATCGCTTCTATCCAGTGCGCGTCATGTTGTCACAACTCATGTTGTCAGTTCAATGTTGTACTCGCGAAAGCCGACTCGGATGAATCGCACCACGATTGTCTTCGGGCACCATCATCGTATCCGCGTTTGGCCCGGTTCCGGGAGCTTCGCGTTTCTTTCGAGCGGCATTGTCTGTCTCGGTTTTCGCTTTGATCCTCTGTCTCTCTCTTTCCTCTCCTAGCTTCTTGTTTTTCATCTTGATCTTCTCCTTGCGCACCTTGCTCTTTCCTCCTCCCCCAGCCGTCAACTCAACATTTATCCTCCTGCCTTTGGACTTCTCGTCACTTAGAACGTCCTTGGCTTCTGCACTAGACTGACGCTGAGGATCAAAAATTGAATGGTGATACAGCTTTAGACATGTTTTCATTTTATCGTAGTCGTCAAACTCGAGGAAGGCAAACCCCTTGCTTCTCCCGGTGGATTTGTCCGTCGACATTCGAACGCTTGTGGGCGCAAGTTTGGAAAAATGCTGCTTGATCTGGACGGTAGTGGCATCGAAAGGAAGATTTCCCACGAAGACGATAAACCTTGAAGGGGTCTTCTCTACCTTCTGATCCCGGGATTTTTGCTTCTTCCTGGGCCCCTCTGCTGGAGATCCTGCTACCGCGGGTTTAGATTCCTCTGCCTCCTGGTGCGTGTCCTTGTTCGAAATCTCTGCCACGAAATTATTTGTTGGCTCGGGCTGATCGGCCGACTTTTTCTGTTTCTTAGACCTTCTCTCCGACCTTTCCTGCCGCGATTGCCCTTTCGGTTTTCCTGCTTGATGTGTTTTGACAGAGGAAGTTTTCTCTGTTGTTGTAGACTCGGGATATGTGGCGACATCAGGTTCAACCTGGTCGTGTGGCCTCTTTCTAGCCATTCTGCCGATTCGGATGGATCGATCAGTCGTCGGTAGTTGCTGAGTACGAAAGCGCAAATATTCTGCCGCGAGAAAGTTTAGAGGATGTTGCCTTTCTGAGATTGGTGGGCAAAGATCTGCGGACTGGCCGGCCAGGGCAACGTCATGGGCGCCGACAGGAACCGAAGATTCAATAATGGGCTGCCCGAATGACTACTCTAAGGACTTTGGAGGGACGGACGCTGGAAAAGTACCGGTGGGTGCGCTAGGGGCCAAGTCTGCAGACTGGACTGTGTTAGGTGCAGCCTGACTGGGATCCCGCCTACAACAGACCTTCTTGAGCGCTCTCCGTGGACAGCTTTCAGGGTTGCCTGTGGCATAGCATATCTTCTACGTGTTAATTTCGAACTTCAATTTCCAGGATTCTGCGCTTGCTCCAGTCGAAGCCTTTCGCAGTTTTCAGCTATCATGAAGAGATACCCTACAGCCTAGCCTCTCAGCTACGAAAGCGCATCCAGTATGGCTGTGTATGCCTCCCAACTCGGGGGTAAAGGCCCATTTGCCAACACTGCTCCCCCTTCAGCGCCTGCACCTACAGCACCGGCTGGCACGTTTCTGCCCGGGACGAAAGTACAAGTGGGCAACCATCGGGTCGTAATTGATCGCTATCTCTCCGAGGGCGGGTTTGCCCATGTCTATGTGGTGTCATTACCGCGCCCGATAGACGGCAACCAGAAGGCGGTGCTAAAGAGAGTGGCAGTCCCGGACAAGGAACACCTTGCAAACATGAGAACGGAGGTCGAGACCATGAAGAGGTTAAGAGGCCACAAGCATATTGTGAAATATATTGATTCGCATGCGTCTCAGCTGAAAGGTGGAGGCTACGAGGTGTTTCTTCTCATGGAGTTCTGCCAGGGTGGAGGACTGATAGACTTCATGAACACAAGACTACAAAACAGATTGACGGAGCCCGAGATACTGAAAATATTCACCGATGTGGCAGAGGGAGTGGCGTGCATGCATTACCTGAAGCCCCCGCTCATGCATCGAGATCTCAAAGTCGAAAATGTCCTTATTTCCACGGAAGGATCGTCAAGGATATACAAGCTATGTGACTTTGGCTCTGCAGCCCCTGCCAGACCGGCTGCTTCAACGGCGGCCGAAGGCCGTTTGATCGAGGATGACATAAATCGCCATACAACCCTCCAATATCGAAGCCCAGAAATGATTGACGTCTACAGGAAACAGCCAATCGACGAGAAGGCTGATATATGGGCGCTGGGCGTTTTCTTATACAAACTCTGTTACTATACGACTCCATTTGAAGAGGCTGGACAAATGGCGATTTTAAATGCTAGATTCAAATTCCCAGGATACCCTCGATTCTCCGACCAGTTGAAGCTACTGATTGCTTCAATGCTTCGGGAGCGACCATCTGATCGCCCTAACATATACCAGGTGCTCCAAAAAGCGTGCCAGCTAGATGGCAGAGAGCTTCCTGTCCAGGATATCTATACCCGGCGGACGCAGTCGGAGAACCGCAAGGATCAAGTCCTCCCGACGCCCTCTGGCTCTCAATCCAGAGCTGGTGCCACGTTATCACCCCCAAGACAAGATGCTGCACCAAGCATTCCTCAAATTGAACCTATGCGCCGGGGACGGCCCACGAAGCCCCTTTCTCATCATGGATCTGCCAAACCTAGCCCCTCGCCATTAAGGATGGTAGATGGCACGGATCCATTTGCAGCACTAGATGGGAAACCCTCCTCTGTTGAAGACGAGTTCTCGACACGTTTCCCAACATTGGATCAGTTTTCTCTGATGACCGACAAGGGAAAGAATTTCGCTTTTGAGCCCCAACAAGAGAAAAGGCAGGAAAGCGCGGAAGCAGATTTGGCACAGAGGGTCACAATGGCTCTGGCAGACGATGCTTTTGCTCGCGCACCCAGCCCTGTCAAAGCCAGCACTCTTTCAGAGAGACCTAAAACCGCCGTCAAGTCACAGGCCGTGCTGCAACACAAGAAATCTTTGGAAAGCAAAGAAACTCAGCCTCGAGCCAGCTTGCCCCCGGTCAAGGCCTCTGCAACTAGCATGGTTTCCACTGGAACCATGACTTCCCCATCTCCTCCACCGACGACATCAATACCATTCTCTGAACGTCCGATACACCGGTTCCCATCTACCGATCATCCTCCCAGGAGTTCCAGCCTCAACCAACCTGCCCCCCAGCCGAGTGTGCACACCCAAGTCAAAACGGGCTCTCGGCTTGCAAGCCTCTTAAAACAAGATGCCCATAGATCACAGCTCGCGGATGACTACGAACCACGGTCTCCGACATCATCTCGTCCGTCTTTGGAGGGCGGCCGCCCTACGACACGAGATCTCAACTCAAGCGTGAGCCGCTCACGATCCTTGAATTTCAGAAATCGTCCGGTAAGCGTCAATATCGGCGCAAGGCCCACCCACATCAAGGATAAAGAGATTACTCGATTGGATTATGAGACGACCTTCGCAAGCGCAGAACCGGAAATGCCACCCTTGACACACTCTGAATCTGCAACAAATATCGCATCTGACGTTGACTTTTTGAAAGCCAGAGAAGAAGAGGAGAAAGAGCGAAAGCAGCATCATAAACGCTTGGGGAGCGGTACCAGACATATCAAACGCTCAAGCCTGCCATCCATGGGCATTGCTGGAACTACGAAATTGCTCGCCGGGAAGTTCGGGGACGCTTTTAAAATGTTTGAGGGTAACAATGACAGCCATCATCAAAGGCAGAGAAGCGATTCTCCTTCACGCGACGCACTCAACATGCTTACTCCTATCGCTGGGTCCGAGGCTACCGATCTCAGCAATGACCGAGAGCCATTTGACGAGACAGAAGATCTTTCACCAGAGATGAAACGCGAGCTGGAAAAGAGAAAATTGGAGGCCGAAGAGCGAAGAGTCGCCAATGCTGCTGCTGAATACCGACAGCGTGTGGCAGCACGAGGTGGCAATAGCCAACCTGGTGGTACAATCAAAGCAGCATCGATTCAGAATAGAGTGAAGTCACTACTGAACGAACATGACAGGCCTGCACAAAAGACTGCAACTGGCTATGGTCGTTATACTGACTCTGCGACATCGCTGCAGGATAGACTAGATGTCAAACGGCTATCAGATGCCTCTTCTATTGAGGGTCCTGCAAGGGTCGAGCGGCACCCTCCACACGCTATGTCTACACCTACATCTACCACCGACTTGGCAAGAACACAGAGGCCTACAGCTCCTCCTAAACCCAAAGTACTCCGATCAACTGTGCCTGATGCGCTGCCAACCGCGAGTGAGGGTTCGGTTGCTACACACGTGGACGAAGACTGGGAGGCGAATTTTAGCAAGAGATACCCCAGCCTTGCTGGACTTGAGATGGTGGAAACATCCATCACGGGGCCGAAGCCATCGGTGGCAGTGAGAACGAAGGAGATATAATAGTCTGATTCCTGTTCTGTAGACCTAGAGCCGAGCTATTCGCCATCCTTTACTCGGAATGACATGTACGAGTACCGTGATAGATGAGCAGTGAAGATGAATGCTGAGAGTTAACGACTGGTGGCTTAAGTTCATTGTTCTTTCCTCCACCGTGGTGACCTGTGTACATAATTCATCTGTCTCACCTTCATCTTACCGCAGGTCTCTAAAACGATCGACCAACCCATCTGAACTCTTGATCAATCACTCTTATCAATAATTGTGTGTATTCAGCACCACAAACGATCAACTATTTCCTGTTCAAGATGGCATCACATCGACGTGGGCTGTCACAGGCTAGTGAGACCGTTGCAGGCTCAACAACAACCAACCGAAATACCGCCGCTACGCCCACACGTAACCAAGGGCGAGCTCGGGCTCCATCAACCATGGGACGACACCCACCTAATTCCGTCCTCCTTTATGATCCTTCTCAACAAGAAAAAACAACCTCGACCACACTGTATCTCTCCCCAGACAAACTCAGACGATTCCCGCCAGGTTCCTGCGGCCCTTTCACCTCTCTAAAATTGCCACCAAAACCAGTTGAAGTGAATGCACAAAATCCCGGCAGTCCTTCGGCGGCAACATCGACACCTTCTCTGGTTGCTGATTCACCGTCCTCTGCCAGTCCTTCAACAACTACAACCCCGGTTGCGAACGAGCAAGCGTCGAGCGCTGACTTTGAAGCTAGAAGTCTGGGTAAACATTCATCACATCCGGGACTAGTTTTTGGTGTTCGCAGACATTCTAATCGCGACGAAGCACTAGCCCAAACCGTTCAGCGAAAGTTTCTGGACCTCTTAGCGATCCCTTCGGCTGGCAATATCCCTCAACAAGACAGTAGTCCTGTGCATTACGAAACATTTCCGCAAGCCGACGACATGGCGCCTGTGAAAGACCCTTCAAACGTTCATTCGACGATTAAGGACATTATTCAACATCTGTACGAGATCCAGATGCAGACACATGGTTACGTCCCCGAGACACAGGACTTGCTGGTTGACAAAATGACCGATCTGGCCGAATCTCTCGCTCAGTTGCAGACTCTGACATCTCCGAGAGAGTCGCCCCACAATCCCATTCATACCGTGCAGATTGCGCCGGAGATTGTGGATTATGTGGACGATGGTCGAAACCCTGATATCTTCACCCGAGACTTTGTCGAGAATGTACAACGTGGCAACGCTGTTATCAACGGCAAGCAGCAAGCTTTTCGAGAGTTTAGTGAAATCTATGCAAAAGCTCTGAAGGAAGGCATTCCAGGTATCAGCCGACAGGTTGATGCAGTAATGGAGAGCGTCGGGTTCTCATCAGAAGATCATGAGCCCACCAAGGAGTCAAACCTGGAGAACACCAAATCAGAGTCTGCTCAGTGAATAGGAGCTGGAGGCTCGGTACAAATTATTTACGAATGTTACGATTATGAACGACTTCGGCCTCAGGGCACACTGGTTAATGTTTCCCCTCATGGCATCTATGAATTGGTCGGCGACGAAAAGGCGTTGAGTAGGCTTGCGTCCTAACGTAAAAATGAGATTCCCTCCTTCAACAGACCAACGTTCCGGACTATCGCAGCTCCTGCCCGTGATCCTCTCAGCAAATGATCTTTTGCTTTAGCTGGTGGACTTTACTCAAGTGGCATTCAAACACCATTATCCATCCGTGATCCTTGCTTGGATGTAATGCCGAAGCCCGGACAATTTGACCCAGAGTTCTGAGAAGCAACCTGCAGTGGAACAAGAGAATTAGAGAAGAGCCGATCCAATTCACATCATTCTACCTAAGAAGAGAGAGAAATAGTATTTCATGCTTTAATAAAGCTTCAGAAGTCGCAAATGCGGAGCGCGTACCAGGACAAGCAGCGTAAGGCGGCAAAACCGGCTTGCCAAAATAGGATATAGAATCTTGGCAGGATCATTGAGCTCTATGGAGTGGTGGCTCATGAGATCACCCCAAGTACTCAGCCAGATGTACTCCGTCGCACTTCAAAGCTGCAACGTTTCTGCTTAATCCCCCAGCCCTCCTGTTCAAGAGCGTCTTAGAGGGGTTGACGCCTTCGTACCAACATTCACGATGAACTACTCCTCCCCTCTCCAAACGCTCGTTTCTCGTCGACTCTGCACATGCAGAAGCAACACTCACCCAGCATCACTAGCAAGACTGTTGTCCACGAGCAGCAGATTCAATGCGTCTAATAGCCCCCCGGCTCCCTCGTATGGTTCGTCCGAGCTGCTACGCCGCCGCTACCAGAAACACCGCACGCCAGAGACAGATGCAAAGACGGAAAGAGCAAGGACCATCAAACGCATGAAAGTATCAGGCTACGGGATCGCAGCTTGCACCCTCGCCATCATCGGCACAATCGCCCTGTACCCTCAAGATGGTCAAAGCGGCTCGGTCAACGCCGTCAAGCTCGACGCACCTCCATCTATAGCCGGCGCTCTTGACCCGTCGTCGTCTGTAATCGAGCAAGTCCCCACGGGGACTTCAACGATTCCGACGTTCCCTCGCACGATACACATATCTAGCGACGCACCAAGCTCTACCCCAGCTGCCGCCAACGAGGGGACGCAATCCAACGTCGAGTACCAGCTTGTCGGCCTTGGCATTCGCACCGTGTCGATCTTGAGCATCCAAGTGTATGTGGTGGGCATGTACATCGCCACGTCCGACATCGCGGCGTTGCAAGCACGCCTGGTTCACGCGGTCGCCGACCCGGTCGCGACGACCTTGGTTCCCGAAGAGAAGGGCAAGCTCAAGGACCTGCTGCGCGACCCGGAACGCGGCGAAGACGTGTGGAACGAGATAGTCAGGGACGCCGGCATCCGCACCGCCTTCCGCATCGTGCCCACTCGGAACACGGACTTTATGCATCTGAGGGACGGCTTTGTCCGGGGCATCACGGCACGCAGCACGCACTTTGCAAACGACAAGAACGACGCCTCGTTCCAGAGCGAATCGTTCGGAGAGGCAATGGGCGAGTTCAAGAGTGCATTCGGCGGCGGCGCAAGACGCAAGCTGGCCAAAGGCGAGGTACTACTCCTGGCGCGAGACGGCCAGGGTAAGATGACTGTCTGGGAGGAAGACAAGAACGGGCACAGGGTCAAGATGGGCACCGTGGCGGACGAGAGGGTCGGCCGGCTGTTGTGGTTGAACTACTTGGCTGGCAAAAATGTAAGCAGTGAGCCTGCCCGCCAGAGTGTCATCGAGGGCGTCATGGACTATGTGGAACGACCAGTAGGCACAGTCGCTACACAGGTTGTATAAAACGGTTGGAACAAGAACGAAGTCATTCCCGATGGGGTCAAAATTCATCTTCATCGGCCGTAATATATATACAGAAAAAGTTGCGCATGCCTGGCTTCATTTGTACATTATCGAGCTGTTTCTGCCGTTGTATGGCTAGGTACTCACACTTTGTGTCGTGCCGTTGTCGAGCCACCTTCGGAGCATTGACTTGAAGTAGGCTAACAGGATGAGATAATCTCGACTCAATACCAAGGACAGCAGGGTTCATGACAAAGGGGGGATTGTCGACGTTTACATCATCAAAGACCTACGTCTTGCATTCAGGGACGGTTCACGATTAGGGGGGGGGCTGATGTCTCATTCTCTTCGTTTCCTCGTACAAGTAGATTGACCACTACCTAGTTACTTTTTTGTACATTCATTCGTACCTATGATTGACGGCTGCATACAGCCCCAAAATTTCCCCCCAATCCCAGAAATACTTTCGTGCACGAATTCGCAGCTCTAGGCGAAGATGCGCAACGGCTTGTGAAGGTAAAAGCCCGGGTCGTTGAAGCGCAAGCCCTGGTCGAGGGCGCTGATGGCCTTGATTTCGTCGTCGGTCAGATCGAAGTTTGTGACCTCGAGGTTTTGCTGCAGGCGGCCGACGTTGTTCGACTTGGGGATGACGGCGATGTGTCTCTGCGTGGACCAGCGGAGCAGGACCTGGGCGGGCGTCTTGCCGGTGCGCTCTGCGGCCTTTTTGACGGGCTCGGCCTCGAACAGCAGCGGCACCTGCTGCGGCCGCTCGCGGAACGCCGGCGGGAGCTCGAGGAAGCTCTGTGGGCCAAAGGACGAGTACGCCGTCACGACGATCTTGTTCTCCCGGGCCAGGTCGGTCAGGCTTGGCTGCACGAGGTACGGGTGGTGCTCGATCTGGAGCGACGAGATCGGGTGTCTGGCGTAGGCCATGATGTCGTAGATGGTTTGGCCCTGGGCGTTGGAGACGCCGATCGACTTTGCGATGCCGGCGTCGACGACTTCCTCGAGAGCTTGCCAGGTTTCGTGGAGCGGCACCCTGGCCGTTTCGATGGTCTTTTGCTCCGCGTCCATCCACCATCCCTGGAAATGGAATGTTAGCCATGTAACCACACCCGGCGTCCAGTGTGCGCCTGGCTTGTTAAACCGCAAGCGTCGAATACTGGTCTGGACAAAGGTAGGGGGGGGGAAAGAGGACACAGAAGAGAGCGTGAGAAGGGTAGACTTGGACGAGATGGGCTGGCTTACCGGGTACCGAAGTTTCTCAGGCTCAATATACGGGAGAGCGATTGGAAAGTGAATGAGGTACAGGTCGATATAACCAAGGCCCCAGGCTTCGTTCTGGGCCTTGGCCATCTGCAGCGCATGCTCGCGCTTGTGGTAGTTGTTCCACAACTTGGTGGTGACGAAGATGTCCTCGCGCTTGACGAGACCTTCGTCGATCGCTCTCTTGATACCCTCGCCGGCCTCCTTCTCGTTCTGGTAATCATAAGCACCGTCGAAGAGACGGTAGCCCTGCTTGATGGCCTGGACGTGTCGCCGTTAGCCGGACTCTGTCACGTCGAGAGCCCTTTTTCTCCCGACGAGAAGATGGAGAAAGGGGAGATCATACATTGTAGACGATGTCGGCAGCCTTGTCGGCAGGCACCTTCCACAATCCGAATCCGACCAATGGCATCTTGTGGCCCGAGGCCAGAGTCACGTTTTCCACAGACATGGTTGTTGCTGGAGCTGATCCCGTTCGGTGTGAGAGATGATTCAGGATTTGACGAGTCCGCACAGACATGGACGGAAGACGAAATAGCCTCTTTATACCGTCGAAAGATCGACAGCGACGTCAAGCAATCCGCTCGCGAATAATGACCGCCGGTTATGCTTGTGCTGGAATTTAGCCGCGAGATGGGAGCAAAAAGAGTGGTCCATGGGCCGGGTAATTATTATATATGCCTTTCGCCACGGAGGCATGAAAAATTCGATTCGAGACATGATACCCGGCAACTGCCTGTCCCGGTGGAGTATGAAGCGGTAGAAACGATGTTTTGATTCCACCTCGTAGTCCTGTGCTTTTTTCGAGCAGTTGATGGGTGGAAATGGAGGTCGAGATATGTTCCGGCTGAAATGGAAGGTCAAAGCGACCGCACGTTGCTACGAGTTTCTGCTACACTGCAATAGGTATAGCGTCCGCTCCCCACAAACTCTCATTGGGCGCTCGCCGGAACAGAGTACCGCTACTTTGGTACCCATACTAGCTAGGTACAGTATCTGCCTAACCACTTACCTGTAGGCGATCATGCTCTTACTCTTGTCCTTGTCCTTGTCCTTGTCCTTGTTCACATCAATCTCAACATCGAAGTTACCTTCCTGCCAATGGCTGAGTACTGCTAAACGCTACAGCCGGAGGACGTTGGAACCCTGCTAGGGGCTATGTCTGACTTGGTCGCCCGAAGCTCCAGACACGGCCGACGATGCTCTCCAATACATTTGATATGTGCCCAAGTTCAACTCCAATGAGCAGCGCTCCCAGTCTCTTCTTCAGGCTTGGAAGATTCTCCCTCGGTATCTCCGTTACCTCACGGACTTGGGTCTCATCTACGCCGCATGCAGGCCTGGACACTACAGCAGGTCGAGTCACAGGAACAACGACGACGTTGCAGCGATTTCTTCTAGCTGCCGCACTCAAACAGGCAAAACGCCGTGGCTGCACAGTCTCATCGGTTTCCCTCCCCCCACGCACTGATGGGCCGTCCATGGGGGGGCTGGAGTCTCCTGATCACACCCTTGGGCAAGCCAGAGACCATGAACTCTTAAAACAAACCGCTGACTCGGTTTCCTCGAACGTGTAACTATGTGACTCTGGATTCGTCCAGATAGGTACCCCTGAACTAGCGATCCCTCACACAATGTCTGGTTATATGAACGGTCTTGGAATACTGCAAGAGATTCCTAGACTCCATGCCTCTGGAATTGGTAGATGGTTTTTCCTCCTACAGATCAACCCCCGCGGGCCAGCTCGCCCTTTTGTGCGTTCCGACGGCCATGTGGATGCGATCCGAATACTACATGTGTTCGTGGCTCTACATCTTTCAATGACTTAGAGGGACCGAGACTTGTTCTTCAACTTGGCATCCTCACCGAACGCATGACCATCTTTCCCCGACGCTGTCCCATCCTTTCCACAGCCCGTTCTTCTCCTGTCGTGCATTGTCTGCGTCGGAAGTGTCGTGATAGCCCGTAGACCAATCCACATTCCGTCGGGGTGCCGGCCTCATGTGAAGAATCACAGCTTCGTCAACACGAGAAGTCTGCCGCCGGCCTTGGACGTCGTTCTCACGCCGACCACATCTGCACGAAGCACCTCGATCGCGCCGAGGCCTTCCAAGCGTTCCACTTCCGCCTTATAGCCTCCACTTTCCCATATCTCATCCAGCACCGTCGCGACAATGGAGCCTCCCTTCTTCACGACCCTCACGAACTCTTTGAAAACTGGATCCGGCCCGACATGCCCCCTCGTCAACGTGCCGACGCAGACCACAGCGTCAAACGACCCGGCCGGCCTCGCTATTGGCTTTGACAGGTCCACCTCGTCCAGCTCGGCGTAGCAGCCCGTCTTGCGCGCGACCTCGAGCATGCCCGGACTGACATCCAGACCGGAGATGTTGTCAGCGCCAAAATGCGCGAGTTCTCTGCCGACCAGTCCCGTCCCGCAACCAGCGTCGGCTATACGTAGACCGGCAAGCTGCTTTCCGAGAACATCAGCAGTACCAGGACTGGACCGTGCGACTGCCCGCGAGAGTGCCTCCGCAGCCAACGCGGGGAAGGCATAGTCTAGCCCTTCGAGGTCCCTGTCGTACTGCGTCGCCCATTCATCATACACGTCTTTGGATTCGGCCGCGTTCGTGGCGGCGTACACGCGCTGCAGGAACACATTTTCCTCGGTGCGTAGACCGCCTGGGTCTGACATCTTCGAACGAAGTCTAGATGATGCTCCCTGTAGAAATGAACGGATTCCGTTTTATCTGAACTTTCAGAGGGGCAGCAGATGGCTCATGTCTTACTGAACAGATGTTGTCAAATCACGGAATTGTCATTCGGGACAATAGATGTTGGGCACGGTTGGTAGCATTAATGCTCTAGCTTGTACGGATAACTACCTATGGGTAGGCCTAATATATTGGTAAGTTAACTAACCTAGGTAAAAGCAAGAGGTACGGAGTAGTGAGCGCTAATATATAACTGGAGAGATATGATATCATTGGCAGCAATGCTGGACCTTACTTTCAACAGGGGCCGCCATCGCATAGCATTGTACGAGTACGTGTAGGAGTACGGCTCCAGGCTCTTGCAAGCATTGCCTGATATCCCGGGACGAGCCCCGGGACTCTCCGTGAAGGACCCGTAAGCGTCCGACTCGAAGTGATGGGATGCCCTACGATCTCGTACAGAATCACATACGCGTCAAGGGCAGCAAAAGCGGAAGACTTCCTCGTAAGGAGGGCCCTCTCTTTGCGATTCGTACCTATGTACATATGTATGGATAGCTGCCTGTACAACAGATTGACATGATCTCGGATGCATCATATCAGCTGCTTGAGCATAACCCGGGAATCTTGGATGCCTTGACGCCCGCCAAGCCGTCAATGTAGTCCAGGAAGGTTTGGACTGGGATCATATCCATAAGGCCCAAGCTGGGATTTGAACTGCGCAGGACCCGGCCACTCCAAAGCACGCGCAGATAATGGCAGCCGGACTTGCTGTAGAGTTCAAACACAACTTCAGACCCCATGCCCGGCCAGACCATGACGTCGACCTGCAGAATAGACAGCAGTCGTGCCATCGAGCCGTCGTGGCCCACATTGTGCCTGTAGATGGTGGCTGAGGTCCCATTCATCGCCGCGCGCAGATTGCTAGCGAGCTCCGCCGTCCAAATGCCAAAGCCTGCGGTGGCTGTGGCGAGAGACGCGGGACTGTCGCGCCACAAGAACGAGTACTCGTACTGGCCTCGTCGAAACACGGCGTCGGCATCGGCCTGCGTGATGCAGTTGGAAGCATTGCCCGATTGACAAGGCAGCGGTTTTTGATGGCACAGCCGCGCCGAGAGGTTGTCGAAGTAATGGTCGAACCAATTGTGCCAGTCTGGGTCGGTCTCGTTGATACCAGACACGGAGTCGAGCTTGGCGAACAGTGCTGCAGAGTCGTTCAGGTGGACGGTCCAGTTCGCCACAGCAGAACCGACACCGTAGCTGGCGTACAGGTCCTCTGCCCGGTCACAGGAGTACGCAGGCTCCAGAGAGTCGACCGAGTCTGGCTGAATCGCAACACCTATTGGTTTGTTCTCCAGTGATGGGAACTGTCCTTCGATGACCTGGCTCGCGACCTGCGAGGTAATGACGTTGTTTGTGACTCGGTATGTCATTTTCGCCGGATCGTAACTGTCGGGCAAAAACCCAAGCAGCCCATGGTAGACGGCGTAGAGGTCGGATCCATGTTTGCGACTGTCGTTCAGGCCGGAGCCGCTGATCTGCGGGAACTGGCATGTCCCATTGAAGCCTTCGGGAGCGAGCGGGTTCGAATCCGAAGTGTACACCTGCCAGCTGACCTGGGCGGATGTTCCGTCGGGTCGAGGCACTCCGTAGTAGAAGAGGGCTTCATCGTCACAATTCCAGGAATACGTTTCGTGAGGAAAAGTGTTCGCCGCACTGCAACAAACGGTTAGAAACTCCGGCCGTATGTGATGAGGAAAAGGGAACGGCGGCCGCCAGACTCGATTGCCTAAGCCGGCGTCCCTGAGAGTACACAGCGGAGACATACTATGGTGTACGTTTGTGGTGTCGATGAATCTGTGATCCTGTTAGGCATCCATCCCTCAGATTGCCACGACTCACCACATACCAATTCAACATATTCCAATTTGTAGCCTTCAGGGGCCTTGACATACTCTTGCTGTCGCACATGAGGCATGTTGCACCAGTTGTACGTGCTATACCCAGCCGTCGCCGGAGTAACGGAGGTATTGTAGATGAAGCCATTGGCACCGGTCCCATTGACGACAAAGTCGAGATTATTGACATGGGTCTCGTTGGGAGCGTGCCAGCCCAGATCAACGCTTCCGTTCTGTTGCGAGCACTGCGCTGCGATCCCTTTGACCAGGGAACCGAAGAAAACGAGGTTTCCAACCCGTCTCAACATGTTGCTCTGCCAGACTTGTACATCAAACGAACTGAGAATCTCCCGCAGGACCGCGGCAAGGACGGAATTTGAGTCTTTCATATTGAGGCATGTCGACTCCTGCTCCGACGCGCTTAAATAAACCCCATAAACCGGCGAATTTTCAGATGCACGTTGCCGCTCAAAGCTGCTGAGAAGAGAAAGGTCGAGCAGTCCGTCACCTCGATAGTCGGGGAACGTTGTGTGCCTAGCTTGATTGGACTGTCCTCATTATTGGCCCATGCTGAAACGTGAGCCAGAGCAAAGGTACGACAGGTTCGCGAAATCCATGAGAGCGGGGCAGTTCAAGCGTGTCGACCCATGGAGATCCATTCTGTGAGGTTCTTCATCATGAATAAATATATCTGGACTTGTTTGTTCCTTGATGCTCCATATGTCGAGCACATGGTGAACACCGTTAGCGATTTCGGAGCCATGAGACATTTGTGCCCATAAGGCTCTCAACCCCACAGCCATTGCTCGAGTCGTCAGCCTGCCCAGCCTTTATATGAGAATATACAGGTCTTGAGGAGACAGCATCCGAGTTAGGAGATAGATGTCTGGACTTCCTGGACTCTCTCTGTCCGAACTTCTTCTCTTTAGGGTGGATTGTGGCTACTAATATTGTACAACTCAGTCGTCCAGCATTATTAAGACTAGCACGGCTCCCCCCACCGTCATTGCAAGTGATCTCTACGGAAGCCTATCCAAGAACTCAGACTTCTGGGGCAAGTCTCCGTACCCTTATGGCTCGCAGCATTTCAACCGCCATGACTTGTATCTGGCCTGCTTGGCTTCGATTTAGTCCGCCTGACTTGAATCAATTCTGCCCAAGTTGGATCTGGTCTGCCTCACTTGAATAAATTCTGCCTTACTTGGATCTAGTCTGCCTCACTTGGATCTGTTCTGCCCGACTTGGATCTGAGGCGCAAGGAACATTGTTGAACGAGGATAGCGTGAGCATCCAAGAATGGCGGGGCGCACCCACAGGACCTCGTATGCCTCGATCTACATACACTCCTCTCAACTGCGTACTGGTGTCATGTTCTCTTTTGAGGAGCCTGGATATTTTTCGGACATACGACTCGTGTCTTGAGAGAAATCGAGAGAGCACTCTTGAGGTTTTAACCCGGCTGTGCACCGGCCCGGTGAGTGGAGCGTCTGGGCCTTATTGGAGCAAATCACACAATGGCCGCCTGCTCCCGTAAAACCGGGAGGGGATGGCGAGGCTACCGGTTCAGAGAGCAACTCATTACATTAGTTGAGAATTACATAACTGTAAGTCTCGCCACGAGAACTCCACGAGGAAGGTGTAGGCGATCAGGGAAGAGTATATATATGGATGCATGAGAGCCCAGGCCTTGGGAAATTTGCACTATTTAGAAATACTAGGAACTTTACGGTCGCTCCTGTATCCGTTCATCTTTCATCATGCCAGGCCGCATACTCGAAGAATCCACGTTCCAGCACAGACAAGTGCCGGGACCCGTATCCAAGTCGACCGTTGAGAAGCTGAACCCGGTATGGGACTCTCGGGCCGTGTATTTTGTCGTTGACTATGCCAAAAGCCACGACAATTTCCTTGTGGACGTTGACGGCAATGAGTTCCTCGATGTGTACTCTCAAATCGCGTCCATTCCTGTTGGCTACAACAATGCCACATTGATCGAAACAGCAAAGTCCCCAGAAATGGTCACTGCGCTTGTCAATCGCCCTGCTGTCGGAAACTTCCCGGCTCAAGGTTGGCTCGCCCAGCTCAAAGACGGCCTCCTTCGTGTTGCACCCAAAGGCCACAATAAGGTCTTCACAGCTCAATCCGGATCCGAGGCAAATGAACTTGCCTACAAAGCTGCCTTCATGCGTTACATGCGCCGGCAGAGGGGTGAAGGCGTCGAGTGGTCCCAAGAAGAGATCGAGTCTTGCATGAACAATTCAGCTCCTGGATCGCCCGACCTGGCCATACTCAGCTTCAAAAACTCTTTCCATGGCCGAGGCTTTGGCAGTTTGTCTACTACTCGGTCAAAGGCAGTTCACAAACTAGACATCCCTGCCTTTAAGTGGCCTCAAGCGCCATTTCCGGCCTTGAAGTTTCCTCTTGAGGAGAACGTCGAGGCAAACAGGGCTGAAGAGGAGGCTTGCCTCAAAAAGGTTGATGAGCTCATTACCACCTGGTAAGCATGTTAGAGGGCCTCTTCTAGCCATTGTTGACATCCATCACAGGTATTGTCCGGTGGCAGCTGTCATAGTAGAACCTATCCAAAGCGAAGGTGGCGACAATCATGCCTCTCCAGCATTCTTCCAGGGACTTCGTGATATCACAAAGAAGCACGGCATAATGCTTATCGCTGATGAGGTACAAACAGGTAAATAATTCATCTTCATCGCCATGGCGAGAAGCTGATACCGTCACTAGGATTCGGTGCCACAGGCCGATTTTGGGCTCATGAGCACTGGCATCTCAGTAGCCCACCGGACATGGTGACTTTTTCCAAAAAAGCTCAAACGGCGGGCTATTTCTTTGGTGATGATAGCCTGACCCCGGACAAGGCATACAGACAGTTCAACACCTGGATCGGTGACCCTGCACGTGTCTTGATGTGTAATGCCGTCATCAGTGAGATAATTGACAGAAACCTTGTCGAGCAAACCGCAAAAGTCGGCGAAAAGCTTTATACCGAGCTCGCAACGCTTGCGAAGAGATTTCCGGGCGATATTCAGAATTTGCGCGGAAAGGGCCAAGGCACTTATATTGCGTTCGACACAGGAGACGCTGCCGCCCTGGTCGGAAAAATGAGAAGCCTTGGGGTCAACATCGGTACTTGTGGAGTTAGAACAGTACGACTGAGACCTATGCTTATCTTCGAGGAGAATCACATACCTCGCTTGGTCCAGACACTGGAGAGAGCGCTTAAGTAGATTCCTCATGGCGACTACTTGAACTGCTATTGGTGTTCCAATGAGCTTGCGACGCCTATGATCTCTTGTTGGAATTCGAGTGCATGATCGTGGAGTTTTCATACGTGCGTTCTCATTCCGTTTGGAAAGGAAATTCGTAGTCTGGAATTGCCAAGAAATTTTCCAGTAGTTGACTTTCTGGATGAACGAAGCCATCCAAAGCAGGAGCATAGTTTTCCATCGCAAAAAACGCGGAACCAGCGGCAGATTGCAGATTGTTCAGTCCATGAAGCTCAGCATCGTTGCTGCTGAAAGGGTGACTTTCCTGCCAGAGGTCATTGCTGATATGGGACAAGCGTGAGCTCGGTAGCATTGCATTCGCATACGGCGAACTCTTCCCAGGACCTTGGTGATCTTGACTTGGGGGCGAAGGATCTTGTGTGGCGATGTCTGAATTATCCTTTGTGGTCGAATTTCTTGTCCACTGCCTGAAGTTCTCGTACCCAGAGGCAGGGTTCAAAGGGCTTTGATGTTTGTTGGGGTTTGACTTCTCTCGAAAGAAATGCAAACGTTTCAGTGCTTGCTCCAAAGATTCGATCAAAAATACTTCACTCTTCGCCGATTCACCGACCGTCGACATCTCGCGGATAATGTCTAGTCCTTTTCCGAGAGTGTCATAGAACTCGTCTGTTTGGTTCTGTATGCAGTAGGCAATTAAAACCAGTAGTGAAGCTCGGCAGGAGCTGTATTCCACGTAGGACGCTCGCGCAAGGCCGGCCCCAGTTGAACGAAGATATACGCATATGTCTATCGCTTCCTTTGCGGCTTGAGCACAGTCATCAACGAGGATAGAGGTGCGCGAGCTACCCTTTGAGTTCGAGCTTGGCAGCGCTTTTCCTGTCGAACTCCTTGTCGCATGCGGAGTACTGTGACTCTCTGTCGTTGAAGGAGGGCTTGGATTTGCTGTCGTAAGGGTAAGAAGGAAAGGCCTTCCAGCAAACATGCGCAACAGACAATACTCCAGCTGAAGATGGGTGTTGGGACGAAAGTGTGGTGATTGAGGTGAGACTTTCTGGCCAGCTGGACCTGTCGGTAGCGATTCCCACCAGGACCTCAGGTCATCCTTCATTGCGACCAATCGATTGAGGATGCCGGAAACTTCGTGCTTCTGACAATTCCGGAGCAGCATGATCTCGTTCGACAACGCGCCGAGGCGATCCATGAGTCGGATTGATACTAGCATATGCGGGATTCTAGACATGTCTGCTCGATCATCTCGAGGTAGAGCCGCATCGATATCTGAAGGAAGCACTGACAATGGGCGGCCATGAAAAATCCCGATTTTCTTCTCTGTGCAGTATGCCGTCCACCATACACGATTCCTTGTTTCCTTGATTGTGGCACTGAATGTATTGCCCGGAATGTTCCTGTGCATACCGTTTTGCATGGCCAGTTTTATTGCCATGTTCAAATAGACGTAAGCAAGTCCAGAAGCATCGAGCGGAAGTGCATATAGGCCAAATAGAAGGCAAGCCTGCACGCTTTCCAAAGAGCCTAGATGTATAATATCAGGGAGCAGTTTTAGTGCATGTTGGTAGAACATGTTGCCAGCCTCATGGTCGCACGAGTCCTTGGCACTACCTTGTCGATCGACAGATTCCAGATGGGCATATTGACTACCAACGGCAAAGATCATCAGAACAATGCTCGCAGTAGCACCATCCCTCGAAGTCAGTGTCGAAGGTCGGTCATATACCTGAGAAATTTTATCGTTAAGCCAGGACCTATCAACGTAGAAAAAGTTGATAGCTGCATGCTTGAAAAAAACATGAACGAGAAACTCCGCTATTTGGCGAGGGGGAACACAGGAAAGCGTCTCGAGGAGATTGCGGGCTTCTGAAAGGAGTGCTTCACGTGAGTGGTAAGGTGGGTCCGCAGACGTCTATAAGAAGATATGTCAGATGTACTTCTTTTGCTTCTTCAGGGCCAGAAGCAATTTACCTGATCGTCGGAAGTTAGCATTAGAGCATTAACGTGTTTTTTTATCCGCATAGAGAAATTCCAGTACGAAAACTCCCCGGAGTAATCTGTTGAGGTTAGAAGGCGAAAATTGCCAGGTTCTCATCCTTACGAGCAACGTTTTCCGTAATAGGGTCAAGCGTGGCCCGCTCGTCCTCGATCTCAAGGTCACCTTCATCCTGACCTGTTGGTTGGTCTGCACAGGCAGTGCGAGAGACACTCATAGGATCAAGAGCTTGAGCTTCATCTCGAAGATTCCGAGTGCTGAGATCAAACTGTGGGAGCTTGTGCCTCAGGATACGTTCCAAGTACCTGGAGCGTTCGAGGACCTCGTCGATAGGCACTTCGGGTGCTTCGAGACTAGAATACTCACATCAGCTTGCGTAACACCACCAGGGTAGAGAGACATACCTCCCCTGTTGCGATACTATGCCCGGTACTTTGGAGGGCAGGACCTTGAACTCACAAGGCCTCCCAAAGTGGCTACAGCGGCGGCATGGAACACCACCTTCACATTTCTCCTTGACTTTCCGACAGCCGTCGCAAGCCCGTACAGCACGCTGTCTCTCTTCGGTGGCTAGCCGACGTTGTTTCCGTGGCCTTGATGATTGACTATCAATGGGAGATGCATCGCGCCGGGCGAGCCGTGACTCATGCCTTCGCGGAGTCGATTCTTGATCTTCATCGGTCATGAGGGACCCTTGTATTCTGAAACAAATCTTTTCCTGAGTTCGGATCCTGCGTCACGTCTCATGCTTGCCTATACCGTTATGCTGAGGGTCGTCGAGAGGATGAACTGTCAAACGTCGCGAGTGGAAATTTGGCTCGGAAACTGAATCCACGAACATGCAGGTTAAAGCAGCGCGAGGTAACGGCACAAATGAAATTAGCACTGGCCTTAATCTATTCAACCAATCAATGGCTGTGATGAAACCATGACGTCGGAGACGAATAGCAACTTTGCTCATGGATTTCCAGGCCGAAGCGCAGCGCAGGTCCAAAGGCCACAAATTCGCCAGCTTCATTCGCAGGGCGACCTGTCCCCGTCAACCTTGTCATCCTGCTTCGAAAGTGACACATTTCTTGTATCCGGTCACTCCTTCGTGTCTTCCACTTCGCCATGGTGAGATTGCGACAATAAAGCCCCGTGCTGTGCGCGATTCTTTCATCCTCACTTGCTGCTATGCGGATCTTTCTCCTCCCACTGACAACGCGTCAAGCCTTGATCTATTGCCAGCGTGCAGCGCCGAATCCTCAGGCAAAGGCGAGCATACCTGACCGAATCACGAAAAAGGCTGCCGAGACATGGGCGCAATGGGAGACTGCACAAAGCGGATGGAGGAAGCAGATTGTCAAGTACGGCAACCAAGGCCTTCAGCGTATACCATATCAGGAATGGGGACTGAAAAGCTTTCCCCCATCCAACCCCAAGCTCCAGGCAGAGCAAATCACCAAAAATGAAAAATTTGATGTGGTTTATCCTGGGAATGTGATGCATAAGGAAGACGTTCCAAAAGTCATGGCAAGACTAGCGCGGGAGAGAAAACAGCTACACTGGAATCGGTTCATTGGGAGCATGGTGGCCATGCCATTTACAGTACCTTTCATTTTGGTCCCAGTGTAGGAGTCTCCAATTCACGTCCCGCGCGACTTTGACTGAGATTCTTAGAATTCCCAATATCCCATTCTTCTACCTCGTTTACCGATGCTGGTCTCACTGGAGAGGTAAGGGCTCGTCGTTTATCCTAGCAAATTGTGGCGTGAGCTGACAGGAGGTAGCGCTGAAAGGTTCTGACCACCTGGATTTCATTCTCGACCATCGGTTATACCGGCCAGTCTCATCCCCAGAACTCGAGGATTTGTATGAACAAGTGGCTCCTGATGCTCCCGACTTCAAATTTCTGACCCGCTCTCAAATCTTGGATGGTAGTGCTCCCCCGGAGCAGATTATCTTGCCTGCCGACAGTCATAACGTTGTGGCTAAAGCGACCGGTGTTCCAGAACTGAGCGGAGAAGTTGAACGAGCGCTATGGCAAATTCAGCGGCAGTTCCAACAGGAGAAATCGCAGCAAGCGTCAGAAAACCCAAAGGGTGGTGAAACCCAGACCGACAATAAACAAAGATAGAGCCCTGCACTGGCAGAGGAGAGCTTCAAGGAGCCTTGAAATTCCAGCCTTTGTTAGCACGAATGGTGCTTCTTGTTTTAACATCTGCCTCACTGTATAGTACATAATTAAAATGCCTCATCGAATGGCCGTTCACTCTTGAGCCTCTGAGTTTCTTCGAATCATCTAGCCATGAAACCTTTGTTGAACATCGTGTGTTGGACAAATCACCCTCTGCTGCGTCGTCTTGCAAGGCGCGCTTTGCCGTAGTTTTCCCGTGCTTGGCATTCTTCCTGGATATTGTTCATCGACCTTTAGTACGCTGCTTGCTGATCCATATCATTTGGCCGGGAACCGATTCCACCTAACAGACGGACCCGATCAAGAGTGAAAAGAGTCTCACATAGCCTATCCATTGCTGCGTGTTGGAATCTATCCGATGTCGACTCAAACTGCTCCAGGATTTCGGGATAACAATCATTCACCACCCCACGCATGAGCGCCAACTACACCTAGCCTCATGCGCGATCTTCTTTCGTCGGGTCTCCCAGGCCTTGCTCAATGGTTTTGGGTCTCCACCCGACGTTCTTCAGACTCCGGCACAGTGGAACAGTAGAACGGACTTCAGGCTACTCTGTTCCTTGCTGCGAGTCATACCAGGACTCAGCATCTCGGTACTCCCAAGTTCTCGTCTACCGTCATTCCATCAGCAGGCAGCTTGACCCAGTCCCTCAGACCCTCATCAACCATGGCAGGCAATCTGGGCGATTCCCCTTTGGGGCGGGATGTCTACGTCCGCACAACACCATTCAGCAACAAGCGCCTTTTAGAACCGCCTCGAGTTCACATCCCTCCCCCAGCGCTGAACTGGGAAAATCGACATCACACAGCGACTCTGAGCGTAGAACGACGGCACTTTGAACACACCACAAACAGCTACGGGGATCCGTCATTTTTAAATTCCTTGAACGAGTTACAAATGCTAGTCATGGAGCACAAGATGCATTCTTGGACCTACGAAATGCGCAGACTGGCGCATAGCATCTTGCCATATCTTTTCTTGGGACCTGTTAGCGCTGCCAAAGACCCTGATTTCATTAGGAGAGCTGGAATTACTTTGGTGATCGCCACACGAAGCAGTGCTGCAGTCAAAACAAGACCCAACTTCCTCCATCCAAACACGCTGCCCGCAGTGGCAGGCCTTGAAACGATGACCTGCGATTTCGAAGCTTCGTACGACTTGTTTCCGAAGCTGCGCCCAACAATTAAAGCCATGAACGACCATCTGCAAGCCAGCTGTGACAGAATGCCAATTCAAGCGGCATCCGATATTCGCGGCAGGATTCTTGTCTATTGTGAGTCTGGAAACGGGAGGTCAGCGAATCTGATTGCGGCGTACTTGATTGCAGTGTTTGGAGTAAGTGCTATCTCAGCACTCCATATCATCCAGTCCCAACGTTTCTGCATTGCTCCTGATGATGCAGCTAAACAAATGTTGGTGAACTTCGAACGGATTGTTGAGGCAGAGCGCCAAGTTTCTAGAGTGAACGCTGCTAGTACCGCCGAATCGCGAAGTCGCCAACAAGAAAACAACACAAATTCTGCGGCGAGGCCTGCGAAACGAGGCATCAATGAGCTCGACGACATGGACATTAACATGGATGAGTTAGACGGGGTGGAAACAATGACAAGACAGGGCATCGCCCCATATGCAGATTCAATGAATTGAGAAAGGTTATACTGAGTCTAGGTGCACTGTACGGTTTGATGCAAAAGGAGCTGGCATGTCTGGGCTTCATTGTTGTCCTATCACCTTTCTTGAGACAGGTTGAAATCACATTGGCACTCCCCAGACACGATGATGCCTAGGAGCCCAGTGACTGCGAAGTCTTCAGATATCGGAGACGATCAGTATAAACTCTACGTATCCTCCCTACAGTCGGCAGGGTCAACGGTGTCTCGAACGACAAATAAAATGTCAAATCGAGAGAAAATAGGTTCCGTCAGTTCCACATTTGGCTGAAAGAAAAGGACCGTCACATCTTGCACATGCGCAGGCGGCAACTGGCTATCAGAAATCTGCCTGAAACGAGAGGGAGTCTGCACTGGTTTGTTGCCTTTAACACGACTACTGTTCTATGGAGGCGTATTCACTGGCACAAACATTCACTCTTCCTGTTTTGTTTTGTAGGTCACACCTTCCTTTCACAGAACAGTGAGCAAGAGCTTGCCATTGTTCGTTCCTGCCCCGTGAGAAGCAGGCAGTGTTGTTCAAGAAAATTGGTATCTCGCCACGATCTACCATACTGGGCAACGATCGTATCACTCAACTATTAAAACACCTTCATTCGTCTGGCTACACCCTGGGTGAGCGACCACGCACATCTTCGTTGCTGACTCTCACTAGCCGCAGGTGTTGCCGGGTCCACGTCTCGCCTCACTCGTCAAGAGAATATCTTCCGCCCTAATCAGCATGCGCTTGCGACGAACGATTACAATTCCTACTCGTTATGAGGACGAGGATCCACGCCCACCAAGGGCGCGCAATGGAACCAGACCTGCTTATCCCTCTTTGCTCAGAGGCCAAGTCATTCCTTTCAATCCTGACCATCCTCCAGCACAATTTCCTTCGCTACCGCTGTCCTCATCACGTCCGTCGGCTCATCATCTACAGCCTAACATCGAGTCAATCGCCGATCCTCCGTCTGACTTACAAGAGCAGCCAGATTCAACAGTTGGAGATCCGGTTCGAGATTCAAAAACAAAAGCAAGCGTCCCCAGAAGTTCTAGCAGCCCAACCCATAGCCTTGTCGCTCGCTCCCCTGATTCATCAACAGACGCGATCCAAGAAGATTTGCAAGTGCCTGTGACTGCGACGGTATACAGCGACCAGCTTCCACGACCTAATCTCGATCATTCGTCGGCGCTTAACACCGCCACTGTCGCCGATGGTAGCGTGGTGTCCGACACCTATCGCACCGTGGGTTCTTTCTCTCCATTATAGTTGCAAGACTAACACACCACAGGAAGATGCTGCTATGTGGAATGCTCTGCCGTTGTCCCTACAATACCACATCTTCACGTCTTTGGCGAGACTTCATCCTACAAAGCATCTGGTCCAGTTGCTTGGCTTGACAGAAGAAGAATTCAGTCAGATTAGTAGGGCAGCCTCTCTTCGCGAAGCCCACCCAGCTTCTCTTGCCGATATATGGCATTCTGCCTGGAATGGTACCGCCTATGTGCCGGGTTTTACTGAGGATATCTCCATCGATGCCGAGAACTTCAAGGAGTTCGCAGATTACATGGCTTTTGCAAGCAGTTTCGAATTCGCTTTTCAGTCAGAGATACGTGACGCCGAGAATTATTTATGCAGGCGTGGAATGGTTTGTGACTTGCTTGGGTCGTGGATACCAGATCCCTCAGAACCCCAGGGAAGCCAGTACTTCGTCCGCCTTCCCTCGTTGGCAACAGATCCCATTCCACGTTCCGACTCTCTTCTTGACTCAAACGACCCGCCTCTACCAGAAGTCGAAAATGAAGAGGTCATTGCGGGAAGTTCTAGCATACATCGATCCTCACCAATTGATCACACGACTGTCAGGAAGAACATCAGTGGAAAGCTAATCCCAAGGAAGGGGAGAGTGCATTCTAGTGCACCAATAGGTAGCACATCAACACGCCAACGTCGATATGTGGCTTCGAGTCTTGCAAACCCTAGTAAATCAGCTCGACATCCCCTCGCCAATGCCGCTCTAGTCCCAGACAGCTCATCGGAAACTATCGTGGATATCGGTCATTCCAAATCAAGCGAGAAGCTTAAATCTACAGCACTGGGACAATTATCGAAGGAAGATGTGGTCCCATCGACACCGGATCCATCAAACCTTATCCTCAAAATTCAAGGCAAGGATGGCCTGGCTCGTATTCTCAAGAAAAAGCATAGATCAACCGATAATACATTGCCCTTGTCTGCTGTACAATTCGAGCCAGCTGCTCAAGCTCCATCCGTGGAGGCTGGACACCTCGATCAAGAAAACAAAAGTTCACTGGCTAAGCTAGACACGAGTATGTCTGGTTTCAGTAAAAGCCTGCTCATGGACAGGACAATAGCAGAGAGCCCGGTTTTCGACAAGCAAGATTCCCCCACACTCGAGTCAATACAACATGCGATCTGCCCACTGCAACCAGAATCTCTGCCGCATAAGCGGAAAGCTTCACGGGACGCAAGGTGCACGAATTCTCTCAAGTCGCCGAGGACAATAGGTGAAACCCCCAAGACACCTCCAACAAGTATTGTTACTCACGACATCAATAACGAACATTTACGCCATGCAGAGGCGAAGTTGTCTCGGCAGCGGTGCCTGAGTTCGTCTCGCAATTGCAGACCTGCCGATGAACCAGCCAGCACCATGCCTCTGGCGTCAGATGATACTCTCCAGCTTTCGTCACGAGCTTCGCTGACTGTTGCTGAATGCTTGAGATCGCCTTCCTACTCACCAATCTCGGAGAATGAGTACCTGGAGTCATACCAAGCGCTCCTTCGTAACCCTCCCAGGAGATTGAAGATCTCCAAGGCACACTGGGGGGCCGAAGCTCATACTCAGTTGTGGGAGAACCAAAGTGAGCTTAGCATTGGTTATACCCAAGACATTCCTCATGATGGAAATGTAAGTCGCGCCGGTCTGATGTCTGTTGTACCGTTGGTGAAGGTCAAACCAGACCCCCGCCCCAGCGCAGCCGGAGCGGAGTCTGCCATACTGGAGGTTCCGAAGAAGCCGAAAATCACACTCTTGTGTAAGAATGCCAAAGAGACATCGTTATCCAAGGTCGAAAATTCTGTGCGCAGTGGGGAGGAGACAAAGGCTAAGACTCCAAGCGCCTCTTCTAATTCCGAAAGCGACATCGTAGCAACACCACGTGGTGCCCTGAAGGAAGATGTTGAGGGTGAAGAGGCCACACACTCACCAGCAGAGCAAAGCCAGCCGAAGAAAACAGTACCGAAGCGGAATACGAAAGTCACATCAGAAAGCATTTGTGATGAAAGAGCTCAACACATAGTCAGGGGAAGCTCGACGAAAAGCTTTGTAAAGACTTCCGAACAAAACTCCAACACGACAGCGAGAGAGACAAAGGAATCGGGTTCGAAACGGAGAGGCCCAGGTCGACCAAGGGGTCCGAGAGGGCCATATCGAAAGACTCGGGAAAGAACGGCAAAAGAGGAACAAGAGCGACAAAGAATGCCACAACAGGCGGAACAAGACGAAAGCACGCCAAAAAAGGAAACAATCCCACAACAGCACGACCATCATGGTGCATCGATGACAAATGCCGAGAAGAAGAAAAAGCGGCAGGCTATGATTTGATAGCTTCTCACACTTCTTATTTGGAGTCTTGCTACTGCTTCCGTTGGACAATAACCCATCCTTTGACGCGATCAATCTATCCGAAAATGATGTGAAAGACTTGAGAAGAATCCAAATTTTGATTGGAAGTATCGACCAGTTTTCCCTCGGAGCCTCAAGAATTCGAGGTCTCATTACATGTTTATGAGTTTCTACCTTGTATGAAAACACTCAGGAGGTGCTGATTCTTGGATTGTTGTTTACGAGGAGTAGGTAGTAAAACTTTAGCAAGAGCATAGGATAGTGCACCCAGATAATCAGACAATAGCTGTTCCAAACATCCCTACCAAGAGAGCCAAGTCCGAGTGAGAGTATCGATTTTCTGCCAAAGATGACCGCATGAGACAAGCAATTACGCTGGCCACTTTACTATGTGGGTAGCCCCGTGTTCTCTGTTCCACGGAGAAGCACTAGGATACACGTCTGTATGAACTATATCAGTATGATCTTTCGATTCGACATCCGCAATCGACCATAGGGTGAAGGAAAGCAGGGCTTCCCGTCCGCTCAGCCATACTTAAACCTCACGCCGGTGGCTCAGTAGTTGTATCGGTGACGAGCAGCGAAGCTCCACTGTTGATTGTTTTTTTTATCTTTCTGGGGGGTTTCTTTATTGCCGTTCTGCTTAATTCCTTTTTAGGGTGTAGTAGGCAGTCATGCCGTGGTAAGAGTGCTGAAGAAATCTTACGCCAAAGCTTTCACTATAAGATCGTTCTGTCCGTTCAGCCTATCTCCCAACTTGCAAGAAAGGAGGTCAATTGACTCGTCAGGCTGTCAGCCGCGGCGGCAAATGTTGTCGCGTTCCGACTGGTTGAGTTAAAGGCAGGAGAACCCAAACCTATCGGTACGATAACAGTGCTTCATAAAACGGGTGAGGCTCAGCAACGCTCTCGACTGCCAGGTACTTTGGTACGAATGGAAGCGAGAATATGGGTACGCCGAAGTCTACTCTAACGGGATTTCCCTAAAGGTCACGCGCAGTTTGGTAGACGCCCTCAAGTCACTTCGGTATCGATCCGAGAAAAGAAGAAGCCTTTGGATCGATGCAAGTTGCATCTGTTCGAGTCGAACCAGAATGAAATGCTGCAGAGACTGGAGGTTCGAACCTGCAGTTTTGTGAGGGGTGGATTCTCAATGAGGGCTTAATCGCGGTCCGAACCTGAGGACCCCGAGTAGCGCACTGACCCAGAAAACGAAGCCGAGGTTCCAAAGATGTAAGAGCCACACTTCGCTCATTGGAAGTCAAGAGCGCTATGTTCCTTGGACATGTCAGTCGTCCGACCTTGATTCCAATCAATGATACATTGGATAATGAGAAGAGGACTCCGTGCGCAAGAGCCGGATTAGGTCGAGGCCTTCGGAAGGAATTATGCCTAGCTCATCAGCGAAGAGGCAGGCTCGAGGTTTCGTCTCACCTTACGGAAAGCGTCCACGGATCGAAGTTAGTCAACAAAGTGCGGTCAAGGCAGAGTCCAGCAATGATGGAGCCTCAGAGAGGACGAAAAAGACCGACCAGATATGCCAAAGATGTCAACAGATTGACTTTGAAGGGATCTTTGGTGAAGACAGGAGAGACCCGAAACTTTACAAGATCTGGGGGAATCAGCTGTTTTCATTGTCCCGTATCAATATGCAAAATAATTGTACCCTGTGTCAATTCTTCTGCAATACAAGAGAACCACCATCATACGGAACCATGGTCGATCCGGTCTACTACCTTCGCGTCTTTTCGGCCAAGGGCGAGCTTGGTGCACGGCAATGTGACTTCGAGGATTCACCGGCTTTCAAAGTTGTTCCCAGCTCTGACAATTATGCACATGCTTTCCGCCATACCAAAGGTATCATTATGGAGCTTTCTGAGACGCTGGAAAGCTTCTGCGGCCGTCAGATACAGCCGCAAGTCGACCTTTCTATTATCAAGGAATGGCTAGAGTTTTGTCACAACAACCACAAGACTCTCTGCAAGGAGAAATCTACTATGCAAATTCCTCCAGGTTTTCGCGTGATAGACTGCTTAGAACGCAAAATCGTTTCTTGGGATAACGTTCCTCACCCTAAGCAATACATGACCCTCAGCTATGTTTGGGAAAGTTCAAAGGATGAATCGGCAGTCCGAAACGGTATCATTCCAAATCCCGCACCGGGTACAATAGAGGATACAATCATCTTGACAATAAACCTCGGCTACCGGTATTTATGGATAGATCGGTATTGCATTCCACTTGATGATGCCGCGAACAAGCAGATACAGATCAAGAGTATGGGGGAGATCTACCAGCACTCCATGGTCACGGTTGTCGCCACAGCGGGAAGCGACTGTCCTTACGGATTACCAGGAATTGGCGCCACTACAAGAGAAACTCAGCCCTGCGTGAAAATCGGAGACAGGACTCTTGTGTACACTCCATATGTGAGAACAGAGATCCTAAATTCGAAGTGGAACAGTCGAGGCTGGACTTACCAAGAAGGACTCCTCTCTCGACGAAAACTTGTATTCACCGCTACGCAGGTGTATTTTCAGTGTAGCGCTATGCATTGTCTCGAGAGCATCCGTGCACCACTCACAGGCTTGCATGTTTACAAGAATGTGCGGATGCGAGACAATGTGGAAATTTCTAGAGTGTTTCCCCTTCGTGGACTCGGAAAGAGCGTGGATGACCTTGAAGGACGCCTCACTGAGTACCTTCAAAGGTCTCTCACGTTTGAGAGTGACATACTAGATGCCTTCAGGGGTGTGCTTGCCGCTTTTGAGCGGATGTTCCCATTGGAACTGAAAAGTCTCTGTGGGATTCCAATATTCCATACTATGGATATTGAGAGTGATTTGGATGCCTTAGTCCATGGCCTATCATGGTGGTCCACCAATTTCTACAAAGAAGGACAAGAGCCGAGACGACGACTAGGATTCCCAAGCTGGACATGGGCGGGATGGAAGCTACCAAAGATCTCCTCTCGCGGCGGTTACTTTCGCGGGCAGAAGGTGATCGTTGATGTTAGTGTGGAATATGCCGACGGGTGTGTGCTGCTATGGAATGGAAATCAGGATTCTATACTTGCTCGGGAGAAGTCGGGGTCTTCGCCTCTCTTTTTCCGTATTTGCGGTCCAACACTGGATGTACAAATCTCCCCAGATTGCAGCATATGTGGAGAGAATGAAGACGGCATAGTTGAGCTGTTTGCGACACAGCTCGACACTCGGATCTTTCGAGAGCGTGCGATTGGGCTCACGCGGGATGCTTACCGGATGAACGAGGCGGATAATGGCTTCTTCCAGTTCACATTACTGATGTTGTCTCAGTCGGATCATGACGCGATAATCCTACTGCTCTACCAGCCAGAAGGTTCCCTTCATTTCGAGCGCATAGATGGATTCTACCTTTCGAAGACATCTCTCGACTCCACGGTGAAGTTGACTTTACCTGACACTTTCAAGGGCTGGAGAACACAAGAAGTTGTTATAGGATAATTCTTTTTTTGGGGGGGGAGAATCTCGTGAATCTAAATAGGAATAAGTTTGGATGAGATTTCATTAAACTATTCCTGGCGTCTTATGCGCGGCATGTGAAGAGGCACTTGAGTTCACTACAGGTAGTTAACTTGTGCCGAGTCTGCTAGGCTGTGTACCAGGTTAAGTTTCGGATTGCACTGATAACGACCTCCTTGATCCAGGGGCATGTATTTGACGGAATCTGCAATGTCTTCTTGCTTTGATGGACGTGTGGGAACAATTTGGCTGGTTATTGGTCTAAGAGATATGGTTGCAAACTCAAGGAAGCAGTCTCTTCGCCCAGTATCCTCTCCCCGTGTCCTTGATTCTACCCACGCCAAAGGCTACATGCAGATCACGACTGCAAAATGCTGCAACCGCTGAAGCAAACTCCCTGTCAGCAAGCCACATTGTTCTCCCCAGGCCCGTTGTGGAACTGCTCCAAGACATCAAAGCAGCAGACGAAGCTTGTGGCGAAAACGCCAAAGAAATCGAAATCGACAATATCGAATCCATGTGGCTCGTCCTAACCTCTACATGGTACATTCGTCACGCGCATGCGGGAAAGAAGTGTGGTCATCTTCTTACTCTCAGCGCGATATTCTGGTACTCGTTGTTTATCCCGTTGTATGTATTCGGACGCCGTCCAAACCCTAGTACAGAGCGAATCCCAGATCGCTATTGCAAGTGGCTCCAGCTAGCGTTAATGCTGCTCGATTCGACACAACTGCAGACTGCGTTCGACACACGGCAAAAATACACAATATTGGAGAATACCCCCGGATTCATTGAGGATTGCTTTTTCGTTACGAAGAAGGGGTTCTTTGGACGTGCACCAGCAAACTCTACAAAGGCTGGACTCTCAGTTGCTGTTTTGGGTGGAGCATACACTCCTTGTTTACTAGAACACCATCAGGATCACTTCAAGCTCATCAGCCACACATATGTTGAGGGTATAATGTCGATGCGTACGTTAGGTGCAGGGTCTCGCACGCAAATGCTAAGATTGAGGTAGACCCCTATCTTAGATAGCAATATTTAGGTTCGTTCTCGCGTACGTGGACCATGATCGGACGACAGGGAGACGGATATGTATCGATAAGAAAAGCGCATGGGCCGAGTGGATACGGGCAATGGTAGGAAAAGAGATGGTGATTCCTTATATCTTGTCCACAGGCAGGTCACGGCACATTTGAGAACCATCTGGCGCACAAATACATCGCGAAGAAACCGGAGAAGTGCACGAAAAAGTATCTCAGAGACTGGAGAGGCTTTTGGCAGGTGACTTAGGTATGAGCATACGTATAGTCAGGGGTGGGAAGCTATTGTAACGACCAATGGTACATGCCTCAGTAGCCCGATTGTTCCCTCCTATTATCGGCATCGCCGTCTTCGTTGCCATCCACAGGCTTGTCCCTGGCTTCCTTGATGGCATTCTCATCGCCACGGAGCTTCTCGAAATATGATTTGATGTCCTCTGCAGATACGACCTGCCCACTTTCGGCATACGGCTTCAGAAACTCCTTTACTTTGTCTCTGAGATGGTTGTAGACCATGACGCCCTGGATTGCTTTGACGCGGTCCATGGTGGAGAGGGCTGCTTCGCCACGGTCGAGAAGGCTTGCTGTGCCGTGTGACCGCGTGCCTGAACCCGGCACCCCCGCGCTGTTGGCTTGGGAAGACGCGTCGGAAAGGGATGGCTCGTATGTGTCTTCTTCTTCAACTAGTTGAGGATGCGGAATCAGTTTCGGGTAGCACTGTGGACAGTGGCAGATGTGGTCGCGGAATGAGGAGGTGAGGAACAGGCTGAATGTGCCTTCGGGGGCCGGAGGGAGTAACTCATGTTTGTGTGCCGAGTTTGTGTCGTTTGAGGGTTGTGAGGAAGGTTCCGCAGATGTTGGGAGAGATAGAGTGTTCAGGTCATCCTTGATGCGTTTTGAGGGGCTCGATGGAGGTTTGTCGAGGTCGGTGTCTGAGGCTTTCCGCTTAAGAGAAGTGCCGTTCGTTGGTGGCGCCGAATTGTCAGGTGCTTGGTTATCGACTTTGGGCTCCGGCGATCTGTGAAACACAGGCTCAAGGAATCCTGGAGTGCCAGCGTATTGCTTTATCCAGGGATTGGACTCGACGCACTTGTAGCAGAGAAGATGTTCGAAGTCGTCCTCGCTAGGGAAACCTGGGGGGGTGGGATGAGAGGGCTCGCCTTCTTCTTTTTCCCGTCCTTGTGGCGCTTTGTCTTCTTTGTACCAGTCTCTTGGAAGTCCCATCAGGCATTCTGGGTGATACCAATCCTCACCACAGCCGCCACTCTCTACAGTCCCGAGCCCAAGACACTGAAACATGGTGCCTTTCTCTGTTTCTGGGTCGTACTCTTCTCCGCAGGCACAGAAGTGATTCTGAAAGTTGTGGTTGTATTGGTTATTGGGCGCAGGCTCCTGTGAATGAACCCCACGTGCGCCGGTCGTAGGGTCAGACCGCAACATACAGGAGGATGTGGAAGGAAGTCGTTTCGTGCCGCAATCACAGACGAAATTGCGTCGGCTGAATAGCTCGACCAGGTTGTGCTCACCATGGCAGGAGATGGAGCATGAATAGCACACGCCTGCAGGGGTGTATACTTGTGCCGCAGAGGCAGGTGGAGGGCTGCATGTGAGGCAAGCGAAGATGGTCTGGCGGAGGGGTCCTAAAACGTGCGTGCACTTATCGAATTTCTGTAGTAATGTTAGTGTTGACAGGGAACCAGCTGAGCGTAATCGACCGTACATAGGGAAGAACTTCTCGCGCGTCCGCTTCCAAGGCTAGTTGTTGATCAATGAAACTAGGAACAAATATCAGCATCGAAGGTGAGGACATCAAGGTGAGCGCATACTCGGATGCAGTCTGAGAGTCCTGTGTTGCCTGACCATGGTTCTGGACTTGATTCGCTCGTTCAATGTCGGAATTGGAGTCCATTGCGGCGTGCAGTGATCAATTTATCCAAGAAGTTGTGAATAGATATTGCGACAGGAGGATTGGGTGAGTTTGTCGAAAATATCTCCTCAATGGTCACCAAGATACCTACAGTAGTCAGTGCCTTGGTGATGGGTTGAAACTCGCCTCGTCAATGCCGGAACATGATTGGAGCATCTCCACTTACAGTGCTCGCATCACTAGCGCGTCGCGACCGCGTCGCGACCACGCGTAAATGAGGTTTTGCACTTTATCTTCCAGGGGGGAATCCTGCAACACCCATCACCACAGTTACAAGACTACAGGACCCTAAGATACAGAGAAAACATGAGGTATGTCTGATATGACTTTACAACACATCTAACATAGTGAAAAAATGTACTAACAGCTGCTAGCTCACCCCTCCGACCAAGCATGTCGGCCGCAAATAGAGGCCTCGCGAGTTCAAGCCGACGGAAGAGAGCAAGAGACGATGAAGACGACATTATGTCGTCGTCGCCAGCAGGTTAGTTGCAAGTATGCACAGATCGCGAACTCGGCTGACAGTTGTAGCGCTGCCATCTTCTCCTCCTTTGCTCCCAACCAACGAAAATGATGACCTTGACGACGACAACCTAGACGCCGAAGATGACTTGCTTGGCGATGTGGACGACCTCGACGAGATGGCCGAAGATGAGGATGGAATTGACCTCTTTGGTGACAATTTCATGAATGATGAGCGAGATCGGGGCAATCAAGAAACATACCAAGGCCGCATGATTGATGATGAAGGCGACTATGATGAAATCGACCTCGCAGACCGACGTCAATTGGAGGCGCGTCTTAATAGACGTGATCGCGAGCTAGCCCGTAGACGCCGCATGCCGGCAGCTTTCATGGCCGACGACGATGAGGACGCCGGGATTGACTTGACAAAACAACCTCGGAGACGTCGACACCACTACGATGAAGACCAAGATGATATGGACATTGACGAGAACATCATGGAAGAAGAACTTTCCCTTGAAACGCTGCGAGACATCAAGGCCGCCAACATCACAGAGTGGGTGACTCAACCTTCTGTCATGAAAACAATTGCCAGAGAATTCAAATCCTTCTTGACGGAGTACATTGATGCCCACGGCAGTTCAGTCTATGGTACACGAATTCGAACTTTGGGAGAAGTTAACTCAGAGTCACTGGAGGTCTCATACGATCATCTGTCTTCAACTAAGGCCATCTTGGCCTACTTCCTGGCGAATGCACCCGCAGAGATGCTGAAGATCTTCGACAAAGCAGCCTTCGAGGTTGTTCGATTGCACTATCCAAACTACGAGCTGATTCACCCAGAAATCCATGTGCGTATTTCGGATCTACCGGTTCAATACACCTTACGTCAGCTACGACAATCGCATTTAAATTGCTTGGTCAAGGTTTCTGGTGTCGTTACCAGGCGAACGGGCGTTTTCCCGCAATTGCAAATGGTCAAGTTCACCTGCACAAAATGTGGTGTTACACTTGGACCCTTCGCCCAAGAGTCTACGTCGGCAGAAGTCAAATTATCCTTCTGTCCCGAGTGCCAGTCACGAGGACCATTCACCCTCAACAGCGAGAAGACAGTATACAGAAACTACCAGAAACTGACCCTACAAGAGTCCCCCGGTACCGTGCCTGCTGGTCGATTGCCACGACATCGGGAAGTCATCCTCCTTGCTGATCTCATTGACTCGGCCAAGCCTGGTGAGGAGATTGAAGTTACAGCAATCTACCGCAACAACTACAGCGGCCAGCTGAATAACAAGAACGGGTTCCCTGTTTTTGCCACCATGCTCGAAGCCAATCATATTATCAAGACTCACGACCAGCTTGCCGGTTTCAGACTGACTGAGGAAGATGAAAGACAAATCCGAGCACTTTCTAAGGATCCAAATATTGTTGAGAAGATTGTTGACTCTATCGCCCCGTCCATCTATGGTCACAAGGACATCAAAACCGCTGTGGCTCTTTCTCTGTTCGGCGGTGTTAGCAAGGAAGCGCAAGGCAAACATAAGATTCGTGGAGATATCAACGTGCTTCTGTTGGGTGACCCTGGAACTGCTAAATCACAGATCCTCAAGTACATCGAGAAAACGGCACATCGAGCGGTGTTCGCCACAGGTCAAGGTGCATCAGCTGTCGGTTTGACGGCTTCCGTTCGGCGAGACCCGTTGACAGCGGAATGGACGCTCGAAGGCGGTGCTCTTGTCCTGGCTGATCGTGGTACCTGCTTGATTGACGAGTTCGACAAAATGAACGATCAAGATCGAACTTCCATCCACGAAGCTATGGAGCAGCAAACAATATCGATAAGTAAAGCAGGAATCGTCACAACTCTTCAGGCACGATGCGCAATTGTGGCTGCCGCCAATCCCATTGGCGGACGATATAACAGTACCATTCCTTTCAGCCAGAATGTGGAACTGACGGAACCTATTTTGTCTCGATTTGACATTTTGTGTGTCGTTCGAGACACCGTTGACCCTGCCGAGGACGAACGGCTTGCGAAATTTGTGGTCACCAGTCATGGACGTGCCCATCCTGCAAAGCTTAGCGTTGATTCGGGCGACACTGCTGCAATGGAGACCGAGGAGACTGATGCGGTTAATAACGGCGAACCCCAGCAAGAAGGAGCCATTCCACAGGAGCTTCTTCGAAAGTATATTCTTTATGCTCGCGAGAAGTGTAGACCGAAACTGTACCAAATTGACCAGGACAAAGTCGCACGTCTGTTTGCAGACATGCGTCGAGAATCGTTAGCAACCGGTGCTTACCCAATCACTGTAAGTTAGGTTGGCGTTGAACCTAGGGTTGATGCTAACTTGAATTCAAGGTCCGACATCTCGAAGCAATTATGAGAATTGCTGAAGCGTTCTGCAAGATGCGTCTGTCAGACTTCTGCTCATCTCAAGACATTGACCGCGCTATCGCTGTGACTGTCGATTCGTTTGTCGGCAGCCAGAAGCTAAACTGCAAGAAAGCTCTCGCAAGAGCGTTTGCAAAGTACGTCGGACACCCCTCGATAGAGCAATCCCAACTAACATGAATGTCCAGGTATACACTGAAACGTCCAGAGCGACGAACAAGAGTGACTCCACGGAATGCAAACAGTGTGGGCACTGTCTCAGCATAGCATGTTCGATAGTGATTCTTGATACGCCTTATGCCTTCTGCCTTCGGGAAGTAATGAGTGGATGATAAGTCTTCAGGCTAAATTGACGAAACTTCGTTATGTAGAGTTAGGGATGCTGAATGGGCGTTGGAAGACCAATGTTAACCATATAATCAACAACAATATTGCTGCTTCCTTTTCGTTCTATGGCCTCATCCTGTCATACGAGTAGGAGGAATGATAGAAGTATTGATGAAGGTGATAGCACCTCTGTAAGCATTGATCGGCTCTCCTAATGGTCTGTGCGCGATACGCGCTTTGAAAAGTGCAAGACGCGTCTCACTGTGTGCGTCATACATTTTTCGGCGAGACCATCAGATCGCCTGGACAGGAAGAGCCACGATTCGCCCTGGGGTGTCCGGTAGGCTGTTTGCCTTTTATTGGAATTGAATTTTCGTTTTATTCTATCTGCGGGTGGCATTCATACGTCGAGGCTCCTGCCGACTCCCAGTAACCGGACCTATTTTCCTCCGCGACACAGGTCGTAGTCATACTAGCACAAGAGCCATGGCTGGAAGGTCAGCCAGCTCAGCGACGGCGACAATGACAATGTCTTCCACGAAACCCACATCTTCGCCTGACGCGAGCTACCACGTTGAGATTAAAGACGAGAAACAGGGGCCTATGGTCAAAGAGGAGGACAGGACTGTCGTCGATGAAGAGGATGAAGGGGAGATGGATATGAAATCTCGAGCATTGACGAATTTGCTTAAGACAAGCTCGGTCTTCGTGGCCATCATGGCAGACAAGATGAAGGAGCAACAGAAGCGCAATCAAGAACAGGCGAGACGAGCCGCCACTAAACAGGAGCACCAGGCGGCGAAGGAGGGGGAGCCCAAAGGTCCAATAAGGAAGTCAGACAGGGCGCAAGCACAGAATACTAGCGATACAAAAGATCAGATGGAAAGTCAGGGTAAGAAGAACAACCGAAGCCGAGGTCGGTCAGCGAAGGCAAACGTGGCAAAGAAGAGCATCACAGAATATTTCGATTCCAAAACTGCCAAAGCTGCGGAGGAGGGGCCATCGGTTCAGCAAGCTCTGGCAGAAGCTGCTGAGGAGTACAAAGGAGAAGAGTTGGGTGCACAAGAACTTGTTGCAACCGAACAACCAAGTGTTGTCACTGGAGGGCAAATGAAGAGATATCAGCTGGAAGGTCTTGAATGGCTTAAGACACTTTGGATGAACGGGCTCTCTGGCATCCTGGCTGACGAAATGGGTCTGGGAAAGACTCTCCAGTCCATCTCTCTGATTGCATTCTTCAAAGAACACAATATCGCTGGTCCATATCTCATCGTGGCCCCCTTGAGCACCGTTCGCAATTGGATCGAAGAATTCAAATACTGGACACCCACCATTAACACGATTCTCTACCACGGCAGTAAAGACGAACGCGATGCCATGCGCCGCAAGCGCATGAAACTTCAGGATCAAACCAAAACCGACTTTCCCGTTGTCGTAACCAGCTACGAAATATGCATGAACGACAAAAAATTCCTCACCAACTATCAGTGGCGCTACATTATTGTGGATGAGGGTCACCGCCTGAAGAATATGAATTGTCGTTTGATAAAAGACCTCATGACCTATAACAGCGCCAACCGCCTCCTCATTACAGGCACACCACTGCAGAACAATATCGCGGAACTCTGGTCCCTGTTGCACTTTTTGCTCCCTGAGGTCTTCAATGACCTTGATAGCTTCGAGCGCTGGTTCGACTTCTCGAGCGTGCTCGAAGACAAGGACGATCCTACCGGGAAAGCCCTTAAACGCAAGAACAACCTGGTTTCTACGATGCATGCCATTCTCAAACCATTCCTCCTCAGACGTGTCAAGACAGATGTTGAATCGTCCCTCCCCAAGAAAAGAGAATACATTCTTTACGCCCCACTCTCGGCTGAACAGAAGGATTTGTACAGAGAAATCCTTGCTGGGACTAGCAGGACCTACCTCGAAGATAAAGCCGTCGAACGGATTGAAGCCCGTAGTCGAGCTGCGAGTCTGAAACGCAAATCCAACGGTAGTGGCCGTTCCACGCCTGTCAAAAGTCTGAAGACAAGTCGTGCATCGACCCCTGCGTCTGCAGCATCGGTTGGTTCCACGCGGCGAGGCAGAAAAGCCGCTCCGACGTCCTACCGAGATGTGAGTGACAGAGAATTCAACTCTCGCTTGCGTCGTCTTGAGCGTGGAGAAGAGGATATCAATTTAGATACCGCTTCACCTCCCCCAGACACGCCTGGCTTCTCATCGGAAGATGCCGAAGAGCTCGAGCGTGCGCAGACACTCAAATTAGCCAAGAAAGAGATTGCCAGCAAGAAGCTTCAGAACCCGATCATGCAGGCACGGCTTGCCTGCAATTCTCCACATAACTTCTATTGGCCATGGAAGCCTGCAACGGCCGATGAAGAGGCGTCTGGAAATTTTCCTGCTGTCGATGAGACACTGGTCACGGCTAGCGGGAAGATTCTACTGCTCGACACACTACTCCCACGTCTTTTCAAACTTGGCCACAAGGTCCTGATATTCAGCCAGTTCAAAACGACGTTGGACATTTTGGGGACATATGCGAGCGACCTCAGAGGCTGGAAATGTTGCCGCATCGATGGAAGTGTGAGCCAAGAGGAGCGGTACGAACAGATAACAAGCTTCAACACTGATAAATCTTTCAACTTGTTCCTGTTGAGCACCAGAGCAGGCGGTCAGGGCATCAATCTGACCGCGGCTGATACAGTAATTCTGTTCGATAGCGATTGGAACCCACAGCAGGATTTACAGGCCATGGACAGGGCCCATCGCATCGGGCAGACGAGACCAGTCATTGTGTACAGGCTTGCGACAAGAGGCACGGTGGAAGAGACACTGTTGTTCAAGGCCGATGCCAAACGAAAACTGGAGAAGCTCATCATCCAAAAGGGCAAGTTCAAGAGTTTATTAGCCGAGGGAGATGTGGATGATGTGCGCGGCGTGCTGGAAGGGGATGAATTCGAGATGTATGATATCCAGAGTAAAGAGGGTGGGAAGATTCTGGGTGAAGACGAACTCAAGATTCTTACCGATCGCAGTGACGAGGCTTATGAACGTGCCGAGAAGGGATTGGATGTTGGTGGTGAAGGGCGGGTCTTCAGGGTGGCAGATACGAAAGGAGGCAGCGATGTACTTGATGACTTGACGGTCCGAAGTAAGAGTTGAGATTCAGCAGCTGGTGACTTGGATACTCGGATACTCATCTGTCCTAAGCGGAGGTCGGGAGATATGCGTCGGCAGAATATTTTGTTGGATTATTGAATATCCCGCATAAACTTCTGGGAGCTTGACTTGATATATAAGTCATTATGACCGATGTCAGCTATGGCTTTCAAGTCTTCTGGCACGTTGGCCACCGAGAGTTGAAAGTGCCTGCTGCGGCTTTTCTGTCTTACGACTCAGAAGCGGAGAACCTCGTATGGAGTATTGTAGTATCTCGTACCCGGTAGGGCCGTCTCCAAGCCTGTGATCAGCCTTCAGCGGTTTTCCACCAATCTGGGGGCTCCAGTTCAATCTTGCTTTACTCCGTATGGGGATGAAATGTGCCTGATATGGTGGGACTCCCATCGGCCTTTCAGCCGACAAATTGTCCCGTTGGGGGAGAGCAAAACTCCGGTGGGATGGCATATTATGCGTCGGCAGAATTGCTGGACGTACGGTATATATCGACTTTCGCTTCTTGATCCAACGGGAAGAAGCGTCACACGCACATGATCTCGAGGCTTTGCCACCAGCAGGTTCCCGGAAACAACCATGTTACTCTCCAAAGACGACGCGCTCCATTACACGTACGACTCGGAACATGTTCAGATCGAAGCATGGGGTCCGAACGCTCTTCGTGTCCGCGCAACAAAACTGCATACCTGGCCGTCCGGAGACTGGGCTTTGACAATCGCACCGCAGAAATCTAAGCCGACAATAACGGTCCAGGACAAGTCTGCCGAAATCACCAACGGAGGCATCACAGCCAGCATCTCGTCCCGCGGCAAGATCATCATCACCAATGCAAAGGGGGAACGACTGTTAGAGGAGTACCAGCGGAACAGGCTCGATGTCGAAGATCCAAAATGCAGCGCTCTTGAGGTGGAAGCCCGAGAGTTCAAACCTCTGCTTGGCGGCGACTACCACTTGACCTATCGACTTGAGTCCGTCGACAAGAAGGAGAAGATCTACGGCATGGGACAGTATCAGCAACCGTTCCTTGACCTCAAGGGCCTTGACCTGGAAATGGCTCAAAGGAACTCTCAAGCAAGTGTACCCTTCATGTTGTCCAGTTTGGGATATGGCTTGCTTTGGAACAACCCAGCCGTCGGACGAGCAGTGCTGGGAAAGAATATAATGAGCTTCGAAGCCCAATCAACCAAGTTTATGGATTACTGGATCGTTGCCGGCGACACACCGGCTCAGATAGTGGAGGCATATGCGGACGTGACTGGGAAAGTACCCATGATGCCAGAATATGGGCTTGGTTTTTGGCAATGCAAGCTTCGATATCAAACGCAAGAAGAGCTCCTGGGTGTTGCAAGAGAGTATCGCAAGAGAAATCTGCCTCTGGATGTCATTGTCGTCGACTTCTTTCACTGTTCGTGATGACCCCTGCAAAGCCCTCATACTCATACTGATCGGACAAAGGGCCAAAGCAAGGAGAATGGAAGTTTGATCCCACGTATTGGGAAGATCCCGGTGAGTCTGCCATGCGAAGATTGTTGTCGACCTGGCAGGAGTCTTTCGATTGCTAAAGCTTGAAGCTTTTGGCTTTCGTCCATCCTCCATGTGCCCTTGATTTCGACCTGTTTGTTTGCCTGCAACGCTCCGTCGCAGGAAGACGATCACAGTCTGACAAGTCAAACATTTTTGATTGGTTTACAGATGCCATGATTAAAGAACTCCAAGCGATGAAAGTCGAACTCCTTGTCTCCATATGGCCGACGGTTGATAAGCGGTCCGAGAACTATAACCATATGCTAGAACATGGTCTGTTGATTCGACAAGATCGAGGTCTCAGGGTGTCTATGGACTTCCAGGGAGACACCGTCCATGCCGACTTTACCAACCCGGCAGCCAGAGATTTTGTCTGGAAGACCGTCAAGAAGAACTATTATGATAAGGGTGTCAAACTCTTCTGGCTCGATGAAGCTGAACCGGAGTACAACGTGTACGACTTCGACCTGTATCGCTATCACAGTGGCAGCGTCTTGAGCACGGGAAATGCATACCCTGTTGACTATGCTCGAGCCTTCTATGAAGGAATGGTCAAGGACGGCAAGCAGAAGGATGTCTGCAATTTGATCCGTTGCGCCTGGGCAGGAAGCCAGAAATTCGGTACCCTTTTGTGGAGCGGTGACATCGCTAGCAGTTGGAGCAGCTTCAGAGACCAGTTCGCTGCAGGTCTGAATGTTGGGATTGCAGGAATACCCTGGTGGACAACTGATATTGGTATGTCTTGACTCTTACCAGGAATCAACGTTTTTGCCTTGGTGCATGCTGACGTGGCAGGTGGTTTCCATGGTGGAAATCCCACACACCCAGAGTTCCGAGAATTATGCACGAGGTGGTTCCAATATGGTGAGTTTCGACATTGCTTCTGAGTCGCTGGTTTTGCTGAACGTGATGTAGGTTGTTTCTGTCCTGTATTCCGCTTGCACGGCCACCGTGAGCCGATGCAACCTCAGCACGGCACGACTGGTGGTGCGACGTGCATCTCAGGGGCTCCCAATGAGGTCTGGTCCTATGGAGAAGAATGCTACGAGATCATGAAGAAATACCTGCTTCTCCGCGAGAAGCTTCGTCCTTATGTCCGCCAGCTCATGACCCAGGCGCACGAGAAAGGAACTCCGGTGATCCGGACATTGTTCTTTGAATTCCCCAAGGACCAGGCCTGTTGGGACGTGGAAGACCAGTATATGTTCGGACACAAATACCTCGTCGCTCCGGTCATGTATAAAGGCGTGGACAAGAAGACGGTATACCTGCCCAAGGGTGCGACGTGGAGGAGGTTTGATGATGGAGAGATCAAAGATGCCGAGAACCTCCCAGGAGGGCAAACGATCGACGTTAGCTGCCCACTGGCAGTTATGCCTGTCTTTGAGAGGATCTAGAGGAGACCTGCGACAAGTTTGTGCGGTGTTTGAATTGTCAGTCGTGCCAAAGCCAACTCATACTTGCCGAGGCATCAATGAATCCAAAGCACAAGTTTCTGTTGATTTTCGTCAGGACAATGGTGCTAGGAACATCTTTCAGCCTGAAAGTTCTGCTTTATCTAGGTAGAATCACGGGAATCTAGGTTCATCTGGTCCTTGGGAGGCCTTTGACTCGAATCAGATGTGTAACATTGCCATGGTCACTGAACGCTAGATGATATCTGCCACACATCGCTGGCAACACGAGTCACTGGTTCCACCTCGCGAGTTTTATTTTTAGGCTCGATGCTACCGTCAATACGACGAGCACGTAAGGTTCTGCCGAGTCCAAAGGGCGCATTCGTCGTACCTCTTCCCTTTCGAGGTATTGGTATGGACGCCTCTGACGGCAGGATCGTTCAGGCTAAGCACTTTCGCTGTCAATGTTCAGCCTGAAGGTTCGAACATTTGTCCGCTTGCCGACCTGCCTGAAAGTTGTGTCCAGTTTATGTACTTCTGGGAGAAAAGAAGAGAAACAATGTCAGTCACTTGGTACTTGCACGGAGTGATAAGTCCCTAGTTTGTCATACTAGACGCGAAGTCTCTATTCAATGATTGGCGGGCTCAATGGCTAAGCACAGTCTAAGCGCAAGTTAATCATTGAAACTAGTTCGATCAAAGCTAGCGATTGCTTAGCTGCTACTCTAACTTCATCGACGCGATCTGACATTTCACTTTCTTCGTTCTATTAATACGTGTGAGTGATTGAATTTCAACACGGCAACATCACACACAACGATGATTTTTCCCAGGCTGCACGACAAATTCACGACCTCTTTACTTCAGCGTGTCTTCTAGGGTTGAGGTACGACCCCGAAAAAGCTGATCAATTATGCGGTAGAACTATCTTAAGATTTCGTACAGAGCACTTTATGTCAAGTCTACAGCTCTAAGCAATGACCTCGCATCAAGCCAACTCTAAGCAGTAATGCGCTACCTTCAAGGTCTTCCGGCGTGACAGGCTACAGCAAGAGCTCCTCCTGCACCAAGGGGCCCGCAAGGATATCCGCTAACCCCCGTACATCCATCACGCCTGATAAGGGGTTTTTGAGCTTGAGATCCATGTCCTGGTCGGCGCTTCGATGGCACCCTTTGATCCCATGACAGGCAGGGAGCCCACATGCTGATAAGCTGTCTCATTGCACCGGTGCTTTTCCGCTGGTCATGCAAGGTGACTTGGCTAGCATCGACGAATTCCACACAGAAAACCTGTCCATCCAGAGCCTTCCAGCAAATCGCGGCAGGTAGTGCTAGGCCAGCAGCTGTTGAATGTATGACCTCTAAGGTCGTGCTTGCGTGGAAGCTCGAGGACTAAGTCACATAGCTTCAGAGAACTTGTCGAATTCAGCATCCGGGTGATTGATCTGCCCAAAGACAACGAAGATGACCCTGATCAGCGCACTCAGCAAGCTCGAATCCGTAGGCGTCGGTAAAGTAGCGCCGGCAGTGGGGGTGGGCGAAGAGAAGATGTTCAGCTTCCAGCATCATACAACCATAATCAAGACGATGACCGCAGCAATTCTCTTTGGCAGAGTCAGTTCCGCTGCGCCTGCTGATGGTCGTGTCTGGGGGTATCTTCGCCTCCTGAGTCCGAGCTACGATACGAGATAGTCAACGATTGTCCTGGGTAATTATTCACCCATCAAATCAAGAAGGGCAAAGACAGCACGAACGCAACGACTTGGAGCGTGGCACTCCCACTTCAACGGAAGTACGAGGCGAGGCGGTGTATTTTGACCAAGATCGACTCTCTGTGGAGGTCACAAGACTATCGTTGGCATTTCTTGATGGTCGCTCTCCGCAATCCGAGGCGTCGCTCTTGCCACAACTCTGGGGCGACTAGAATTCTTGCTCAGCATGCCCCTTCCGAGACACCATGGCAAGAGTTTGCATTGTACCTGGATTCTATGGCACTCTTGCAAAACCACAAAAGGCCTGAACATTCAGCCTTGCGACACGAATTTCTACCGGTGCCCTTTGTTCAAAGGAGTCCGTAACTTTCCGAATGCTCTGCCGCGAGAACTGCTATAAGACAAGCCGCAAGAATTTGTTTTCAGGGCATACATCGCCATTCATAAACTTCTAGCACGGCACCATCTGAAGTAAAGACATGGGGTAAAGTGTCCTGGCTTCGTCATGATCCGGCATGTCATGACCGAGGTATCTGTACTGGCTGGAAACTGGTCTACAACGTTGTTCTGACCATCGCAGCAATACTGTTCGCTGTGGGCCGTACGAGATCTCTACGCGGAAGAGAGGTTGCTCCTCAACTTGGCTTCACTTGGAGAAACCCTTCTCGTCGCATTTTGCCTTTTGGTCTACCGAGCCAAACGATACATGTTCTGTCGGTCATGAAGCAAGAGCAAAAGCTTCTGCACTGAAGCGAGAAGCAAGGAAAGTTGCGATCTACCATCACGAAGCATGCTTCACGGATCTCAAATTCATTGGCAACGCGCAAGTGATGTCTATATTTCGAGACGTTCTAGATGCTGGGCTATTCGTTCTGCCGGTATTTGATGTGTTTCGCCTTGGGAAATGGCTCAAACTTACCGTCGCATGGTCATACCGTAATTCTACGTAACTTATGCGCAGTTGGTACAGGCTACATGCGGGACTGTCAGGATTTCGCACCATATATTTGTCCTGTGTCAACGTAACGCTCATACTGAAACAACAGACTTCCAAATGTCCATTACTTCCGGAGTGATGGCGAGGAGACGAAAGACAGTCTCTGACAATGGTATGGAAGATGGTTTAAGCGAACAAGTCATCAACAGCCCCCATACGACACGGGAACAGGGATCTTTTGAGGTAGGTAAGCTTCCTTACTTTGTCTGGCATTTCAGCACGAGGTTTACTGGCCGATTAGTGGGCAGAAGAGGGCGAAATGCCCTGCTAAACGCCCAGTGGAGCCAATCTCCACCCCCGCATCATGCTATATACTGGAGACAGATGGGGATCTCTCCGCATTGATTCGACCCCCAGAATCAAGGGCACTCGCATCCTTCGAATCGGCAAGTGTCCAGCACACCAGCATCAGGTCTAGATTGTAAGTGACTGGACGGATCGCTTCACACTCGTACGCCAGGCTGGCTTGCCTTGCTGTTTTCATACACAACAACTCCAAATCGACAGAACCACTAAAGGCAGGTCGCCGGCTACCACTTCCACGTGCTGCATTTCTAGTTGACCAGCTCGGTGCATCCTTTGGGCTCTGATTACAATACAATGGAACGCTAGCTCTGGGGACCATGTCTGTGATAGGTCTGTCCATCCTGCCCATTGCAGGATGAAGGAGGGGGATCTCACCTCGCATCGCAGCCTTTCCGTGCATCGATATTGCTTACTTCAACCCACCCTTATCTCATGCCGGTCTACAAAGTTATATTCTATGTGGCAACAAGTCTCCTCCCCTTGAGATTGATTTTCCTTCCGCCTTGATCTTCACTCTATTGAATCAGACTCCCATTTCCTTTCTTTTCCAGGTAGACCAATACTATCATGAAGATTTATGAGAGGATCAGAGACGACATCAGGACGGATGTCACCTGGAACCGAGTCTTCAAGCTTGGCAAGCAGGGAATTCGTGCTGCTCCCGCGGCAGGGACATTGTATGTTCTCGAAAAGTTTCCCATTATCGGGTGGCTGCCCCGATATGACTATCGATGGGCGTTGAATGATGTGGTGGCCGGCTTAACGTTGGCTGTCATGCTCATCCCACAAGGGCTGGCGTATGCGAAAATCGCCACAATCCCTGTCCAGTATGGCTTGATGTCGTGTTGGCTTCCAGCCGTGCTCTACATGTTCATGGGCACGTCAAAAGGTAAGATTAATTTCACACGTTGTTACGAGATGGAGGTGGCATCAGTACGAATCACGTCTGCTAAAACGAATTGCCCTGCCAGATCTATCGACTGGACCGACCTCATTGATCGGCCTTCTTACCTCAGACATTGTCAAAGATCTCGTGAAGGAGGGCTACACCGCGCAGCAAATCTCGTCTGCAGTCGCTCTCATGATGGGCGTCTATGGCATGGCCTTGGGGTTTTTGAAACTCGGGTTCCTCCTAGACTTCATCTCGTACCCTGTTCTCAATGGATTCATCTCGGCGGCCGCCATCACTATTGGACTTGGCCAGGTGGCTAATCTTTTGGGCGAAAAACACGTCGGCACCGGCACCGCGCACATTATCCATGATGTCTTCAGCCACTTGTCTACTTGCAATCCGCGCGCGGTAGGTGTCGGCTTCGGCGGTATCATCCTTTTGCTAGCACTCCAAAAAGCCGGCGAGAAATGGGGTAACAAGAACAGAATCGTATGGCTCCTATCCATCACCCGAGCGTTCATCGCTCTTGTCCTGTTCACCGGCATCAGCTATGCTGTCAACGGGGACCGGGACTCGAAGAATTTCCTGTTCGATGTCAGCAAAGTCCCCTCAATCAGTATCACTTCTCCGAAACTGCAGAGCGGCACGCTTATCGGCAAAGTCACAGGACGAAGCATTGCGCCCTTCATTGCCGCGGCGCTGGAGCATCTCGCCATCGCTCGCGCTTTCGGGATGAAGAACAACTATGTCATTGACGCCAGCCAGGAATTGTGCTACCTTGGCGTGACCAACTTCTTCAACAGTGCCTTCACCGTCATGGGCGTAGGGGGAGCAATGTCCAGAACCGCCGTCAACTCTCAATGCAAGGTCAAATCTCCACTGTCTGGACTTGTCACGACCGCGTTCATCGTCCTGTCGATCTACAAGTTCACAGGAGCACTGTACTGGGTCCCCAAGGCGACATTGGCCGCTATTATCATCATGGCAGTAATACCCCTCGTCGGCACGTGGAGGACATACTATCACTTCTGGAAGACGTCGCTAGCCGACTTCATCGCATCCATGATCGCGTTCTGGGTGTCCCTGTTCGTCAGCACCGAGATCGGTATAGCGTCGGCGGTCGGATTCAATGTTGCATACGTCCTCCTGCGCCAGGTCTTTGTTCGCTTCAATTCGATCGGATCAGACTCGCAGTCGGAACTTGCTTCTTCTCTGGATGCCGCGCGAGGTATGCCGGCGCGCATCCCTTCCGACACTCGCGTATTCCGATTCAACGAGTCGTTGTTCTTCCCAAACGCGCTCAGGAACAAGACCAAGATCCTCGACGACATTCAGACCTACCATGCTGCTGAGTACGGTCGGACGCATGGCGAGGAAGCTGACCGCACATGGTCTGTCGAGGGCGAGAAACGAATCAAGCGTCTCAGAAAACGGGCCCGGACCGACGGAGAGACGTTGCCGCCTATCAGGGTTGTCGTCTTGGACTTTACCAAGGTCAACTTTTGTGACGTGAGCGCCGTGACGTCGTTGAAGAACTTTTTTATGGAATTGAAAAAGTACGCGGGTGAGCAGGTCGAGGTGCGCTTCGTCGCCATGTCGGATAGCACCAGGCACAGATTCGAACGGGCTGGTTGGAAATTCTTGGAACGTGGCAATAGCGTGCCGGCTGAGCCGTCGAGCACGACCGCGATACGGGTCTTCAATAGTATCGCGGAGGCCGTCATGGCGCCGAGGGTCTCTGTCAGCGACGATTTTGTCGAGGTAAAGGTCAAAGGCGACGAGGAGGAAGGCGCCACCATCACGCACCGGGAGAAGCAGTGACGTGGGCAAGCAGTGCCTTGGTCTGTACGGGAAAGAAGTCGTCTTCACAGGGGTGTGAGTGTCGGGTTGTGGTTCATGTCGAATTGAGCTTTGCGTCTGCATCGTTTATGGATGTGGATGTGTATGACGGGACGATTCATGAAATCAAGGCCGTGGCTCGTCCTCGGTATATAGCCTTCCATGTTGGATTTGATGTTGTTCGAGCTTGGACAGTTTACTCTGTAGGAATGTTGAGAATGCTTCCCCTTCCCTTGTGGTGGTCTTTCCTGCGGCAATCGAATGGACGAGATTATATCTTGGCCTATTGAGCCCGAGGTCGGATATCCTCGTCGACCTTGTTCTAATCGTTGCTTCGGTGGGTGACTCTGAGGGCAGAACGACGCAAGCTGCAACCCACATATCTTCTTTATATAGTTCCTCGGGACAATACGGACCCAGATGGTAGAGGGAACTAGGTGGCTTATTTTCTTCCTCAGTTCCTTTCATTTTGTCTCATCCTTGGGCAGGTTGATGAACGTTTACCCGGCCTTTTTTCCAAAAGGTCGTTGGATCCATGAGTTACAGGACCCGAAATCACCCATCCTTGTGGACCCCTTTCTGCCTTTTCCAGTGTGTACTCGACTCTGAATGTGACGAGAAGTCTACTTTCGATTTCGGGAGGAGCGTTCAATACGTTCTGTACCCGTATCTAAGAGGTCTTACCGTAATCCATTGTACACTTTGATCCTCCGTTACTGTAGTTTCCCTCGAACCGGTCGTTGGGTCGCGCGAGTTGAGATTCTTACTGTGTACACGCTGGTAGTTACGGAAGAACGAATACGCGAAAGGTCTATTGTGGCTTTTCCCAACAGCATGGGAACGTAGAATGCTGGTGTCAAGTGAGATTCTGGGACTTGGACGTCCCAGCACTTTTGGTGTACTGTACCGTACAGTGTTACATGTACCTATATATCTATTTGTACTTCATAGCAGGGAGTGAGTTGCCTGCCTGCCTCCCTGAGGTACCTAATAATACGGGAGGTGAGCCAGTACATACATGCATACCTACGTACATGGCACCCTCCAAGGAAATTGTAATCAACACCGCCCACTGCGATGCCCGGGATGTTAAAGATCGATTTCCACCTACTAATCCAGTCGAATGGTCCCCTTGGCAGGCCAAAACAGCCACACGACAGCCATACCAACCTTGATCGCGGCAGCAATCCACAGAGGGTTCGCGACGTTACCACCCTCGGTCAGGAACCCGCTGACCACTGCGCCCAAGAGCAATGCGACGGCCGACACGAAGCGTCTGTTCCGTTTTGGATTCTGACGGAGCGGTGCGGTGAACAAATGCGGGTCGAACATCAGGTCGCAGTACGTGCTGGTCAAGACGACCGTGGGAAGCTCGTTGTAGGCAAGCAGTCGGCTCACGACGATCTGTCCGGCCGACTGGAAGGAGAGGAGACTCAGAGGGAGAAGGACGACGAACGATCGCGGGATCTGCGAGCCCGCGTCTGGCGGGACGATGCCACTGACCACGAGGAGAGCGGCGATGAAGCACAGCGTCGCTTGAAAGACGAAGGAGACGACCATGGTGCTTCGCCTGAGAGAGCCGAGAAGCCGCGCCGTGCGGCTGAAGAAGTACGTTCCTGCGCAAAAGGAGATGATGGCCGTGCCGGACTTGACCCATCGGTACGGTTGGGTATAAGGTTGCCCAGACATACCGAGGCCGACGTACACCGTGTTTCCTAGGTTGTGATTGTCAGTGAGATTTGTACGGCTGACCTGGAGGACAGATAGGACCGAGGGAGACAGGGGCAAACATTTAATTAACGTAGCTTGAACTCACCAGTCTGCATGCTTACGAAACACGACCAGACGTTGAACACGGCGCTGTCGACAAGGCCGGATATGAAGCATGCAACAATCAGAATCAGGTCGGCCCAGGATTCGTCAATGTCGGCAGAGAGATGGTCTTTCCATCTTGACAGACGGAACTTCTTCTTGTGTAGGGACTCGAGTGAGTCGATGGATTCAGACATCGTCGGGAAGATTGGTATTCAGGTCGACGCCACGTTTTGGCCGTTGTGGTACGCCGAACGAGACTTGTTGAGGGAGAAGAGATCAATAGATGTCTACGTAGATATACCAGACCCCCATCCAGAACCGAACGAGGTACTCACCGATGCCTCTCGGTCCGACATGTCTTCGGCGATTTCAACGATACCAGTCCCTCCATCCTTGGCCGCGGATCTTTCCCGCGACGAGTTCAGAGCTCCGTGTCAGTGTCAGTGTGCTGGATCATTTCAAAAGCCCGGGTAAAATATGAAGCTTTATCTGGGAACTATGGGTTTGGTCGAGACAATTGGCACCACAAAACAGGGCTTTGTCCCCGGTGAGGAGCCTCCGCATGCCAACAGGAGTGCCAGCTCCACAGATCGTTCTGGGGAAGGAGGATACCTCATCCACTTCCAGGTGATTGTCCGCATGGGTGCTCGGGTGAATGATTTACCTGGTGAAGGATTCCTCCTCCGTTGCTCACTTGGAGAATGTGAGGCCTGGTGGCTCTGGCTTCTCCGGCCCTCTGAAAGAAAATCTGCGTTTACCCCATGAATTGTTCTGTTTCTGGCTGCTATGTTCATTAAGTAGCTAGATCGTGTTGGTTGTTGATCATGGCGGGGTTTAGGGAAGAAACGGTGCCGCAAGGGTCAACTTGTTAACCTCCACTATTTAGATGTCTGCCGAGGTATCAGACATCTGTCCGTCAACGCGGATCGGGTCCAAGACCTCACACGAAGCCTTGAATTACAGTAACTCATGCTGATGCCAAACAGGAGAGCTTTTGGTGAGGTTGAAGTTGGAAGACAAATGTAGCAAAGATCGAGGACTAAAGTAATTCCGAGGCGTCCAAATCAATGAACCTCGGTTCATGTCGGCATCTCGCTCCCCATATCATGATCACATACGGATACTGCGATACATTAATTCCATCGAGGTCGACAAAATAGATGGGAGAGGTCCTTTTGTAACGCAGCACCAAGACTTTGCCGTCAATGACTTCTTAAAGCCACGGTGATTGGATAGTCAACTGCGGCCCTCGTTCAGAAATGGCGGAAATACCCATCATTGTAGGGGTAGGGGATGTCGTGAACCGATCGACTTCAACCGACGCCGCACTGGAACCTTTGCGGCTAATACTGGACTCGATCCGAAATGCTCTAGAAGACACGGGTTTGGCCGAGGAGAAGCAGAAGTTTCTTCAAAAGGCCATTGACAGTATTGATGTCGTGAGAACGTGGACATGGCCATACGATGACTTGCCAGGCGATATCGCCCGCAATCTGGCAGTGGACCCACGGCACAAGTTCTACACTGAACATGGCGGCAACAATCCGGCGAAACTCTTCGATGATGCAGCGAGAAGGATTTCAAACGGCCAGACCAAAGTCGCCGTAGTGACAGGCGGTGAGGCTTTGGCGTCATGTGAGCCATGACCTTAGGAATGAAGCATTTGCGATTTGAGTCGCTGTTGACCTTTCTGCTAGTGACGGCGTGTGCGGCGGCAAAGCAATTACCGCCCGCAGGATGGACAAAGACAAAAGAGAGCGTGACTTCGGTCTTCAAAGCCACCGGGAGAGATCGTGGCACACGTGAGTCCAATCCAGGGAGTCCTTAACATTCTGTTGATAGTCCTCTAAGCAGAACAAGCAGACCTTGGTCAGGTTCAAGGGATAACGGACCCCATACAAATTTATCCCCTGTATGAAAATGGTTTACGTGCGCACCGAAAACAATCGCTTAGAGACAATCACAACGAGTCAGCAACATTGTATGCCGACTTCGCCAAAGTAGCAGAGCACCAACCGTATGCTTGGAACTATGGCAAGCCGGCAAAGTCAAAAGAGGAGATCGGGACCGTCACGAAGCGAAACCGAATGATCTGTCTGCCGTGTAAGGATCTGTGTATCGCCCTTTAAGCGCAAACCGCTGACTGATGATGGCGCTAAAGACCCCCTTCTTATGAACGCTTTCAACACCGTCAATCTTGCAGGAGCGTGTATCTTGACTTCGACAACCTATGCAGAAGAGCTAGGCATACCAAAGACAAAATGGATTTATGCCCTGGGTGGTGCTGGAACGCAGGACTCGACCAATTGTGAGTTGTTTCAATCAAACGTTTTTTGTGAGGGAACATTAGCTGATTCTCCTTCTTTCGCAGTCTGGGAAAGACCCAACTACTACTCGAGCCCATCCATTGAGCGGTCTCTAGATTCTGCGCTCGAGGTATCTGGTCTGGACAAAAGCGATATTGACTTGTATGACTTTTACTCGTAAGTGTTGCTTCAAGCGTTCATTCTCGGGATGAATGGTGTTCTGCTGCCAACAGATGGTGCATGGCTATGTTCTTGATCTTGTCGAATGTATTAAATTTGAGCCTGACCATGTGGTTCGGCCAGTTGTTTCCCTATCGTACCCAAACTTGCTGCGGCGCATTTGAAGCTGCCTATCACAGGAGGAGCTCAAGCTCTCACTCTTCTTGGGGGATTGACGAGTTTCGGCGGTGCCGGTAACAATTATTCAATGCATGTATGTCTCCCTACTGCGCGTAGGAACACGCCCACCGTGGCTGACATTTTGTTGCTAATGTGGTCGTCAAGGCCATCACCGAGATGACACGACAATTACGACAGGGTAAAGGACGGAATGGACTGATCCTTGCTAACGGTGGCTGGGTCACATATCAACATGTGCTATGTCTCTCTACGATGCGACGGCGCGGGGGTACTGCCTATCCTGACCATGCACCACTGCCCGATCACGTCACAGATGTTCCTATCCCACAGGTCGATATCAAAGTGGAAGGAGACCAAGAAGCCGTAATCGAGGTGAGCGGGAATGGATTCGCAATCGAAATCCACAGGACGAAGTTGAGCCCCAGACTAACTTGAATCACTTTTGCAGACTTACACTGTCGAATTCAATCGTGATAACACACCGAGAGAAGCATATGTCGTAGGCCGACTGAGGAACGGCCACAGGTTCGTGGCGAATGAGGGCGACAAGGAGACTTTAGTACAGCTGTCATCAACCACTACAGAGCCGATTGGACGTACAGGACGCGTCTACAATGACGGAAAGAGAAATCGGTTTGTTTTGGAGAGGGGATTGACGGGGAAGCTGTGAGATAATGGTACGAGGTTCGGAGATGTAGCTCGGAACTTTGCTCGATATTGGTGAGGAATAGGTTCTTGGTCCGTAGCTCTGAATCACTCACTAGTGATACTATATCAATAAGCTGTAGCTTCGCTGCCTTGACATGAAGTGTTTCCCCCCTTGATTTTATGCTTGTTGCTGAGTACTAGCGTTCGATTTTGGCCATCTTTTCTACTTGCTAACTCCGGGACCTTGATGACTGATATCATACAGTACGTACCTATGGCGTATGTACTGGTGGGTTCGGGGTCTCCGGGGATCTCGGGAACCACAATCAGTTTTCCCACCGTGAGTTCACCTTAAGTAAGCAAGTTCCTACGGCAGATATCCGTAATCGAACTCAATTCCTCACAGTTCCTTGACAATCTACGGACGTACTCGTACAGTATCGTGTTGTACGGCTTATTAGTACTTTTGAATAATCCACTCACTTCCTTCGTCACCGACAACGAAGACTCCGACGACTACATCTACCACGAGTACCGCTCGCAGATCCTGACTTGATTCACCTCCATTTTTCTCCTTCAATCTACTTGGACGAACTGGGAATACAAAGTCAAATCTGACAAGCTAGATAGCCACAAAACTGCCTCGGCACCAACGAAAACACGCCCCTCGACATCTTCTTGAACGATAACAACTGTGTGTCTCGAACTGTCATCATGTGTATGAAAAAGACTTGTCCAACTTGCCGTAAGTTCACCCTCACTGGCATAAAAGCAACATTCGATTTTGTATCCATTTTTGGGAAAGCACCTATTGAAGACGCCCAAGTTTCTTCTCCCGCTGGCTGCTAACTACTCAACCTGGTACGATTACAGAAAAGGCAACTTGGTGGGGATGCGGGAAACATATTCCTTCGGTACTCGATGCGGTCCCCAAGGATGACTTGTGCACTTGCAAACCCACTATCGAAGTCGAGGGCAAGACATATCCGCCAAAGCAGGGAGAAGGACATGCGTAGAGAGAGAGCGAGAGCAAGTGAGCCATCCAGCAAACCACGATAGTCCACTATGTTTCAATGACAGTCGAGGCATGGGAATTGGAGATAGAGGGAGATCGAGACCGAATCATGGGGGAGGAAAGTGGCCATGCTTGGTCCGCAACGACCTTTGAATGAGACCAAGGCCCGGTTCGCAGCAAATGTGGGTTGGCGGGATGCCCGAATGATACTGTAAGAAAGGCTACTATTGTTTAGAATCACGTACCAAATTCCAATTGCAATGGTAAACAGACAACTGGAAGTTCTAGGCGCAACATCAAGGAATTCGACAGTGGATCCGTGAACATCTATCATTATTTCTTCTTCAAGTGAAGATGATGCCACCGTCGATGACTATTGTCTGGCCCGTCATGAAATCTGAATCCTTTGAACACAAGAAGCCTCCAACGGGGTTCCCGACATCTTCGGGCACACTCACCCTCCCCAGAGCGGTCAAGTCGGAAGAATACTTCTTGACCGACTCGCCCTTTCCGCGGCCTTCGATGGCGCCCAGCTTCTCGTCGATGAGATCCCACATTGCCGTGCCGACGATGCCAGGCGCGTAAGCGTTGACGGTGATCTTGTGCTTGGCCATCTCCATGGCAAACACCTGCGTGAAGCCGCGGACGGCCCACTTGGACGCGCTGTAGTGCGCGAGCAGCGGGAACGGCTTGAATGCGACGATGCTCGCGGCGCCCAGGATCTTGTACCCGCTGGTGCTCCCCTCGGGCACGGGACCTTGCGCGATCATCTGCCGCGCCGCGTGCGTGTAGCAGAGCCAAACGCCCATAAAGTTGACGTTGAACATCCTCTGCACGTCCTCGTCCGAGATGTCGAGCGCCGGCGCCACCTGCGCGATCCCGGCGTTGGCCACCATGACCGTCAGCGGGCCCAGCTTGTCCACCGACTCCTTGATCAGCGCCTGCACTTCGGACGACGACGTCACGTCGGCCACGACCCCGATGGCGCTGCCGGACCCGTGCGCCTGGTTGAGTTCCGACACCAGTTTGTCGATTCCGGCCTTGTTGGCTGATACGTCGTTGACGCACACCGCGTAGCCTTCGACAGCGAGCCGGCGCACGATCGCTTCGCCTCTGCGTTGACAAGGTTCGGATTAGCCAGGGCTACTCTCAAATGGGTCCCTGGAAAAACGTACATGCCGCGCGACGAGCCGGTCACTATTGCTGTTCGCTTGACCATTGTGTCTTAGACAGACCGGTCGCTAACCGATCGCCAGGAAACAGATCTTGGTTTTGAGATGGTCACCTATTCTCCCCAGGGATGCAGTAAAGGACCTGGGCTACACGGTTATCTCGCAACGGAATAGAAGGACAGAAGATGGTCTGAGGCGGCCATGACAATTATACTTGTCCGTTAAAGATGTGGGCTTTCAAATATCTACTGGACCGTGCCACAATGCGTGATGCTGCCGAGGGTTGGTGGTGTGCCCCCTCTCCGGACACGCGGAGGAGGTTCAGTACGGAGGATCGCGCCTCGCGTCCGCGATCCGAAAATCATCGTCAAAGTGATCGTGTGCTTTTCGTGCTGCGCAGGGCGGGGAGCAGAGCACTCGTACATGGGTGGAGAGGATCTGAGTGACTGACTGCACGAGTTCGAGTATGACTGAGACTGTCCCCGAATGCCACGATGAGGAGAAACGAACGCGGGGAGGCCAGAGTTCGGTAAAATGTCGACCGAGATCAGACGCAAAGCCACATCCCTCGTGCGCTGTGGTTACGCGTAACGCAGGGCGTCAATGTTCTGATCCCTCCTGGGCGTGTTTAGAACTCATTCCAGATAACGAGGGTCTTATTTGTGACTACTGGACTGACGACCTGAATTTTTGCTGGTCTTGAGCCTGTTCCCACTGCTTTTGGCGACCTTTGCTACTGTATCGACTTTTGGAAAGTAAGCTTGGTGTTGGCCTTTGGCGGTTGAGTTTCCAAGACTCTCGCTGCATATTGTCAGCCGTCTGAGAGCAGGAGAAACACACAAGGCGGTCCAGGTAAGGTGAGGTGTGACACGGATGGGTGCTGGGCAGATTGGACAGTGTTCGTTCAGCTTCTGTCGTCCGGCCACCTGAAAAGGGTGGATTCTTTGTAATTGATCCCCAGAAACCGGAGCGCATACGCTGGCCACGAACCTGTGGGCCCGTAGCGGTTGGAGACTTCTACTTGTGCAAGTCAAAAATTGGAAAAGCAAAGGAGGTTCAGGTCGCAGCTGTTCAGGTGTGATGAGAGACATGATCGCAATGATTCACAAATCAACTAGGTGTTTCCTTGGAAGTTTGTGCCCATGCCGTTATCCCGTCCAAAACTCAGTCCATGAATTTGCAAACCGGGAGACGATAGCTGTCGATGTTCCAGTACTTACGACGCACTCCGTCCCACTCCTGGTCGAGCTTAGGGAGTTCGACGTCTTCCCAATCGACCTCAAAACCTGCCTCGAACAGATCCATCTCCACCACTTTTTGGTAAATGTCGTAACTGATTTGGCGATCTGCACCCATGCCATTGAAGAATGACCATCGCCCACTCTGATCCAGTAGCGCCATAACGTGCTCTGTAAAGAATTCTCGGAATTCTGCATACGATTCCGCAAAGGTATCGAAATATATAGCGTCGAATGTTTCTCCATCGGCCACCAATTCTGGGAGTACATCTTGCCATCTCCCCCGATGAACTTCGACTCCAGTCTTGCTCATCCAGCCTTTAGACTCCATGTCTTTGAGAACATCTGGGTGAGCTTCGACAATGTAGTGGCGCGCTGGCTTACTCGGGTGGTTTTGAATGTGAGAATCAATTATACCCATACCAAAGCCGATGTTCAAAACTCTCATTCCTGGGGTGGTAAGAAGATGATCGGCAGATTGCTTCATAATCCCGCTTTCCCATCCCATCATGACTCCGTTCTGTTGGTCGTCTACGAGCTTGCTACTGCTGAGAGAAAGAGTGGATGATAGATAAGCTGAGGTATTGACATCCGGCTGATGGTCCCCGACTGAGTCAATAACGTCGTCTTGAGGTTTTGACGAACTTGATTGATCATTCCCAGCGATGTGTTGCTCTTCCTCCGGCTTGTCTTCTTTGTCCATATCGTCGTCCTCCATTCTCTCGTACTCCTCAAGTCTGCTTAATATCATTTCTGCTCTCACGCCGGCATCCACCATGAGCTGATAGAGTTCCAACAAGCCCAGACGGTATGCTAGGCAGCCGGGCGTTTCGTCATTTTTATCCAGTTGATTCCAAATTGCACCATTTTCCAACAAGTATCTGATTGCCGACGAGCCAGCGTCTTCGTTGTCCAATTTCGCAGATCCATGGCCATTAACAGATGATCTGCATGATAAAATGGCAGCATGCAACGGTGAAAAACCAGTCTCGGGATCTTGGACATCCACGACTTTGCAGTCCGGAAAAGAGTATTCATTCACGCACTCCTCCAGAGTGGTTAAATCATGTTCGGCTGCAGCCCGAATTACTCTGGTGATGTGATCATGCTGAACCTCTCCTCCCATGGCTGTCGCTGTAAGGATGGATCTTCCCTTCGTAGTTCAGGCTGTGACTTTAGTTTGCCAATGCTGCTGGTCTTGAGCTTGATGCTTTGTCGGGTCAAATGGTGGTGGCACATTAATTTTTCGGGGCATTGCCGGATTAAAGAAACACCGGCGCCGAGCCAAGATTTCAAGCCGCGGGCAAGCTACCTTATTCACCTCGCTGTAAAGGGCCATTCAGGATTTGGCAAGACCTTCACTTTGTGCTTGCTTTTAATCGTTGACTCTCACATGGCCATCGTTCCGGGATTATCGCATCAAACCCATTCAGCTAGTTCTGTGCCCACCTAGCCTCAAGAGTGAGTCGACTGCTTTTGCCAGATCATGCCCTAAACTATCCTGAGACATCTGCGAGACAGCGTGGTCAAGACTGCCGCCGTCCACTGCAACATTCGTCAAGAGCTCATCAACAAAGAGTGACGAAAAGCCGTGCTTCTGGGGCACCTTCCCTGAGAATGGTTCAGACGCCACCTTTGGAACCATGCTATTTGTTGCCTTCCGTCAATGATGCAACTCTCCGGGCTGTAGGCAGGTCTTTGGTCAAACCACGGGCTGAGCAGGCTTGTTGGTGTAGAAAATCTCTGTATCAACCATCTGACTTTGGCTACATCCGCCACCTTTCCACCTGAAAGCATACTGTGTTCTTAGCAATTCTAGCCTGGCTGCTAGGAATCGAAAGTCTCGTACCGGGCCCCACAGAGCGAGGCAATGGCCAAGTCAAAAGGCCAGAGCCTGCACTTGCCAGACGATGCCGTTCTGAGCACTATGATTCAGGATTCGCTTCGGAAGTCTGCTTCGGATACGACAGCAACTGCTGCAGATGGTCATAATGTTGATGGCTGGACGAAAGAGGACATTCAAACTTACAACGAATTGCTCCAAGAAAGAGCCAAACTTGAGAAAGAGAAAAACGATTTAGAGAAGAAATCTTCCAGGCAACAGGCACAGCGAGCTCTTCTCGACGAAAACGCCCTGGCTCTAGACACCCTCTTCGTGGGCCACGCAGGGGGAATCCAAAAATTCATTGGGCCACATTCATGCTGCTTGGACGAAAACCCCAAAACAGCTCGTCATGAGGCATCCGGTAACGCATGCCCCTCTGGACATGAGATCTGCAGACGAGCAAAGACAAAAGGCATATCTTCGCTGGAGTTAGACACAATCAAGTATTACCAGAGCAGAATCAGGTCGGAGCGGTCGGAGAGAATGCAGAAGGCTTTGCGGAAACAAAGGGATGTCGAGCTTATTCGTGTTAAAAAGGATGATGGTGGCCAGACCCTGAAAGAACGAAAGAACATGCTTCATGATAGAAGCCTGCGAAACACCAACAGGAGCCCGGCTGAACAGATCGATGCTGTCAGGTCATCTTCACTCTCCGATATTCTTGCCCCAAAAGACATTTTTTCCGACCCCAAGAAAAACGCCATTCTAGAGGCTGCACGCGAGAACGAATCCATTGTCCGACAAATACGGGAAAGACTGGATAAAATTCGACACGATGTAAATGCCGGCAAAGTCTCGCCCTCCAATGCACGCGCAAAACTCGACCAGGCTAACTCGGAAATGGCAGACGCTGAGAAAAAGAACAATGAATTTCGCAAACTGATTCTTGACGTCGACCCTGCCATCCCACACCTCCACCAATCTCATCATACAAATCTTTCCACTCTCCTCCAGAACACGATGCAATCTGCGAGTTCAGATGCCTTCTCACAAGCTTTGAGCGCGATGAAGGGATTTTTCAGTGCCTCTGATCCCAACGATGTGCAAACAGCAATGACTGAACTTCGAAGCGTACTCGAGATCAACGGCCCCATGACTCCGGTGCTCCAGAAATCCTTTGGTGCTCTAGAAGAGATGCTATCGAAACCAGAGGCCAAGAGCTTCGCACTTGATCTCAAAACCGATCTTGGCAAGATTGACACTTGTAGCAACGTTGTTGATGTCATGCTGAACCTCAGGTCCAAGATGGAAGCATCTGATCTCTCTTCGGCGGCCGTCGATCCGACATTGAATCTTGACCAAGATACCATTAAAGCAAATCTCGAATGTGTTAAGGTTGAAGATGCTGCAAAAAAAGAGATGATGAAGACGATGCAACGGATGGCCAATGAAAGTCCCGAAAGTATCTCGGCAGCGCTGAAGAAGATTAAAGGAAAAGCTGTTCTCAAGTCCCCTATACCGCCTCTGTCAGATATCATACTTGATGATATCATCAATGGACTGTTGTTCCATCGCATGGTTTCTGCTTTCGTGACCCAAACTGCGGCTATTACTTCTGTCAATGAGCTCTCTGGGAAAATAACCTCATTAGTCATTGCAACAGCTCGCAACAGACCCGAAAAATATTTGTCGACCTTGGATGTATTCAAGAAGTCAGTCCACAATATCTTGAAAAACGACCACCCGGAAACGTTGATGCATGCAATTTCCAAGGTTGAAGTGTCTATGAAAAAGTTCGTTGCTGCGCACGATGCAAAGCGGAAGAAGAACATGGTCGAAAATGCCTCCATGCCATCATCGACTTCCAATTCAATTGCCTCTCACTCAATGCTCGAGGTTGGATTCTTACTCTCAGGGACTCGCCTGAGCAAAGATAGCTGGGAAGCTTTTGAGGCATTCTTCAACCAACCCAACTCGAAAGATCGAAATGAGCTGCGAAATCATGTCTTGGACTACGTCTACAATCACGTTGAAGAAGGTATCTGGGATGTTTTTAGAGTCGTGACGGCTCGTCTCATCTCCCAAAAGTTTCGCCCTGGGCCATGGAACGAGGCCAAAAAGCTCTGTCTTGCGAACATGCGAGTTGCTGCTACTACGCCAAAGGAAGATCTGGAAGATACAATTGTACGTTACAAGCACATAGGCACCTGTCCTGGTATGGCAGCCATTATCATCGCTCAGCGTCTCTGCTACTTGATGCGCGCTGATCCAGAAAGATACGGAAATGGAATGATCGACCTAGGATCCTCCGCCACGCTTCGAGCCGCAGCTGAAAGGGATCATTGGATTGCCTGTTTCAGAGCCCTGATGGAAGCCATGATCGGTCTTTACAGCGTTATGTATCATCGAATTGCGGTTGACGATGACCTAGCAGCCGTGATCGTCTCGATCGACGTTGTTGGTCTTGTAATGACGTTCGTGTTCGATGTAGAGGACAGTGCTCAAGCCTTATTCAACCTTGGTGTGCTTGAAGCATTCATTACTCGAACTCTCGTTGACGACAGCGACCCTCAAGCGGTGGGGGGCTTGAAGAGTGTGTTGAGCAGATTTGAGCGCATGTGTCAAAAGCCTCACTACCGATGCTCGCCATCACATGCCTGCAGGGGGCGGGTGAACGGGTTGAATGCACGGAATATGAAGCCGATACCCAAACCGTTGCCACGATTTGGAAAGGAGAACCAAATGATGCGCCTGGGCACAATGGATGAGATTCATTCGGTGACTGGAACCTCGAATCAGGATTTCCCGCGTGGCATCAAGCTTTCCTTACTTGTTGACAGCGACTGGGACATTGCACGGAAACTTCTCCCGCACTTGAAATGCATAGACAGGCGGGACGTTGATTGGAAATGTGAATGCCCAAAACAAGATCGAGACCGCGCCCTTGAGGTAGCCAGACTCAAAACCCAGCTGAATCGGGATTTCGCGGAGCTGAACGTTTTTCTAAAGTCTGGCAAGGCGCCTCCTAACGTTCTTTGGGAGCGCATTGAATCGAACGAGGTCAAATTCCACGATTTACCGATTCTGTACTCCGATCGCCCCGAGAGAGCACATCAAGATACCGCGAATCTCGTTCAGATGGTACAACAGAAGCTTGACGAAAAGAACAGGCCAACTAGGACTGTCGATGGATCGTCCACTTCCCCTGGACAGGCCCGAATGGATCAAGTATCGGTCAACATGCCAGACATTCAACAGCGTGCTGTGGACAGCTCCTCCGATCCTATCGACCTGGAGGAGGGCTCTCCAGAGACTTCTGGCGGAAAGCAGATAGACTCACAGGCCACCTCCAAGACCTCGACTGCCAGGTCAGCATCCCCAACTATTGCCTCAAGCAGCAGTGTGCCACCACCTCCAGCGCCTGTTGTGGCGGCGAATGAACATTCCCCATTGGATTTTGCTGAAGCTGAAACCGAACTCGTGTTAAATGTGACCAGACTGATTGAAGGGATGCCCCTTTTGAATACCACTAATTCAGCACTTCCCGGCGTCCTCGACCCGAATATGTTCCTGGGTGTCAAAAAGCAACTAGATACGCTGATTCTCGGGCACCTGGAGGCGGCTTTGCAAGTCGCTGAGCTACAGGGATACCATGGAGCAAAGCTTTGGCTTCTGCACAATATTTCCTGGGGCGGCCATCTTACCAAATTCAAAGGCTGCGAGCCTTGCAACACAAGTATGCGGCTGGCGCTCGAAACGGCCATAAAAGAAAATGGATGGGATCGACTAGATAGGCCACGCCATGAAGAGGTCGCCGAGAGAGTCGGTCTTCCGAATGAGCGCCTGGCTACAGCGACACCTTCCGAAACGGCGTCCTCATCGTACACCGCCGGTGGCCAACGCCGACGTCGACCAAAACGGGCTCGTTAGGCGGTAGGAAACGTCAATGAGAGGTCACGATATCTGTTTGCATTGAGGAGTTTTCTACTAGCGGGCGTTTGGGCGAACACAAAACAGGAAAAGGTTCACATCAGGTGGTCACAGGCCGTGTACACTACTATCAATGGGTTTTCAGAGTTATTTAGTGTATTGGTGCGCCCTACGTCAGGTTGCATGAAAGTACCAGTCATCATCATACTCTACAGCGCCGATATCTCCAATTCCCTGATTTTAATTTGCAGTCTGCACGCCAGAACCTCGCCGATAATTTTGTGACCATTAGACCAGCAATCCCAATCGCTCTATGCGCCATGGCAGTAGAGAGCCCTGGCCAGTAAAGAGGCAATAGCTCTTCCACATCGACCATTGACTGCCGGTAGCATTGAATCAAATGCCCGAAGCCCCTGGCGCGTCCTTGTCGGCTTTCAGGCTGAGAAGCAACTCTCGCATCCTCTTCTTGGATGACCCATCTCCGCCACCTTGTTGACCCTTTCCGCTCAGGTCTACTAACTTGGCAATCCGCTCCCAAGCAGTGCCACCGGCGGTCGTGTCTTCTCGCTGAGCAAGGAATTCCTCTGCCTCTTTTGCAACCTGCGCCTTCTGCTTGTCGACTTTGCGGTTGTATGATTCGTAAAATGAGTCAATGTCCTTCTGGGCCGTTGAGATGGTTTCTTCCTTCTTTCGCTGCGACGCTTCATCTCGGCGAGCTATGTCTGCATCTCTCTTTGCTCGCCATTCGCGAATGGGCTCCGTCTCTTCCTCCTGCGCAGGGGCAGTGTAATTTGTGTACCCTCCTTGAAAAGGGGTCGCAGAATCAGTAATAGTACCGCCGGGTCCGACGTTCTATAGTTGTAACGTTGTCAGCAATTCTCCCTCGTCTCGTAATGGCTCATACAAGTAAGGGAGACATACATCGTTTCTTGTGTCGATTTCAGGAAAAGAACTTTCAAAAGCATCAAGGTCGTCCTGCGCTCCGCTTGAAGGCTGCGCTGGAGCGGATGTGAAATCGCCGTCGCCACCGCCTAGGAGGTCATCAACGCCGTCTTCGACAGTTGGAGCGCCGGGTCGGTCGTTGGCAGCGAAGAGGTCTGCATCTTCACCAAGGAGGGCTCGTTCTCGCTCGAGGAAGCTACCCTGCGCTGCAGAATCTGGTCGAACGTCTGTTTCGCCTGGGGGAGATGTCAGAGCCCGAAATTCGTCAGGGCAAAGCGCGCAAAGGGTTCAACATACCAGCGTCAATATCTTCAATGGATGGGAAACGGTCTGCCATGGTTGGCAGCTAAAGAACAAGGCGGGCGTCGGGGTTGTTGTTGGCGAGATATTGGCAGTCCACGATCGACGTCCAAGCGAGAGAGACAGAGGCTGAGAGAATTTGCGTTAGTTGTTTGACCGGACGTCGCCAGAACAAACAAGGCAAGTATGAGAGAAAGATACAGGTTGGGAGTTGAGGTGTATTGCCTGCGCTCGGAAATCAAGCGACGTTGTCGATTAAGTTGAATCGGGAAGTGGAAGCTGTCTGACGATGAGCTGTGGCACAAATACTGCGCGTCTAGCGCTGCATCCTGTTTTGTCAGACGAAGCTTTGTGGTCTGCATGCGCGCAATCAAGATGATCCCTCACAAGTCGCGATGTGCTCAACTTCGTCGCCAACTGGCGCACTTATTAACCTTGCGATCGATAAACGGTCTTGCGCCACCCAATATTGAGCTCGACAGAAGAAGTCCTAGTTTGATTATTCTGACTGTGATAGATCTACGGAGAAATGTCGAGCTCTGATCACGACGACCTCCTGAGCACGAGACAGTCATCGATAACCCACGGTGTTCGATGACTGTGCTGACGATGCTTGTTCTTGAGGTCCATCGCCTCACGAATAGTCCAAAGTTGGACTAATTCCGCGACAGCGCCTAATTATGAGCACATTACCGGAGAACCTTCGAAGACGTCAAAGTGATGAAACCCCGAGTTTCTAAAGAGCAACGTCTATATGTCACAGTTGAGCAGCGCAGGCAGGCACATTCCTCCAACGGTGGCTGTTCGTTCTTGGAAATTCCTTGGGCAGTGTACACCCTTGATCATTTCTGCACAGAGCATGTCTTATTCAGTTGTTGCATCGCTATGGAGCCTCCAGAGCAGCTGTCGTATTTGATGGGACGGTTTATGCTTTACTGCGCATCTCCCTTCGCTCAAAAGTCTGTCTTGCGCTCAGAATTAGATGGGTAGGCCACGATTGCATCTTTTCCAAGCTAGGTCAAATGGTCAGGCAGCTCGGGCAGATGATTTTACTTCCAAATCCGCACTGCGCATACGCGACGGTCCCTTATCAGCCACTCAAGTGAACAGAGGCTTGACATACCTTTTTACCCGAATTTCGACAATGGTCAAAAGGCTCGCGCGGCTTGTGCAGAATGGGTGTTTTTGCCCACAGTCCCGGAAGAATACCATACAATCAAGCTCGCCATTGGGGGCGCGACCTTCTGGGCAACTCCCACTTTGACGAAGTCCCAGCTTTTCGTTCCCAAGTGTTCGTTGCCCAAACCTTATCTACCAGGTACACAGCGATTGCATGCTTGTCGGATTCGTTTTGACGCATTTTTGCCTGAGCTATTGTATATTGCCGGCGCAATACAGTTCTTACTACTCTTACTAACACAGATCTCACAGCATCTCATTCCACGCTATGCTAAATTACAAAACAAAAATAGGCTCCATTTTTGGCCGCTAAGGCTCGGGATAACAACGGACGTCGAATTGTATCTTGTTTAGAGTTTGCAATAACTCTAGAACGCGGTGGCGAGAAACAGAAACAGCTCGCGACGTCTATTGCGCGACGTTGACCATCTCGTCAAGCTTCCATTTACAGGCAACCCCCGAAGCACTAGGACTACAAAAAGTGCAGCTGGACTCGAAGCACGTTACTAGAGAGTTCGGTATGGCTGGAAATTGGCAGGGCAGAGACTCTCGGCAGCCGACCAATCGGACTTGGCCTGTATTGACTTCTCGAATCCGAACCAAGATCCGACTACACGACAGCTTTCAGACTAGCGCACTGACCCGGCCTAAGTCAAACTTGCGACGATGTCGCCCGCGCGCCGACTGCTGTCAAACAAAGACTACCCTTGTCGGGATATTCCTGCTGCCGTGGAGACAGGTGTTTTGCTTGGTCCTTGCGCCTGACGTCCCTCTGTTGACGCCCAACCTGCTACATGAGAGTCGAACGATCTGCATGCTCTCCGGGGTGAACATGAATCTCCCTCCCTGTTAAAGGCTTCGGGATGGCGGTCAAGGATGCGAACAAGCCACCAGCGATCTGCACAACAAGACGATTCTTGCTCCAAAATGCTATGCCAACTTCGCGTCTTTTATGGTCAAAGGACTCCTCGAGTCCTCGGATGCTACTTCAATCGGAGATAAATGTCCGGAGTCAGTCTCGTGGCGGAAGTTAAGCAAGGTGCGTGGTAACTTTCCCCTTGTTCACGTAAACGGTTCAGTGCGCAGTCAGGCGACGATATCAGACCAGAGTTTAAACAACATGACCACCATCGCACCGGTGACGGCTGTGGCTATTTGTGGGTACATCTTGTAAGCCCCACGAACTCTGCGTCCCTGATACCGGGTTTGTTCGAGACCCTGGGGTCATAGCACTTGGTGTCGGGAATGGTTGCACCATTGGTCCTCGCTCCAGTCGAGCAGCCACGGTGACGAAGATTTCGCTATGCCACCGATCTCAAGTGCGTCAAAACACGGACCCACGCGATTGGCGCACAAGGGTGTCACCCTTGTTTGCCCAGGGTGACATACGGCGACTATTATGCCTATGGATGTTGGTTCTTAGGATACTATCATTCACTTCATCTTTATCATTATAGACAACAACACGATCTCTTTGGCAGCAACTTGGCTGTGGTTCAACATGAAGTCTTTAATCTCCCTACCATTTCTAGGCCTATTGGCCATGCAGCCCGTGACCTCAGTGGCTTACTGGCGCATGGCTTGTAGTGTCTCTCAAACGGCTCGAGTCGACCCTATCCTCAATCCCGGTGGTGTAGCAAGCCATGTCCACAAGTTCGCTGGCGGAAATAGTGAGTGTGAAATTTTGATGCAACATTTGAAACGTGGCTAAGGTCCAAGACGTCGACGAGAACTCTACCTTCGACTCTCTTCGACAGTCGACATGTTCTTCTTGTGAAGTGCAAAAAGATACCTCGGCTTACTGGACGCCGCAACTATACTTCGCGCACTCGAATGGCGTGGTTGAAGAAGTTCCGAATTATGGCATGACGGTTTACTATGTCGGCAAGTGTTCTGGAAGCCTGCACCTTTCGAATTCTAATTTTTGTTGTTTCAGGGCGCGGAGACCAGTCGAACACCAAACCCTTCCCGCCTGGGTTCAAGATGATTAGTGGAGATTCTACAGCACGATCATATGATGAAACAACCTTGACATACATGAATACACGGCCTGTGGCTGATAGGGTAAGTTTCCGTTGCATAAATGCGGCTAACGATATTCCAGAAACACATTATATCAACGACACAAACTGTGTCAACGGCTTGCGAGCCCAGATAAATTTCCAGTCTTGCTGGGACGGTAGCAACCTTTACCTCGAGGAGTCGGCCCATGTCGCCTATCTCTCAAATATTGACTCTGGTTCTTGTCCACCATCTCATCCAGTATCGATACCAGGTCTCTTCTTTGAGTGAGCTTCGCCAGTCGCCTGCGTACTACAGGGTGTATTCGCTAATCCACTTAGGGTGCTGTACTTTACCAACAACATCGACCAGTCTGGTGGCGGCGAATTCGTCTTCTCTAACGGCGACACGACTGGTTTCGGATTCCATGCCGACTTCATGAATGGCTGGGATATGGATGTGCTCGACAATGCCGTAGAGAATTGTCTCTACACTGATGTTGACTTTGGAGTTGTGTCAGCTTGTCCCGTTTTAGCGGAAAGCGATACTCAGAACTTCTCTAGAGTTTGCCCCGAAGAGCCCTCGGTTTTGACAGAAGCTGTGAAAGGCAAGCTTGATGGCCTCCCCGGGTGCAATCCAATTACTTCAGGCCCGGAATCAGCTCCTGAGGAAGTCTGCGCTGTTGGTGTAGTCACGCCTGTCAATTCCACGACTCCAGCACAGCCAAGTAACGTAATCAGCTCGACCACCACCTCAGCTGATGCCGCAACTTCTACCTCGACAGTTGCTACTCCGACGCCGACCTCGACGACCCTTTTGTCTACCACGTTGCAGACATCTGCTTCAATTGGCTATTCCAGTTCTAATAGTTCGCCGCTCTCAGAGTCAGCTTCTACCATGTTGACCGTCTCGACTGTGACTTCAAACAGTGTTGACCCGGCGACATCATCCAGTCTCATGTCTGCAACGGCATCAACATCACCTAATGGTCCTTTGAGCAGCAGCACCGCCACCACTCAGTTCAGCGACGGCATTCCTACGCAGAACCCGACAAGCAGTAGCGCATCTACTGCAGCATTCACTTCAGGCGGGTTCTCAGTACCAACGACCGCTGCGCTAGACGTATCGACGACCCAGGGCACCAGTCAGCAGGGTGATGTTACCACTGCTTCTTCCACCCCGGCGACTGTTAGCTCCGCACCCGATAGGGAAACAACAACGGTGACTGTAACTGATTTCGTCACTGTGACTGTGACGATTAATGGCGTCCCGGTAGAAACCACGAGCCCTGTTACCTTGACAGTCACAGGCAATGGACCCACGGAGACAGGAAGCATACTTACCGTGACTGAAAACACATTTACTACTTTCTTCTCTGGAGGTTTTGGGGGCGCACCCGCGCAGGGCGGTCCTCTATCATCCCCGGGCGTCAGTCAAGCGATCAATGGCATGTACACCATAACTGGCAGCACTTTTACCACATTTACATTCGGACGTCCTTCGGGCGGACCTCATGGTGCTGGCTTTTACAATAGGCACGGCTCATCAGGCGAAGCTGGTGCTATCGACCCGGTCAACACTGCTCCAGTCAACACTGCTCCAGTCAACACTGCTCCAGTCAACACTGCTCCAGTCAACACTGCTCCAGTCAACACTGCTCCAGTCAA